TTGTTGATTCAGTTCTTTCTTTACTAACAAACCCTTTTGTTTCCTAGTTATTACATGACCTGGTCATGCGGGGGAATAAGCTGTTCTGTGCATGCTCGAATATTGAGGCCCTTAATGGGTTATTTTAGATAGGTTTTACTTTTAATTCTTCTCAACGTTATCTCGACGAGACAATTGTAACATTTTTTAATGACAAAAGTAATTTTAAATTTAGTTCAAACAGTATCTCGTTGATGTCTTTTACAAAGAAATGCAAATTAAAAAAACAGATAAGGAAATGCCTTACACTCATGGTGAAATGTAAATAAAAATAGATTTTATGGCTTTTGCAACATGCTACGTGATGACAAAGAACAGAATTCCATTTGAATATCAAAATATTTCATACGTTTAAGGATCATGAAGAATCAGTATGTTATTTGAGTTAATAGGGTTAATTTCAATAACACCCCTATATTGGCCTTTTCGTAACAGGCATGGCTGCCTTGTCTATTTCTAGTGTCATACTGGTAGTGGGGTTTTCCATTTTCTTAAACTTGCCATTCAATAATCGATGTTTCCTTACTAATTATTTAAAGATTAATCTAAAATCACGATTTCAAAAAAATTTGAAACATTATGTCTGGTAAATTGAGTAGTTTACACGAGTTTTTTCCTCTTATAATGCCCTACTTTAAAGACGCATTTCTACAGTCAAATGTTTAATTTTATGTTTGATAAAGGAATGTTTACATGTATTAAGAACCCACAATTATTTAGGTAAAATTCCATTCTTTTTTATCATTTTAAATAAAGGTTACAGCGAAAAATCATCATAATTATTTTGTTTAGTAATATGTAGGATCCCATTATATATAAATATACAGAAAATTTAAAAAGATACTTCAAGCGTCTTGTCAGTTTCTAAAATAACGTTTACCATTTATTCAGAGATGTATTGTACTTACAGCCTTTAAATACTCTTGTTGTAATATATCCGCTTCACATGACATTACATATATATCATTATCACTAGATTACGCTCGAAAATGTTCATGTACTACTAGTATTCCAAAACAAATTATATGCAAAGTACTTGCTGCTTTGCACTAATCTTAAGTCATCTTAACATATTCATAAACGTTCTGATAACGTAATATTTCAAAGAATATTATGAACTTTCCCAGGACAAAGTCTGATGCAAAATGGTGGAGCTTATTATGTACTGAAATACAGGGCACGTTTGCAATCAGATGATAAAAAGTCATGTATACCAATTAAAGACTGTTGCTCTATCTCTATGCTAAATTGACTGTCATTTATTTAAACATTTTCTGATATTTCTGATGTGGTTTTAAAATTCGCATTTACTTGTAAAGTGAACGAAATTTACGATTATTCACAATCGGTCTGTTGCTTAACCCCTTGATAGCAAAAAATGTCAATCAACACATTTCGGCCACCTTATTTCGGCAAGCTGTTGGTAAATTTTGTAAATTTAAGCATAAATGTGAACATTATAATTCACTCTCTAAGTGCAAGCGACAATATGATATCAAAACGAGACAAACAACGTTTAACAATAAAATGCCAATATGCTCGCAAACGTAGAGATATCGGAACCATGTATTTGGCAGTATATCTTAAATGGTTTGAACACATTGATAAATTATTTATGGGCTCTAGAACAGGCCAATAAGGATTTGAAGGTTGCATTTTACATTCCAAAACAGCTATTGAAATGTTATCACAAGAAACTGAAGCGAAATATTTAATATGAGTTTCCGATGAAAATAAATACTTTATTTACATCGTACATCTTCTATCGTATCATTTTGTGAGCCATAAAAGTTTAACCTAGCTCTCTATAATATTTGCTAAATAACATTTGTCACAAGAAAGTAACATTTACAAGATCATGATCACATCTTGGCATGAAATTCATTTTGTGTCATTACAACGTAAAACTATGGTATTATTAACATGTACAAAATATTGAATAATTTCTTCGCGTTCCGAGACCACAAAATTCAAAATGGCCAGGTCATTTACTATGGCTATAATAAAATATATTCCTATCACTGTTGTAACAGAAGTTTCTACATACTGTATTATAAATTTTGATTCTTAACTATCCTGTATACGTTCATTATTATGTATGGAAGATATACAAGTAAGATAGTTGTGTAAAATTGAAAAATGGCAATTTTATTTTCCGAAAATGATTAACCAATATATTAAACAAAAAAATGTACAATCATACATGATGATTTTCAATGTCTGAGCGAAAGGAGAAAAGAAAATGCCTTATATACTAGCTACACATCATTTAGTACAGTCAATAAACATTACAAACAAATGATCACTACAAATTTTGTTTTTGTATGAATAAAACACCCAACAAAATTTTAACATATTTTGATTGATAAATATATTTCAAGGTGGGTTATGCATGAACATGAACGCCTGAGGCACAGTTAAAAGAGAGACAACTTTTATCTTTTCCAACGAACTTACAGCTGTAACGATATAACTTCAAGTTGTAACATGTCTTTATACAGTTATTGTATGATGACAAAGCGCATATCAAACTATAATGACCTGGTTTGTATGATTTCGGCATCGGTTTATATCACTAAAATAATTTTTCCAGTTTATACCGAAATGTTTCTGCATTGTCAAGTCGGAAACAGTAAGGTTGCCTGAAGAATATGATTTGATATTCACAGAAACACTTTGTTTTATTATATGACAATAATAAAATTCTATATCTGGTAAACTTTCATTTAAAGTTTAATCCCCATAAGCCCTTAATACGTGGACGGCAAACGCAGACGTTTTCTATATGTTTTTCGTACCCGTATCTGTTACATGAAAAGCCGTCATAATTACTTGTTTGCTGTTTGTTTATGTGACAAATTCAATTTAAAAAGATACGGTTTCTTTATCATTATAGACGGTCAAATATAGTTACGTCACCTTTTATAGACTGGCCCATGACTGCTGCGTTCCTCACAACTTATGGAAATTCATAGTCATGTGCAAATTATTAACATAGTTACAACACAATCATTTCCAAGACAATACTACCAATACTGGATAGATTATTTTATAAAACAAATAGTTAAAACATTAGTGACAATTATATAATAAAAACTTTAGACATAATTAAAATAAACACAACATCAATATAGCCTTTGTAAGAACTTGCACCAAGAAAGCCGATATATGGGATTTTTTGCAATATAGCTTTTATATTAATCTTATCTATATAGCCTTTATATGGACTTTTATCAATATAGCCTTTACAGGGGCTTTTTCCAATATAGTCTTCATAGTGATCCTATCAATATAGCCTTTATATAGACTTTTTTAATATTGTCTTTGTAAGGTCTCTTTATATTGAACTTCATTAATATAGCCTTTACATAGACTTTTTTAATATTGCCTTTGTAAGGACTTTAATCAATATAGCCTTTATATTGAATTTTATTAATATAGCATTTATAAGCACTTAAATCAATGTAGCTTTCAAGGGACTTTTATCAATATCGCACTTATACGAACCATTTATCAATTTAGCTTTTATATTAGTCTTGTATAGTCAGCTTATATGTTTAAAATTTTAAAGATAAAGACTTTGGAACAATTTTGATAATTTCTTTTAAAGTCTTATATTTGAAAATATTCTGAAATATTTAGTTCTTTTACAACATTAATTGTAAACACAAATTACAATTGTAAGCAAAAAAGAGGAACTACTAGTATTCAATGCAAAATTAATTCATTTCATAGTTAATCACTTCCATTCGTCCATTTCGCATAGATTTGATTCACTGTACTATTTTGTAATTTAATTTTTTGCCAACTTTCAAACGGAATGTTTTTACCTCTTCCAATCTAAATGAAACAAACATTCATATACCTCACAAACAACATTGATTTATCAATACATTTTACAACGACTATAGTTTCAATTATGTGCATACAGCTATATGTCTGCAGCAAAAAAAAAAGTTATTTGAATTTTGAACAAGAAAGTCGCCGACTGCTTCATTATTGAATTTTATCCGAGTAATCTTATCGAAATTGATGAGTACTTTTCATTTTTTGAACGTCAGTTTTGACCATTAGAAGCTCCAGTTGTTTTGGTTTCAGATACTGTGGGTCGAATACACTGAGGACTCAACTTCTTAACAGCTTGGCGAATCTGAAATAAAAGTTGGAATTGAAATAATACATACATTTATTGATTTACTTGAGCTGTGGCAAATTTTAAATAGGATATTCATTTCTTTATAATGATATAGTTTGGATGTTGTATTAGGCACTTTGTAATGGTGAAAATAAATGTAAGTTTTTAATTGCGTTTTTATAATTTAATTAGGAAATACATTAATAGTTAGTTTACCTTTTCATTCATCACACAGTGAAGGATAAATATGAAGAAGCCCTGAAAAAAGTTTTTAAAGAATTATTCATACTCCTAGAACATGAAACGATATACAACTTAAAATAACATGCCGGATATAAAATATTACTTTAAAGGTATTATTTTATTTGGAAAAAAAACACATTATATCTAGGGTTTATTTTGGAAAATGAAAGATTGTTTTATTCTATCAATAAACAAAGGACAAAAACAGTTAAGGTTAGTTCATTTTTAATCATAGAAATAAAACATTATATAACTAAAACAAATAAATATGTTATGTACTATTTTATTGCCACTTTTATTGGCAAAGGAGTCGGTTTAATATTTTCTATTTCTTCTGTTACTGTTCAATTTAACAATTGTATATAAGAATAAACTAGAGGCATTGTCATTAAAAATCACAACAGTTTTATACTTATATATTACCATCAAAATTCACTAATTGTTGTAGTTTTTCTATAACATTTTCAATCTTAACGACGTACGCAGAATTTAACAATTGAAAATGAAAAATGTGAAAATTTTGAAACGGCCAAAGTATTTACACACGACGGTTATCACAATGTAAAACGCATATAAAACTAACTTGTAAACTATTCAGTATTGAGAACAGGTAGTGAAAGACAACCATGTTCGAGTCAAATGCGACGATTCCAAATATCCACGTGAGTCCCATAACAGGTAACAAAACTATGAAACCTCTTACTCCAGCCCTGAAAATATAATGACCCTCTTTAATAATAATAGGCCGGTCAAATGAGACATTTTATACCTACCGTACGTGTTCTAGAATGGATTCTAAATACGATGTTTGACAAACCATTGTATAGATTCATAAACGTAGGTTAAGTTTAGTACGTCTTGCATGTATCCCCTTTAATCTGAGGGTTTGCATTTACGGATTTTAGCATCAGAATTGATATGTTTTGTATATGGTTTATCATTAGGAATAAATATTTAATTAATCAAACATTATCAGACAAGACCTCTTCTTTTCTTTCCGAAAGAATGTTAATATTTATTTTTGTAAATTTCAACATTACACTGTGAAAATTATATAAAAGGGTCATTATTAAATAGTTACACAAAAAGAAAATAACTTTGAAATGTACCATTTTTATCTTATCTACACTTTCAGTGTTAAACCTATAATACATGCATAACTTATGTTACAATTATCTGTTTATCTATTTATGTCATTTCATGCATAGGTGTACCTTTAACGTGTCAGGAATCATTGGTCATAGCAAATTATGAAATAAGTATATGCAAACAATGTTATGAGCACGACATTATTGTCCATGTATTGGATTTTGGGGTGGAGACAAAGAATAAATATATTCGAAACAATCAAACTGGGGAAAAAATGTTAGAATATCAATGTACATTGAATTGATTCTTTCTTTTGAGATAAAAAATCAAATGATTTTTTTTTCGGATAATCCAATACTGTTATTGCCGGCTTGAACTTTGCCTTTGTTACCACTGAACTTACTTAACTCGAGTAGCACTTGTCTTCCTCGCCATCTGTATTGTGTTGAACATTATATTTAATACCACCACAACTATTATGAAATTAATCTGTAAATATACTGCAGTATTCATTATTACAAGCTTTTATTTTATGCTTTTCAGTGGATTACTGAGTTATCTGTGAAAATTATGTTTGATAATCTCATAGTAAAAATTATCAATATATAATTTCACACATTTTAATGACGAGACTACCTTTTTAAGATTTTCCCCATGTGGTACCTCAATTTTATTTTTTCTTGACAATTCTGTCATTGTCAGGACTGTTTAGAGAACAGCAAAGGTGAAATTGATAAACAACTTGAATTCCAAAAGTAATAAAAAGTAAAAAAAACCTTAGTTCAATTCATTTAAATTGCAAATAACCAAATATTGTCTCTAAATTTTTGTTTCATTTTTAGAGATTGAAACATATACTTCCGGTCCTTCCACATGCAAAACTGCTTTTGATGACATTTGGGCATATTTAAGTATCATACGGGCAATACCTGTGTAATGCAATATGAAAACTTGAAAAGCAATGACAGTCATCCCTATGAATCAAACACAATTATTTTCCTCCCGTGAAATGCACAACGTTTAAAAATGGCAGTCGCTTGCGTAACAGAAAGCCTTGACTAATATAAATTCACCGTAAGTAACGGAAATAAGGTCGGGTGGTGTGACTTTTCTTTCTACTAGAATTGTTTGTAAATTCTTTGAAAATATCATTAAACAAGCGATCATTCATATTTTTTTAATATCATCGCCATATAACGTTGATTGTCGAACTTAATATTCAGCTCAAGACTGTCTGTATTTATGAGACATTCGACCAAAATTGGACTAAAATTGAGGCTACCGGTGGAGTAACAGATTTGAATATTAAAGTTAATATTCAAGAAATTTCATTTTAAATTGTTTTTGAGCATAACATAAAAAGACAATTTGTTTTGATTGTTGTTTAAGATGTAATTTTATTTCATCTCGTGAGCTTGAAAAACAGTATTCTCACGAGTGGCGTTGCCAAGATGAAAAAAAATCCATTTTACACACAAACAAACAATATCCTCTATATAATGTCACTTTAAGAATTGATATTTTTCATACTGTATTCAATTTTGTTGAACTTTAACTTGTATATAATATATCAAAGTAAATCAGCAATATTCATGTTAACTCATTTAATTTTGAATTCAAATTTATTGATAGCCTCAAAATATTCTTAAAAAATATAACAATATACTTTAATTGAAACATACGGTTATAACGACAATGACAGGTATAAGAAATGCCCAAATTAGCCCAGTCTCTGTCGACAGCCAACAACTGAAGTGAAAATAATTATCTTATCAACATACACAAAACTTGATAAAACTTTTCCACTGAAAAGCATAAATATTTACCAAATATTTCAATTAATGTATCAATTAACTTTTGAAAAATAGAATAAAGAATATAAATACTACCTTTGAATTCAAATCTGTTTAAGCCAGTATTGAAAAAAATAAACAAAAAATGAGGAGTGTAAGGCATGTTTTTCAAGCAGAAGATAATACTGTCTGATACGCAAGAAAGAAATATGCATACTATTTGTCAGTGCCGTATCCTTTAAGCTGAGTGGATCCCACAGATACTGCAACAACTGTCATTGCTATCCCTTAAATGATATTATAAAATGCTTGATAAATTAATGAAGAATTAAATAGAAGCTGCACATTTAATTGTTTCTTGTCTAAAAATCTTAATCAAGTAGTTAAAACGGTAACATTTATATCAAGAGCTGTCGGTAGGACAGCAACGCTCGACTATTCTAAGTGCTTGATAGTAAAAGAGCCTTGATAATGTAAAATGTTCGAAGCTAATAACAAAATGATTAAATTGTTCGTTAAATCCATGTTACAGTTACAGGCCTTTGAGAGAGTCCTATTATACTCTCAATTTGTTTCAATAGAATATGAAAAGATCTGAGGTGGTATGCAAACCTAAATGTAAATTCTAAGTTGAAAAAAGGGCATAATTCTGTCAAAATGCTTGATACAGTTACCCCTTCCTGTCTACAGGTTGAAGTCATGATGGTGAACAAGTGTACAAAGTTTCAAAGTCATATGTCAATGGACTTTTAAAATATTTGAGGTATTACAAAATTTTTAACGTAACTTCTAAGTCAAAAAGGGGGCATAATTCTGTCAAAATGCTTGATACAGTTACCTCCTCCTGTCTACAGGTTGGGGTCATGATGGTGAACAAGTGTACAAAGTTTCAAAGTCATATGTCAATGGACTTTTAAAATATTTGAGGTATTACAAAATTTTTAACGTAACTTCTAAGTTGAAAAAGGGGTATAATTGTGTTTAAATGCTTGATACAGTTACCTCCTCCTGTCTACAGGTTGGGGTCAAGATGGTGAATAAGTATGCAAAGTTTTGAAACCATAATTTTTTTATGTCAATGGACTTTTAAAATATCTGAGGTATAACAAAAACTTTAACATTATTGGTTACGCCGACACCGACGCCGACGCTCGGGTGACTACAATAGTTCTACTTATTCTTATCGAATAGTCGAGCTAAAAATTAAAATGTTGCAGGATCGATTTGGTTGTGCTCGTCCATTTCTTAACAGTTGATCTTCAGTTACCTTTTATTTCCAGAACTTACAAAGTAGTTTTCTTTTGCATCTATTTCACTTTTAACTTTTAGGCTATTTATCAAAATATCTAAATGATTTTAACATCCCAAACCAATTCAAACTTATATCGAGATAGTGTTACGTTAAGAAAGTTCCATACACTAACATAAAAATATAAACTGAATGTTCGCTTCATTCATTAATCGTTTGTTTTAGCCCTTTACCTTCATTTACAATGTGAAGGAAAAAATCATGAGCAGAGTAACTGTTTATATACCTACCGTAGCTTTATTATTATCAGGGACACCGATGAGTTTTGTCATGACAGTAAAGGAAATATCTTTTTGCTAAAAATGTACCATTTGACGTTAAAATTTAACTTGTGTTTAAAATTCCTAAAACATATATCTTATAATAAAAAAAAGACTTAAGACTAAACATGACAATCATTTAAACCTTTTTTCCCAAAAAAAGTCAATTTCAAGTTCATTCTTTGCATATTTTCGCAATTTTTAAAAATGTCCCAGTTGATTTATGCTAGAATGATTTGTTATGTTCTTTTAAGGTTTTTTTGGACCTCAATTTAGTTCCTTTTTATGTACATGTATATATTACGTTTTATATGTTACCATAAGAAACCAACAGGTTGCGTCCAGTTTTGTGTCCAAGATGAGTGGGGTTCAAAACACTGTTGAGCATGTCGATGCCAAGGATTAGCATAACAAAAAACACCATTAGGTAGAGAAGATGAAGGAGCACTGCTACAGTTGTACAAACAACCTTTAAAAACAATGCATCGTTTCAAGTTAAATTTATTTATTCTGTGTGTTACATGTGTTGAATTTTAAACCATGCTGATATATTTTATATGTTATACGAAGCTTTTATCCAAAAGCTTTTTTACTGCCTCTATTACACAAAACAATTGCATAAGTTTGTTTATTTATGTTTATTATATGATAATAAAGAAATAGATTTCAATTATAGTAATGATATTACAAATATAAACAATATAGAAGCATATCTCGGCGTTTTAATAAAGGGTATGTAAACAAACCACGGTACACCAATTTGTTTAGTTACGATGATTTCCCATACCTCAATTTAGTTATTTTTAAATTTTTTAGTTTTCAGAAAACTACGTCAAAGCAGACAAACCTTTCTTGGGGTAATTTATTTTATATTGTGATCAGCAGTAAAAGATAAAACGACGTCATTGTACATAAAGTTCTCTACGAACAGTTGACTTATGTTCTCAGAAACAACACTTTTATCATATTTCAAAGACATTAACGAAAACAATTCTATAAGTTATCAGAACGGTTTTTTTGGGCTTATTGTTAAAATACACAAAAATAGATATATCTAAAACAGAGGTGTAAACTAATACCTCATTGGTGGTTTTGTCTATTCCTATCAAAAATATCAGATTTGCCAAAAATAATACACATGAAAGGTTCACTTTCATGATCGATTGCGCTGACTTTACGTATCTAAAATAAAACAAAACAAAAAATACGTGTATGAACAAGACAAAATCAAAATAACTTTATGTTTTCATTGAAAGAATATTCAAAAACATAGTGATATTATTTTATTGTTTTTTAGTATGCAAACTTATACAAATAATATTTCATCATGATTGCTAAAATCATAGTAACTTTGCTAAATATTCTTTTTTTTTAATTTAAAAATATACTAAAATGATGTTGTCAGTGATTGACGATTTGGTTCTTCCTATTTAAAGTATGGCTGCAAATAATGCTCTAAAGTGTTTAAGCTCCCATACGGTATGGAAAAACATCAAAGTAATTTCATATCAGATGCAAATATACAAAACATATACTTGAAATGTGCATTACCGCTTTTACATCGAGTGCTCTATATATGTTTCTTTATTATATTATTGTTGAAACTGTTTTATGAAGAACTTTCTATACGCAGAGTTCAGTTAGATTAATGAAATATTATTAAGATAGATAATAGATTTTTACCGTGTTTACTCATATAAACACTTTTATTTACATTATTAGATTGATGCTCACCTCCAAAACAAAATGTAGACAAACACATTGAGGGCTATAAACACCATTGAGATAGTCAGCCCAATCTTGGTGATTGTACTCAACACCTTGTAGTGACCTGAAGCCTAAATTATACAGTTCTTACAATAGACGTTCGCATTATGTGAACATCGAAACAGATATACCTCCATAGTTCTTAATTCACATTTAGGTTTGGCAAAATATGACCACATTAAGTGAAGCTTAATAACTAGTTTGAGAAGCCAGAATAACCTAAAATACGTATATTCCATATTTTGTACAAACATATTCAAAGATTTAATGACATTAATGTATTAGGTTTTTTTTGCATTACACAAATCATTATAGAAACTGACCAAAAACACAACATTTTGATAGGGTTAGAGACTCTATCAAAGAAGGCAATAATAATATACGGTTGTCCGACAGAATTACAAAGCAAATCTTTCAGTAATGTATTAATTTTAGCTTCGGTACAATATTGTTCATAATTAATTGAAAACATACCAGGTCAGGTGAAAGGCTCATCATCACAGAAAAGCTAGTCAGATGAGTACACTTACAAACAATAACACCATCTTGCCTTATGTATTGGTGAAGCCAACAACCTTCTGAAGACCAATATCCCTGCGATCTATATATTAAATAGTAAGAATGTCAACCAAATGTATCATGCGTTGGAATAAGTTCGACTCTTATCGTGTTTAATAAATGATAACTTGTTAATTCAATTATTAACAACATGGTCATGCTTAAAATAGAAATCTGAAGAAAACGAAAGCATGACAATGATTGTAGAATATTTAAGACGTTTTTATTGAGATCATAATAAATGATTTGTACGGATGACAAAATTTTATAATCTCTATATAACAAAATAAGTTGTTTTTGAGATTTAAGGATGAAGATAGAGAATAAGTTTTATCTGGTTGTGAAATGCCTTACCCTTCAATGTTTTTCCAATATACACACTTCGGATTATCAAGTTCTTTCTGAAAATTTCAATTGAAAATCTGGTTTTATATCAGTAATACGTTAACGGTGGGTTAGGGACAAGTCGAACAGAAATCGAACAACTAAAAAAGCAACACGTAATGTATTTGACGAACCTTTAATGTTTGAAACGTTATTTCTATTGGATGTTTTAGTTTGCCCTCTGGCTTCGGTATCAATGAGAATGAAATCACGCCGGAATTTAACTCTTGTTGCAAGTTCCTGTATGCAAGAAATTAAATATATAGATGACACCTTGACAATACCTTTTACTTCTAATTTATAGAGTAATATATTCATTTCAAAACAATAAATATGACTGAGTAAATTCATGTAACTCTGACCATTAATAAGTATTTCTATTTTCAACAATTATTATTTGTAATAAATATCAGGGAACAAAATGCTATTAACCAATTGCAAAGTAACAATCAGTTTGAATTATGTAGGAATCGGTCTGGTAGGGATGTATTTAGCTCATTTTAAATTACAGTAAACATTTGTGTTCGCCGAATAAAACAATAATTATATAAAACATTAATTTTCCAATTAAATTAAAAAAACATGTGGGATAAATTGTATGTAGAAAAAACTAACATTTCTGGTCCGTATGTTGAAGGAAAGCTGGATTCGACGTTGTTCAATATGATTCCGACGTATGCATTTGAATCTGTAAATAAACATACGATCTTAATCCGTGAAGTATAGAGGGTTATATGATGCTAATAGTTAACTATATTATCGTATTAAATAAAACGAAGTGTATACATATTTGTAATATTGCACAATTGTAACGTCGTTTTTCATTGGATAACTGTGATGCTTATATAAACTTTATATACTGCTGTAAATTTATGAAGTACTTTTATGTTTTCTAAGAAAAGGGAAGTTTGTCGTATTCAAAATTCATTATAAAAGTTCTTGACTGGTTATAATATAATACTAAGTTACGTATGTATATCTTTTTTTTCTAAGAAGAAAATACATATAAAATAGAACTATGTTATGTTATGTTATGTTATGTATTTTTACTTAACAAATCGGAAAATGTATGATCATAATATTAAGTGTAAACATGTTTCATTTCTCAGAATATATATACATGTTTCGATTTACAATATTCACAAAGCGTAATACAAAACAATTTACAAGATGCAAAACGGTTTGCTGCATAATGTTTATTGATATTCAGTTGTTTTATTTTACAGATTCCATACACAAAAAGCACGAAAGTTATAATACATGAATAATTAAGGTAACATGTTAGATGACTCGAATATATTTGTAATATAGCCAAACAGCCATTTATATAGGTGCATAAATGATATTGTACGTGGTCGAGGTAAGTTTTATTTTCAACTCATTTAGAGAACATTTTGCCTCTTTATTCCAAAATGAAAGTAGTAAATTGCCGTCCAGAGGTCATTAGTTAGTTGGTACACATTTTTCTCGTGCATAAACAGCTTCAGAGGCTACAGAACGCATTTAGAGCCCGAGTCAGCATAGCGAGTGATTTGATAAGTGTAGAATTAAATGATGCATATGATTCGAAAGATCTGGATTTCCTTATCTGTGTTTTCGTATAAAGTATACGGCTGTGTCATTATTATCACGTGCTAGTGCGATGACAGATATGTTGCAGACCGTCATTGCATGGCGCCAATAGTGACGCTTATCATACATATTATACAACGGCACGTGCTCTCGTGATTGTCTTTCCTGCCATTGTATTGCTGCGCGTGTAGCTTTTTAAATGATGAACACGACAAGGTTTGCAATAATCGATCGTGTCATTGTGATATGATAGATTGTGCAATTGTTCATTTATTACATTTGGATACGTAAATCCCAGTAGCGTAGTGGTTACGGAGTTTCTAAAGGTCGGATGCAAATCTGCAATTTACCATGCTTTTTGGATTTCCGAATACGTTTTATAATGAATGAAAATCACGATGAACTAAAATCTAGTTCTTTGAAAATATCTAAAAACAAACAAGAAAAGAAAAATGCATTTTTTCAGGATTCGAACCAGAGTCTGTACACATCTATAACAAACGCTTAACCACTACGCTATTACGCCGAACGGCTTAAAAATGGGTTATTATTTAGGTGGTTGATAAATAGCATGCCCTATTTGTCAATATTGATATAAACGGATAATGAAAGGAATAGCGAATTCGAGATGTACAAGCCATAATGACGAGACAACACTTATCTTTTCATTTAACTGTAAAAAAGGTATATATACCTTTGTCACAGTTTAGAGATAACTTGTTCTTGGGCTTTGCTAGCCAATCTGGCAATTCCATGTCAGTATGGTTCGGGAAATGAATACCATTATCGCAATCACGTATTGATGCTTTCGCGACATCTGTAAAAAAAGATGTTACAAAGAAAAGTATAACAGCTGCTGCTATGAGTAAAACCTTTCTGGAAAATGAATGCCTTTTAAAGTAACTTAAACAATGACAATAGATAGTGTCTTACGTTAACTTTTTATGAGATAAAAGAAAGCACAGCACCTCTCATGCACGTCATATCTTCTAAAGCGATAAAAATATTTCAAAAAGTTTCCTTTTAATTTAAAAGTTTACAAAAGTTACTAAGCACTTAACCAGTATTTCCATGTTATTGAATACGTATGTTTGCGATATATACCTCATTTTATTTTGACTAAATAATGCATCTGTTTGAAACAGAATAAGAGAAATAAGCGTATCAAAACATAAGTTTCTGCACTTCCCCTGATTTATTTGTTGCACCAATAACATTAATCGGTATTAATAGAAGATGAGTGTTTCACAACTAAATGTGAATTATTTGAGCAGAGTAGCTTCAAACCATTTGTCCCTTACAACCGTAGGTGCGAATCCCTAAAGGGAATTTGGATTTCTTTATGTGAGGAAGCTACCTAGCTGGCTTATACAACGTAAGTGGTTCTACTCAGGTGCCCGTTTGTGTCTGAAGAAATTGCTCGAAAGTGCACTGAAGTTCCTCCGCCAGTTAAGCTGGAAAGACTGCATATAACGTTTACAGTGTTAATGCGACGACAATCTAACCAAAACATGATTATTTAAAGTATAGACTATTTAACTTAAGAATAAAATCATTGTTAACCTTAGCTATTTTTCATCCGTATAGATGAATATGATTTATTCTTCACCCTTTTAATCGAAGTATACAATATTTTACATTTGACAAACAAAAAAGATATAGAAGGATAAGTTATCTTAATGAAATAATTGTGAAATAGTATACCATACATACATGTGTTATTTAGTGATTCAACTACGTCTGTTTCATTTAAGTTTGTCATGAATTTTGCAACGCCATCGAGTAATTCATTTGCCCCACTGCCTGTCTGAAAATAAAGTGTTAAGAAATAACATAAATAAAAGGACAGATTCGGATAAATGTTGTTGTTTTTAATCTGTTCATTTTGTTGAGTATCTTATCATGGTTTTATAGGACAATATGACAAATTTGCATAGATGGTACGGATTTCGTGGTCAATTGATCAAAATTATTCTTAACTTTGAGATTTGCTATTGAATTCTTACAAAGAAAACATATGTTGTTTAGTACGACAGCATATAATTTAAGTCTTGTTAGTGTTAGCGATTTTGAAAACGATTTATATAAGCTTATTCGATTTCACAATCGAGCTTTTATCTATATGATTGAACCTTATAACAAGCATAGATACCTGGTTTATTATAACAATCCAACCTTCTTTTGTATTATCCCCTAGGATATTACTCACGACCTCCAGATATGGCTGCAATAAAATATACAAAAACAAATATAAAACAGTGAATCGGACATGTATCATATGTTTAAACCTCTCAACATTTTATCTAATAAGAATACTATAGTATAAATGATATAATAAGTACTATATCTAGTATTAAACTTTTATCAACAGCTAGAAACAGTCAATGGAAACAGGAATCGAAGAAATACCGATTTTTACACAGATTACCATTTTCTTTTTATCTTTTGAAAGACATACATATGTATATGTAAATAAATAATTAATTAAAAAGACTAGTACATATAAGAAAACACAAATGATTTTGTTCAAAATTTGTTAATGTGTATGAAAGTCGAAGAGAAATTGTCTTAACTGTTTAACTTAGGATAGTAAACCATGATTGCGTTTCGAGGTCAGTGTCAAGTTTCAATACATCAAATTAAAGTTCTTGTACAGATATATGCTGGGTTCTAGCTTATAGGATGAAGACGAATAATAAGTTTAGAACAGCACATACATATTCATATACAACACATATACAACTAATAATACATCAGTGTTAACGGTTAACATTACATATTATTTAAAACGTGATAAAAGTTGTTTTTACATTTTCAATTACCGAAATACTTAAAACGTAAAATTATCATCACATCAAAAGATCTTTCGTGTAGTATATCATAAAAAATAAATAATTAAAGCGGATATTTCTCTAAGGAAATATATTTAGTATTTTTGTTATAACATAGAGGTAAATAGTATATACTGAGAAATTAACTAGTCATATCTAAATGATGATATGTGGATAAATAAGTGAAAGATAAAAAAAGATATAAGTATAAAAATAAAATGGAAAGAAAATATTTGCCATTCTTAATTGGTTTACATTGTAATATCAATTGTTCTATGTTTTTAACGAATGAAATAAGTATAATATACGTTGCCTTGGGTCTTCCCTGTTTGTTTTGTTTAATCTTTTATAAATAGTATTTAAATATTAAGATGTCACGATTCACAGTTTAATCTTTAAAGAAGTGACACACGTTTACCTTCAGACTTTCTTTTGTCAAGGACCTTTGGTCATTTACATCCACACCTTCTGCAAGTTTTGTAATCATTTTCATGGTCATTATTATTGTGTCAGATGGTATCGTTTCATTATTTTCATTAAAAGCAGTTGTTGCGTTCTTCAGATGATTTAAAACGTACACTTTATCATAATCTGACGAGTTAATGACCTGAAATATATATATAACAAAGACATAGAAATTTGTCAATTTAGATCCTCAAAAAAATGAATGAAACAATATATTTTTACATACATTTTGTGAGGATCTAAATTGACAAATTTCTACGACTTTGGTTCCTGCTTAACATCAAATTAATGCCAACTATATTAAACATTGACTTTACATATACGAAATTGATCTATGTGAAAAAATTGTCTCATGTTTTTCAAATATAATACTAAGTTAGGTATGTATATATATTTTTTCTAAGTAGAAAATACATTTAAAATAGAACTATGTCATGTCATGTCATGTTATGTTATATTATGTTATGTTTTTTACTTAACAAATCGGAAAATATATATGATCATTATACTAAGTTTAAACATGTTCTATTTCTTAAAATATATATACATGTTTCGATTTACAATATTCACAAAGCGTAATACAAAACTCTTTACAGGATACAAAACGGTTTGCTGCATAATGTTTATTGATATTCAGTTGTCTTATTTTACCGACTCCACACACAAAAAGCACGTAAGTTATAATACATGAAAAATTTAGGTTACGATTTTGCTTTGTTAATCAGGACAAACCTGGTAATACAAATCATCAATTGACACATTTGTTTTCATACGTTCCATTTGTTCATCCCTTGGTCGATACTCACAATCCTTCGCAACTTTAATTAAAAGAAATGTTAAAGACAAAATATAATGATACTTTATTGCAACATTTAAAATGTCATTATTCAATTGAATTACTCTACTGAATAACTAAAAAACTATAAAGAAACAAACAAATCAATTTTTTTTGTCAATATTCTATTACAGATAAGTTAACGGTGTTTACGGATTGGTTGGATATTCACCACTTACAAATACCTTATACTGCCATCGCTTGCAAAAATGTGCCTATATGTGCACATAAAAAATGTATCCAATGTGGTTTAAAAAATATACACATCGCGTACACCAATGGTCTAAAATGAAATTAATTTCTTTGTCTTCGTTTTTCAAATCCAGTTGTTCGAGAAAAAAAACTAAAACATGAAATATTAGAAAAGAAGTGACATTGACTTGATGGCATAAAACTTTAGAATCTATTCCTACTATAAGCTATCAAGTATAGGTGAAAGAAATATTCGTATAATTTTCGTATTATTAATTAGTATTATTAACAGCTTCTATATTTTTCTTTAACAAAAGAATATTCATAAAATTTATCATGTTTTTCGTTTATATAGAAGATATCATACTAGGAGTTCACACGCACACACACACACATACACACATACATACATACATACATACATACATACAAGCTTTCTTGCCAGATTCATCTTCTGCATTCGTGATACTTTTAAAGTCATAGCTAAATTCATATCCGCTATTGCCTGTCTGAAAAATGCAAAAAGTATCAAAACCGTTAATGTGAAAAGTTTATTCATCACCAAAATAATCAACAAAATGGTAGATATCGATAAAAACTAAACTTGTTCATTCTTTAAAATGTAATAACTTAGTTTTTATTCCTAAAAGTGATATAACTTTATAATAAGTCAAGCAGGAAATATATACAAAAAATACATAAATGATAAGGGAGTTTATGCAAAATGGATTCTTACTCTATTTTCCAATAGGAAAATATGCTTATTTCTCTTCTTGAGGCATTGGCATGTTGGTCAAGCTAGTATTTTCAGTAGTGATAGTTTTAAGGTGAACAAAATATTTCTTAATTGACCTGAAATTTATATTCTTTTAAATCGTAAAATCATTGATACCTGGTATACTATCATAACCCAACTTTCTTTTGTATGATTCCCTAGGAGATTACTCCTGATCTCCAGAAATGGCTGCAATAAAATTATACAAGAACCAATATAAAACAATGAATCGGGCATATCTCATATGTTTACACCTTTCAACATTTTATCTAAAAAGAAGACTAAGTATAGATGATATAACAAGACTACACTTATATCTATATTTAGAAATCAGTCAATTGAAACATGAACCGAAGAAATACCAATTTTTACACAGATTGTCTTTTTCTTTTCTTATGAATGACTATTTAGATAAATAAATAACCATTTGCATTTGCCATTCATAATTGGTTTACTTTGTATACTGACATCAAGAATATTACTTGTTCTATGTTTTAACGAATAAAAAAAGAATTATATAAGTTGCCTTGGGTCTTACCTGTTTTGTTTAATATTTTATAAATAATATTTAAATATTTAAATGTCACGATTTACAGTTTAATCTTTAAAGAAGTTACACAAGTTTACCTTTAGACTTTCTTTTGTCAAGGAATTTTGGGCATTTAAATCCACACCTGCCTGTGTCGCAAAAATGTCCAAGATCTTTATTAATATGTCATATTGTATCGTTTCATTATTTTCTTTGTAAGCATATATTGCGTTCTCAAGCGGACTAAAAATGTAAATGTTCGCATTATCTGGCGCATTAAAATCCTGAAAAAAAATGTGTGAATAAGTTTCGATTTTTTTCTTTCGCCTCAGTTTAATATATGTATATTATTTGAAATCGTTGTATATTTAATGTTACATGGAATATTTTGTTAATCCCTAAGAAATTACTTTGTAGTGAATCAATTAAATGATCGAAAAACCAGATGATTTATTCAGAATTAAAAAGTTCATGTAATGAAATTTTTAAAAAACTCAATATTTGTTAAACTTTCTTTTTACAGAGCAACCTAGGGCATTTTATGTACATATACTTTTTTAGAATTGTATTATATTATCTTCTACTTATCTTAGCTTATCATTATGGTCTTCAACTGACACATTTGATTTCACATATACTATTTTTCAAATAGGAAGATATCCTTTTTTCTCTTCTTGAGGCATTGACGTGTTGGTCAAGCTAGTAGTTTCGAATATGACAGATTTAAGTTGAACAACATATTGACCTTAAATTTATAAACTTTTAAAACGTAAAATAAGCATTGATACCTGGTTTATCGTAACAATCCAACTGTAAATTGTATGATCCCCGACGAGATTACTCATGATATCCAGATATGGCTGCAATGCAATTATACAAAAACCAATATAAAACAATGAAACATGAAGGTCAAATATTATTAACCATTATGCGTTTTCTTTTACAGTTGAATTATGAATAATAAAGATACAAAATAAAGTTTTGATTTTAAATATAATTAAAGTCATGTTTCTTGCAAAATTTGGCATGGCTCCCGTAAACAAGATTTATAAACGGTTTAGTCTTTTTACTAAAACGTCGAGTCTTTTCTTCTAAAGTTGTTACTTATTTTAACATTACTGAACTATTGGTTAATTATCAATTCATAAAAGAAGATCTTTTGACCATTTTATCCATACAAACAAGATATGTTTATAAAACATGTATGCCCCCTATCAGCAGCCAATTAGTCATGTGGTAAGTAATTGTAACTGACTTTTAACCTAATGAATAAAAAATCAATAGGGGTTATCTAATGGTCATGACTAGTCACTAGGTAATTGTGACTTTTAAGGTTGTGTATAGCAATTTTATGATTAAGTTATCACGAATCTTACCAAATAATATATGCATATATTTACCGTCATTACGTGTAAGGTCAATGTGACTTTGACCTTTGACCCTTAAGTCAATAGCGGTTATTTACTGGCCAAGGCAAGGTCAATGTGACTTTGACCTTTGACCCTTAAATCAATATCGGTTATCTATTGGCCAAGATCAATGCAACTGTGAAGATTGAAGGTAAATGACCCATGAGTTGTTGAAATATTGATCAAAAACGGTTTTCTACTATAAGGTCAATATGATCTTGACCTCTGACCCCTTGACCCCAAAATCCATTGAGGGCATCTTCTGACCGAAGGCAATGCTTCTGTGAAGTTTGAAGGTCAAAGGTCCATGAGTTGTCCAGTTATTGTTAGGAAACCGTTTTGACATACAAGATCAATGTGACCTTGACCTGTGACCCCTTGATCCCAAAATCAAAAGTGGTCACTACTTCCTAAGAACAATGCACCTACAAAGTTTGAGGCCCAAAGGCACATGTCTTGTCAAGTAATTGATCGGAAACAGTTTTTACCTACAAGGTCAATATGACCTTTACGAGTACTTTGGACCACTTGACCCCAAAATCAACAGGGGTCATCTACTTGGGAAGTCGAATTCAACTATGAAGTTTGAGGGCCAACAACTTCTGGGTTATAAAGTTATCGATCGGAACCCGTTTGTACCTTCAAGGTAAATGTGACCTAAACCTTTGACCTCTTGACTCCAAAATAAATAGAGGTCATTTGCTGGTCATTAACAACTATCATACCCAGTTTGAAGTTTCTAGGCTAAAACATTCTTTAGTTATTAATAAAAAACCATTTTAACCGGAAAGGTCAATGTGACCTTTACCTTTGAACCCTTGACACCAAAATCAATAGAGATCATATACTGGTCATGGATAATCATCATGCCAAGTTTTAAGTTTCTAGGCTTAAGCGTTCTTCAGTTATTGATCGGAAACCATTTGGTCTATGGACCGACCAACCGACCGACATACAAATGCAAAGTAATATATAATTAAGGCAGATATAATAAAGAAGAATTGGTTTCAATTTCTTGTAATTGCATTAAATTATTAATAATTATGGTATCTTATACAAGTCGTATCTAGGTAGGCAGTTAAATCTATATTTCTTGAAATATCTTAAGTCTTTTTGTTATAGCAACAAATAAATGAGAGATAACAAGCCATATTTTGATATGACAAGCTCAATATCAAATTTTATTTATTTCAATTTAATCATTTTGTTTTCAAAGTAATATATAAGTACAAAATATCTTCAGAGCTGGTACATATTTACCTTTAGCCTGTCTTCTGCCAATGCCTTTGAGTTGTTTAAATCCAATTCTGCAAGTTTTGTCATCATTTTCACGACCTTTATTAGTCTTACGGCTTGAAATGTTTCATTGGTTTCTTTACATGCATATGTTGCGTTCTTAAGTTGTTTTAAAACATTCACTGGGTCATAATCTGACGAGTTAAACACCTGAAAAATGTATGAATAAAGCTAGTTTATTTTCTACTAACTTTACCTTATATTTATGTATATTATCTGAAATCGTCATATCTTCAATTATACATGGAATAATTTCTTAATCCATCAGAAATGACTTTGTTATGAATCTCTTAAATGATCTAAAAATCAGATTTATTCAGAATCAAAAAGTTAATGTAAAGAAGTTCAATGTTTTAAACTGTATTTTTACAGAGTAACAGAGGACATTGTATGTACATAATTATATAACTTTTCAAAATAGTTTTTTATTGTTTTTTCTTCTTCTATTTTAACAGCAACAAATGAAGTAGTCATAATGGCAAATCAGCTTGTTGAGTAAGAGAAGCCTGACCTTATCGTATAGGTCTTCAACTGACACATTTGATTTCACATACTCCTTTTGCTTGTTCTTTTGTAGGTATTCGCAATTCCTCGACACTTCATCTGAAAGTAAAGTTAGAAAATCATCCACTATTTTGACAACACATGCAATGGCATTGTTTAAATCATAACCTGTAACAAGTATAAGAAAGGTATTAAAATATCTCTTTGCTCTTGTGCAAAATTCAATGGCAGTATTTCAAAACTGAGGAGTGAACAGTATGTACAGGTTGGCTAGATATTACTACCTTGATAAACCTTAAATTGTCGTCTTTAGCACAGATCCTAGGTCTATATGTATCCAAAATTCACCGAAGTAATCCTTTTTCAACACGATGATAACAAAACTAGATGTTGCATTGTCTAAAGACCCTAAATACTTTTATATGCAGTCTTTTTCCTAATCATTTCTTATTGGGACGTAAATGCAATTTGTTTCAGTATGCTTTTCTCTGTATTGAAATTTGATGAAAACATGATACATAAAGTGGTAATATATTGACTACTTTTACCACTTTTCGTGTATTGTAAGAGTGTCATCTCAAATCTTTCTACTTATATTTCTATTTTATTCTGACAACATTAATTCAAATTATTGATAAAAAAGCCTCATCCAAAACATATTATTTGCCAGTTTATCTGCCTTTATTTATACAAAATATTTTTTTTGATTTTCTTAAATCTTCTTTAAGTTTACTTTAAGAGGCCGCTTAGCTCATAAGGAATAACATCGGATTTGAAATCCATAGAATGCTGGTTCGATCCTCGACCGAGGCGTAATTTTGCCATGACTAATGATCTCGAGCATTGAGTCTAATGGTAAGTTGTCTCTCATCACTGATTCAGAAAACATTTAGGATAATTTGTCGGTAACTGAGCTCCCCAGAAAAGCCAGGCGGTGGAATGGCCCCCGAGAAATGACCAAAAATGGGTGACATTCTTCGTAAAACCAAACAAATATAATTAAAGAGACACGAAAATGTTCATGTGTTACCTATAGGTAGTGAAAAGTTGAGCAGTTCCTCGACCCAAAGAGATTTTCGGGTTTCATCTGCAAAAGTTTCATTATACGGAGTTACATCATATATTTAAAGTTATTCATTACTAGGTAATAAAAAACTTTTAACATTCAATAAACAATGTAGCTCTGAAATTATAAATGAGTAAACTTATTTCGAAAACATTTTAATACTAGCCACAAATCTGAATTGATCTAATTCACTGCTTCGGCAAAAACCAGCAAATATTAATGTCTGCATATGTAATTTACTGTTTGTAGAATAAAATGGTGGACTTGCAAAACACGAAGATTATATTTTATTTAGGATACACACTTTTTTCACAGATAGATTGATATTTATCACTGCAATTAGTGACTGTCAATCCTTTGTTCAAGATGATACACAGGGGCTTGTTATCCAGGATATCAGGATCAATTGCACTTGACGACATTACTGATCGGGTTTTCGGATTGAAAATATTCGGTGATCCTATCCAAAACTTCTTCTCACAAACGTCTGTAAAAGAACATAATTTATGTAGAGAAAGTTTGACAAATATGCCACTCTTGTCTGATGATGTTTCGCTCGAGTTGACTGTTTTATTTATATTTAAGTTGTATCCCTTTAAGCCCAATGGGCGACAGTGAGTACTAGTCTACGAGAGTGGCAGAATATCATCTTTCGTGTAAAATATCAAGAATAAAGATCAACAAGGCAAAGGCAACGTTCACAGGACGCTGCCCCCGGACACATCCAAGCAGGACACCCAGAAGGCACCAAACAAAAACCCGGAGCGGACACAAGGGCGAAAGGAGCGGGACACGCAATGTGAAATAATATAAACAAAAACGGGCCCATAAGAGAATTAAAGGGAAAAGGGCTGTACGGGTGAAAAGGTGGGGGGGGGTTAAAAATGGAAGAGGGGGGGGAGAGAAAAAAACCTACCGTCAACGACAATCCAACAAGACAGACATCACAAAAACATGTAAACATCCAAAAACAAGTAACAATACAGACAAGAAAAACACGTGAAGGAACACAAAGGGGTACCGCCTTGGAACGGTCAGTGGTAGTTAAACCACTGGCGAGTTTAAACCGGTTTTAGGCGCGCCAAACCTCACTCTTAGCCCCAATATGTTCCTGAATGACACGAAAATGTGTATAAAATTAATCCCCGCCAAGTGAAATTCTAACAATGGTCATGGTTACATAAGACGAAATAAATAAAACACATACAAAATTATGTAAATATGTAAAAAAAGTTACACCCTAATGACCATTACCAAAGTACTCGATGCCTTAAAGGAAGGCAGAGCAACAAGAAAATTACCTACAATGGCCCGACGAAGCAAGGCAGAAGACGAACATTTAGACAATTCAGTCCCAAAGGACCAACTAGATCTTAAACTGTCCATCATAGAGTCTCCCACTTGGTCCGTCAGATGTAATTAAAAGAGGAAAGCGTAGCGTCAAACTGTAAAAGGGTTGAACACCAAGCATGCGGTATGCCTTATAATAATTGGGTCATAACCTCTTTTAATAAACCGTTTGATAATTTTAGTGAAGACGGCAGAAAAATTACAATGACCCATGATCCTACGAAGTTTGTAAATCACATCTCCATAGAAGTCAAATGCTTTATAACTATGCAAAAAGAAACAAGGGAATATTTCTTGATATGGAAAGGGTAGAAATATAACAACAGAACACATTTGTGACATGTAAGGCATGTAATAAGGAAACTCTACCCGTTTATGTGTGTATATAATTGCTTACGGAAAGAAAAATAATTATTTAAAAAAAATGTATGCATGTTTGTGTAAACTCACTGTTTCCTTGGAGAATATGGTATTCCGATACAGTTCCGATTGTCACCAGACGTGTTCCAATGGTTTCGCAATGTATCTGTTATAAAAATTACGTGTAATCAGAGAATTGATTAAAAGTGCACCAAATACGATCATGATACAAATAGTTTAAGAAATTAACAACAAATCTCAAATCTTTGCACTTGTTTTGGAAGTTTGGAACTTAAAATAATGTGACATTGTACATCCGTTCTCATTGTATACATGTATATCAAACATTCTTGCACACAAACTGAGCACGCACGTGAAAATTTAAGGAAAATAACGCATACATTAACGGATAAAATTACGCGAGCATGTACCTTTATTGAACGGGCGCCATGTATAAAAGCTGAATGCAAAGATGCCCGCTCACTCACATCCCCTGGTAATTTATTATAAAAACATAACTGTCATATTAAATGCACACGTATATACTGCTTACCTTTTGCTACGTTGCTAAGCACCATGAGTTAATTTTTATATTTATACAAGTATAATAATAATATCTGTCATATTTTGCGGTTCGGATCGGAATATCCGTACTGAGGTGACCCGCCCATTGGACGGTAACGAGGCTTGCCCCTGACATGAATCCGTGTTGACTAATTCGTTACAACTCGCCTAGGTAGCATGGAAAGCATGAACTCCAATATGTTTATGTTTTTGATGGGGTATACAATCATATGTCTTTGTTATACAGTGACATAACTGGCTTATTGTCATTCAGCTTATATTTCTTGCATTTGTCACTTCGATATGGCGGATGCTTACATTAGGCGGCATTTGATAGAAGCAGAGTTATGGAGGGCTGTAGGGATAGTACAGCAGGGAGACACCTTCTGCCAGATTGGTGCGGCGTTTAGTGTACACCATACCGTCATAACCAGAGCCTGGGAGGGAGTCCGGCTACATGGTACACACGTAAGGAGGCAAGATGAAGGTCCGCAAAGGGTCACAATACCAGCGCAGGATTGGTTTTTTGTCGGTTAAGCATGTCTTGTTTTTGACAGCAACTTCTCTTCAAAATGACCTTGCTAATGCTGCGGGGTCCGTGTTTCCACGCAGACGGTACGTAGAAGGCTTCGTGTAGGTAATTTGCGGTAGAGCAGACCTTCATCAAAATCTACTTTATTCTTTTTTTTGTTTTTCGATTTAGATTTAAATTACATTCTAGACAAAACATTTACTTAAAACGTAATCGATAATATTCTGGATAGCTAATTACAACTCTATCGTGATGAAACAGTCCATTTCAACGCTAAATTCGCTAAACGGGAAACGCCGCTGAGGATACAGATAAAAAAATCATTACATTAACATCGCTTGAAACTTCAATCAAATGTACATGGTATAGTTTTCATTGATTTTCGATATTCGAGTTTACAAAATTTTTATAACAAGACAACATAATGTCTTTGTTGATACTTAAATTCAGCGACATGCACTAACTCAAAGGGAGAGATAGCGCAATTTATAGTTTACCTCCGAAAGAGGAAGCTCTTGTTCTTTACAAGCCGTGATTTGGCTGAAACGAAAATATTATGTACAGACAAATGTACAAACGCAGCAGAGCATTAAAATACATTATCTTTTTGAAAATTATTTAGATTTCATGCGTTCATGTTTTATTTTACCTTTGACGAGTACAAGGTCCTTGGTTCACGTGACAGTATGTACTTTGAATCCTTGTATGTGAACCCACCCATGTTACAGTCTGAAAGAATTGCCAATTTAACATGTTAAATGTTTCATATTAAGTAATTTGACATAATCTTTCATCTAATGATTTATTTTTTTATTTAAACCGATATTACAAATGTCATGAATAAAATAAAAAAAGATCACTGTGTTTTACGGACAATGCGAGCAAGTTGATGTATAAACATTTTAATTGTATTTTATATATAAATTGCAATTAACGTATATCTTTAAAAACGAACACAATTGTTTTAAAGCAAATATTATTTATAAATAAATACCTTGTGAATACACTGCAAATATCAAAATTACAAAACAAAATATATATTTAAACACATTCCAAAACATTTTACTGTAACAATCGTAACAATATTATGAAATAGTGAGACTTTACAGGCAAAATAATTATTATCTGTCACATGTTTACAGCAAGTAATTTATGCCATATATCGAAGATAATATCAAATTGATGTGCAATTAGCGATAATGTTTTGTTCCAAACTGGCTCATAAGCGATATTGTCTATTAACGTCCAATATCTTAGCAATGGTCTCTGAAACATTTCCTGTTCTAGTCTTTTGTACAACCATTATATCTACTATGATGACTTGATAATAGTATATGTCAATATATATAGATATCTCATGAGTGAGATTAAAAAAGCGTGTTGGTGTCCCACACTAAATACCGTATTCCGGTTTATACCAGACAAGGCGTTTGAATGACCAGATGCTAAAATATTTTGCCTTTACTAACGCCTAAAAGCATTTTAATACGTCTAATTCATCTCTCCGTCCGCACAAATTTATAAACTATCATGAAAGAAAAATGTACGGATCGGCATAAAAGCGATATTTTTTATACGTGATAGCGTCTAGAGGTATTGCTCCAACACTGTAGTGAGTTAAATTAATATATCTTAGTGGTTGTCAGTTCGAACATAGGATTCATACCCTTTATACCCACAGAAGCTTAGCTTTAGTTTAAATGTTTTAAAAATAAAAATTCTGCTCACAAAATTTCATTGTCATGATGAGCTGAATTGATTATATATTTCAAAAGATTAACAGTTGTAATTGGGGTTGACTAACAGTTGATATTTGAAATTGAAATTAGGTAAATTTCAATGGATATTTACAGAAATTTCCTTTGATCATGTGAGTTTCATTCGACATGCGAATATATTGTAAAAATTGCGATGAATTATGGTAAAATGAAAAATGAATTTGACTTAAAACTTTTCAATCGCTATATAAACTTAGATAGATATAATATCACTTCAAAGTGAATTAACCATAATTGACCATATATTATTATATAGATAGTATTTAGTGTCATACGTAACAGCAATGAAAGAATTATATGTCTATGTTTGCGAACATAATTCGAGAATTCATATTTATAATAGCCGATAAAAATAACATTAGATTTTATCATATAAATGTGGATACATAATCACTCGGTCAGCTTTCTTTTTTCAAGAACAATATGAATATTCAAATAATACTGTTTAATTGTTTTATCAATATTTGAAATACTTATGAAAAATATGCTCATTGTAGACCAATCCACTTTAGTAGTTAATATTTAGGGTTATTATCACCATTAGTTTTATCGTTACCGTTATTCTTCTTATTATTATTATCATTGTTATTTTTATCATCATCATCATCATAATTTTATTATTATTATTATTATTATTATCATCATTATTATTATTATTATTATTATTATTATTATAGTTCCATTCAGTTCATTTACATTAAGTTCATACGGTTCATTTTCCTCGCCCAACCAACAATATATTGGCAAATGTTGTTGTTTTTTCGTGGCTTATCACTAAACATTTGACATTAACATGACATTTTCAGATAAACGAAAACAATGCCCATATCACTGTATGCTGACAATTAAGAAAAGGCCTCATTAAAGAATAAAATACTAATGAAACTATATTTTGAATATTATCTTACAGGATTCTGTTATCTAACTGAAATTCTGACATTATTATGTTATTATTGTTATGCTACATATTATCAATATTGCTTCATATGCCGCTAGATGATAACGAAATAGGAGTGTCATCCCTTGGAGATAACGTACTAAATCTATCGTCAAACATTCCAGATAACGAAATAGGCGTGTCGTCTTTTGCAGATAATTAAATAGGATTGTTGCCGCTTGCAGACAATTGAGTAGGTGTATTGCCCTTAACAGATAAGAATTTAGCTAGGTCGCAGCTTGCAGAACTGATAATGAAATAGGATTGTTTGCCCCTTGCAAATAATGAAATGAAATTGTTGCCCTTGCAGGCAACGAAATATGTAAGCGTCACGTGATTCATCCGCTGAATGAATAATTACTTTACAGATTCTGAAACGATATGAAATGTTATTGTTTTGTATAACTGCTCAAGGGGCTGCAATTTAATCTCATTCTAGAACGATTTTCGGCTCACCGTCGGCAAAATACCAGAGTATTCCCGACGGACACACCTATACCCGCGGTCACCCGGTCAGACCACCTAACCATCCTACCATGTGCGGTTCTGCGTAATTGAGTCTGGTCCCACCAGGGGCCAGCCGGAATTGGCCAGATATGAGCTGTCTAGAACGATTTTTTGGCTCACCGTCGGCAAAATACCAGAGTATTCCCGACGGACACACCTATACCCGCGGACACCTGGTCAGACTCCCTAACCATCCCACCATGTGCAGTTCTGCGTAATTGAGTCTGGTCCCACCAGGGGCCAGCCGGAATTGGCCAGATATGAGCTGTCTACAACGATTTTCGGCTCACCGTCGGCAAAATACCAGAGTATTTCCGACGGACACATCTATACCTGCAGACACCCGGTCAGACCCCCTAACCATCCCACCATGTGCGGTTCTGCGTAATTAAGTCTGGACCCCACAGGGGCCAGCCGGAATTGGCCAGATATGAGCTGTCTAGAACGATTTTCGGCTCACCGTTTGCAAAATACCAGAGTATTCCCGACGGACACACCTATACCCGCGGACACCTGATCAGACTCCCTAACCATCCCACCATGTGCAGTTCTGCGTAATTGAGTCTGGTCCCACCAGGGGCCAGCCGGAATTGGCCAGATATGAGCTGTCTAGAACGATTTTCGGCTCGTGGTCGGCAAAATACCAGAGTATTTCCGACGAACACCTATACCTGCAGACACCCGGTCAGACCCCCTAACCATCCCACCATATGCAGTTCTGCGTAATTGAGTCTGGTCCCCACAGGAGCCAGCCGGAATTGGCCAGATATGAGCTGTCTAGAACGATTTTCGGCTCACCGTCGGCAAAATACCAGAGTATTCCCGACAGACACACCTATACCCGCGGACACCCGGTCAGACCCCCTAACCATCCCACCATGTGCGGTTCTGCGCAATTGAGTATGGTCCCCACAGGGGCCAGCCTGAATTGGACAGATATGAGCTGTCTACAACGATTTTCGGCTCACCGTCGGCAAAATACCAGAGTATTTCCAACGGACACACCTATACCTGCGGACACCCGGTCAGACCCCCTAACCATCCCACCATGTGCAGTTCTGCGTAATTGAGTCTGGTCCCCACAGGGGCCAGCCGGAATCGGCCAGATATGAGCTGTCTAGAACGATTTTCGGCTCACCGTCGGCAAAATACCAGAGTATTCCCGACGGACACACCTATACCTGCGGACACCCGGTCAGACCCCCTAACCATCCCACCATGTGTGGTTCTGCGTAATTGAGTCTGTTCCCCACAGGGGCCAGCCGGAATTCGCCAGATATGAGCTGTCTAGAACGATTGTCGGCTCACCGTCGGCAAAATACCCGTGTATTCCCGACGGACACACCTATACCCGGAGTAGCCAGAACAGCCGGAGTAGACGAAAATTAGTTCTGGCTGCTCCGGCTGTCCGGCTAACTTCACGCACATCTTAAAATATGATAAAAAAATGCTTTCGTTTGGCGACATGAGAAAAGAAAAGATTTGTAAGTTTGTGTACACAAATAATGATATGAATTTAGCATAGGCATGTTTCAGAATAACAATTTTTATTTGTTTGGGTCGTCTGACCAAACAAATAATGGTAGCGAAATTTCAGAGTCTAATGCTGTTAATTGCAAATGCCGAAAGTAGTCAACTTTTTTGAAGCGGTTACTTCCCTTTATATGTACACTAACGCCGAAAAATTCAGGGGAAATCACTGCGTTAAGATGGTCAAAGACAGACGTATTAATTTTCAAGCAAAATAATTCCCGAATGGTTGAAGATTTCTAATATTGTTTTATTGTATTTTCTGATCGAAAATAAGTAAATACAAAGCGGACATTCAATCTCTGACACAGAAGTTTCACGAAAAACCTAACAACAAGTAGTTCTCAAAACAGCTTAAAACTAGCGATTTAAAAGAAAGAAATACTTTTATTTTGTTACAAGTATCCAACAAATTACAACGCATTCAAAGTTTAAAAATAGCGTTGGCTTATAGAATTGTCAATAAATGCACAAACACAAATTACGCGGATGAATATGATTTTATCAATGAAAATACTAAGTTTAGCGATGTCAATTACCGAATACTACACAAACGGAGTAGTGGAATATATAGATTCTACATGTCGGACTGTTTAGGCGAGAAGGTTTTCGCTAAATTATTTACTTCAATTTTAAACAACAGGTTTATCCAGAACATAAGCCCTCGTAATTAATAAGGATTACAAACCGAAATGCAATGGAAGTTCTAATTTAGAATGACTTGATGTTATTCAGACTGTTTGTATAACTTCTCAGTGGTGCAGGGGTAACGCACTCGCTTTGTGAGTGAGAGGTCTGGAGTTCAAATCCCAGTCGAGGAAAACTTTTTTTTTTTAAATTCTTTTTTAATTGTCTTTGTTAAGAAAGTAGTCATGATATGCAAGGATAAAGTGTGGCTGTCGTAAAAAATGAACATAAATGATTTTTTGATGCAACTCTAGTTATGCAAAATTCCGTATGTATCAAACTCTGGTGCCTTGCGAGATGAATTATAGTACATAAAAATAAACTTATACAGGAAAATACATACAGATATACAGTACGATTTAGATTGCAAAGATCAGAAAATACCACAGAACTTGCAGCCCTTTGATTCTTTATAAATATACATGCTTATAGTAAGCTCCAGGATTATTTACATCTGTGTTAAACAACAGTTAAAGTCGTTACAAGCCCTAATTTAGAATAATATTGTTTTCTTCAGGCCGTTCACACATAAATTCACCGTGGCTGAGGGGTTTTCGCACTCGCTTAGGAAGCGAGAGGTCTGGAGTCCAAATCCCAGTAAAGGAAAACTCTTTTTTTTTCAAATTGTTTAAGTCAAATAAACATTGGATTGAATATCAGTGTTGCAATAAGTCTTATAGCCAATTTACTTCAATTAAAACGCTAGAAAGCATTGGTGGCACTATAATCTCACAACCTGTACTTTTCTTACATTTTGAGACCCAAACAAATTCAGCGCCTTCTGTGCTTTAATTAAACTTTGAAGGTTGTCTAGCATGTAAACGTTAATTATCATTCAAAAAGTTACAAGCTCAAACCTAGTCATAAACATCAGAGGTTAATGCATGATGTAGTTGAAACCAACTTACTAGGGAATAGCATCTAAAACTTAACACTGATTTTTTTTTAAGAACTCAGAAATATATCACATCTGATTAAACAGCGTTAACTATTAAAATGCTTAATAGGAATTTTATAAGATGTCATTTAGTGCATGTAACTGTTGCAAATTGAAAACCGCTTAAATTAGCGATACCGTATTGAGAGAATTTGCATTTTTTATTATCTCTAATGAATAGACTCAAATAAATCGAGTATTTTATTTTCAAAATTAGTGTTGTTTCACTGCTGTTTATGGATCTTACATCGTCTAGAATATCAAACAAGAAAACATTGAGTACATCTAAATAAAAAAAGTTTTATTGGAAACACTCAAGTTAGTGGCATTGATAGACAGATAAATATAGAGAGAAACGTCAAAAAATAAAGATGATAGTGATGACATAAATTCTAAAAAAGAAAACTAAGAGAGAACGATTAATAAAAAAACCAAACGAAAATAGAGGACTCCTTCAACTGATAGTATTCAGACAAAATTAAAGCAAAACCATTATTTGTGGCCCACAAAACAGTTTTCAATTCTTAGAAAAGACAAAATGATTTTTTTGTTTGAATAATGGTTATAGAGCATGTAAGAATGTAGCAATGCAAACGAAGTTATTTGTCATAAAAGTAAACACATGTACACATGTAAGCACAGTACTTTAATACTATAATTGCATTATTTTCAAAAAGCAACAGAAGCGAAACATGCTACAAATAGTTGGGCAATGAGTAACTTTTCGAAGACGAAAACAGGAAGTTTTTCAGAAAGAAAAATAAAATAATTTCTGGTGCATAATGGGCCTTAAACAGATCCATGCCTGTCGACATTTAGTTTAAATAAATACAAGCAAATGGAGAGCATTTTTATTGAGATTTTTATCAAGTTTTGAGTTGATATAAAAATACGTGCTAATGAAAACAAAATACAAATTAAGTTGTTTGTCTTGCAAACTAAAACCTATTTGATGCTTTCATTTTGTAAAAAATATTAATACGAAAGAAAATGACTCAATAAAAATGTTAACGAGAGTTTCATACAATCATAACTGATGGTGGCAGACCATAAAAATGCTATTAATTTTATTATTATTGCTTACATTAATATTACCTCGCCAACAATGCAAAACATATTACATAATAAAACAAATATTTATGTTGGTACTTTATGAAGTGAATTGAGCTGAATCATAATCATTGTGTTGCTGCTCTGTGAAATATACGTAGATAAAGAAAAAATGGTTTTAATATTAACATATGCTGTAGTAATAAACTTGGATAGTTTATTCCGCATTAGAACGAAGAGCCTTTGTTTTAGACGTGTGCATTACCACCCAAAAGAAAAATATCTATTCATACAAGATAAAACGAAGTAAGTAACAAAAAGGAACTGTTTCGATTAGAATTCAAAAATATGGGTGAAAAAATCATTGCAGACATTTAATGATGATTTACAAAAGTACAGCTTTGAACAAATAAATCAAGGTTTTTTTTACTGTTACGTTTCATAAAGTTTCAAATTTACAAAAAAAAATGTTGTCAGATTTTATCATTTAAGAAAAGTGCTGCTTGAATAGGGCCATTAGGGTATTATAATACTCATGAAACAGAATCATTATTGATTTGAAAATGTTAAAAGTTCTGAAAACTTTATGATTCCTTTAATGATAATCTACTTTTAAATCTAATTATATAACGAGATACAAGAAGATGCTTGATACCATTCCATTGCTTAAAACAATGTTTTCATTCTTTAAAACCTCATTAATTACTCATTTATTCAAACTAATGAGCTTAATTAGAAATTCTTTAAGATTTAAACAAGTAAGGTCCTTATCACTTATAAAATATCTACGATTCATGTTTTATCAGCAGCCGTGTAAGACAGATTTAGAACTATAGCAATTTATAACCAACCAACTGTTTATAAAACTGCTTAATTTTCTGTACTATCGCAGATTAATGTATGCTTCAACGTTAAATTACAATATTCAAAATGTCTTAATCATTTACATGTACACTCTCCCATATTAGATTTTTTTTGTCGTCTCGTAATAAATCGCGGTTACAAAAATAAAAAATGAGCATAATATAGTTAACGTACCGGTAATCTACAATAATCACTAAACTATAACATAAGAATTATCTTGATTCAGTAATTTTCCTCGAATGTTAATTTATCAAAGTAGAATAAATGTTTCTTTTTGTACATGAACATTCTGCAAGTATCGATATTAAGTTTAACGACAAAGAATTTAATACACTCTTTTCAATTTTAACCGCATGTAGAGCGCACATTAATTAAAAATTTTGTATTGATCTGATTTTTTTTTCTATTTCAATGATATATTTGACCAGATATTTACGTATCATTTTGCGGCAGTGACGTTTTTATCATAAGAATACATGTATCAGCTTTTACAAGCCTAATACATGAAAGGCTTAGCCTATTAAAAACGAGAATTTTCGTTGTTGAATGATTGTATAATCCTTCAAATGATTCCTTTTGTCTTTTACATTTGAACTTCATTCATTGCCCTTCTTTATTTTGCCAGTACGAATTAAATGCAATTAACTTTTTTATTGACAGATCAAGAAATCACTATTGTGATTTTCCTTTTGAAAGTTTTATGTCAATATTTCCTCAAAATCTGGTGAATATGAACAATATTCAACATTTAAGCGCATGCATTCTTTACAAAATCAGGTTACTTAGTATTTATTTATTAAATGAACTTAAAATACTTTAGCTCGAAAGTCTTACATTTTTGTGGTCGAATATTTCATAATAATAGAACCATTTACATAAAACGTTTAAACAAAATCCATATGTAAGTGTTACTGTCTAATGTACCTATTTACATCAATACCAAAATAACCCGAATGTCGCATGTTGTAATAACTTGAAGTAGAAGCATGTGTTTCTTGAGAGGGTATACCGGGTTTACTGTTTTACAGTGATTGGCATCAAGTTAGTTAACTGCATGTTTACTTGAACAAAGCTGTTTAGCATTATATAAGTCAATATGCAATTATCTAATTATCTAATTCTACAAATAATTAATTATGTCTAGAGACGTACGTTTTATGGTTCTCATTGATATTTGACAGATTTATGTTTACTTTTGCAATATGGTAAGTTCATAAAGCAATGATGTGTATAAAGTCGCTGTTTTTTACCTAAATCTGTGTCTGAAATTGCGCAATTAGAGGTACAGTGTACTCGTACTTTGGAAGTTCCTCTTTCATAGGATTTGAAAAATCGGTGTGGATTCTCGTTTACTTGTGTTGGTATAAACTTTACAAAGGCGCACGATTTGGACTTAACATTGTTATGTGATCTCGACTTCACAACGCCAAGCCATCTAAACGTAACGGTGCCATGATATTTATTTAAAAAAAAGAAAAACAATTGTCATGGGATTTGAAATCATCAGCATCTCGTGATTAAGATATAACAACATTGCGAGATTTATGCTCAAAGCTATCATATGATTAACACCTAATAACCTCTTGGTGGCAGTAGGTTCTACTAATGCAACCAGCTCAGACTACGATAAGCCAGTACTTTCGCGCTGTCAGATCATGGTCTATATTATTCGCTTTTCAGTCAGAACATGTTTTGAAATTGTCTCAAAAATGATTAATGATTGAGTACATTTAAAATATTTAGCATTGTTAAAGCTTTATATACAAATGTATATATTGCTTGTAATCGTCTCTTTGATGCATAAAGATACAAAGATATTCAGCAAAGATTGTTAAAAAAGAAATCAAAACGTTCCTAAAATTTGTTTTATTCAAAATAAATTATAAATACATAATCTTTTAACGAATATAACACAAATAGACTTTATAAATATACTAACACAAATCCTCGCATTAAGCAGTTATTCAATATCAATATAATAAATAATACAAAACAATAGCGATAACAATTTCATTAAATGTTAACAATCTAAAAATATATCAGAAAACAATGCTAAAACATTGTAAAACATATGTATATAATGCAAACATTATAAAATCTTCATTGCTATCATACTTTTTTCATAAAGCATTTCTTCCAATTAAATGTAGTATAAAACCACTCTGAATTCCAAACTCAAAGATCTATTACGTAAATCAGATTAAGTTATAGTTTAAGTTATGTTCCAATGTTCTTTTTTAAGTCATTTACTTTGAATACACAATTGATTTATCTAATTCGGACAAAACCATCAAGAATATGCGCATTAGTGTCGATTAGTTCTAATAGCATTTAAATTCTTGTTATACCAAAGCACTTTTATGTTCTATATTTTAATTCCAAATTCCGCAAACGCCCTCCGCAATGGATATCATTTATTTCTTGAAGTATTTAAAGACCTGAAAAAAAGAAAATGAGGATTATATTGAAAATTTATTTGTTGCTCGATGTACTCCTGAATGAGCTCATTCCTTACAAAACACATAAATTGTTTATCATTTTCCTGTGTTTAAATTACTAAATATATTATCGTTTTTTCAATAACTCACGTCTACACACCAGAATTATTCTATTATTGAAATATCATTTTCATAATAATCCATAATCATTCTATGTTTAATATTTTATTCCCGTTATTATCTCTAATTATTCTATTACTGTTATCTCATTTTTATCTTAAAAATTAAAAATTTTCTATAAGTCAATAAATACATACCAAGACAGAATTTCTTCATAAATTGTGGTTTAGATTCCATCAACTCTTGATACGAAGGTACTCGGATGATGTGCCGTTCAACTGGGCTGCTACATAAGGCTTTCAGTTCATCATCAACACTATCGCCTATTGCAACCACAAACAATTCAACATCTTGAAGTTTTGTTCTTCTTGCTTCATCTAAGACGGTTTTCTTGTCATACAAGCTATCGTCTACAAAAATAACAGCCATGCGTCTTGCAATGTTTCTTCCACCGTTTTCTTTCGTATAAGAATGGGTCCTTAACCGTTTTAGCATATCTGGTAATTGGGATACTTTTGTAGAGCGAAATGCCTTTGCTAGATCTCTGCTGTTGTTGTATTGATTTAAAGAAATATTTGCTGCACCACAGTTTTGGGATTCTAATCCGACCTGTATGTTGTCTTTTCCCATATTGAAATCGTTTACAACATTACCAATGAAATCATATATGCGCTTTGTGTGAAATGAACCAACTTCAGAGGGGTCGACTACAAACATCACATCGGCTATGTTATGTTTGCCACATTCTGGACCTGAATTGTCATCCTTTTGATCCTCTTTCTCGGTTTCCACTGATTCTTCTTCAACTTTAACTTTAAAACATATAAAAATGAATATGTTAGTTTTAACTTAATAGTCATTCCGTGTCTGAGATAATCAAAGTTAAACAGAAACATATGAATAATATTGCGCTTATTGATTGAAATTGGTTGCTTTTTAGGTAAAATACCCTTTTAATGTTTAATATTCTTTTATAAAATAAAAAAGAAACCTTTCATATTACATACATATTAACCAAAGCATAGTTACATGGAAAAATGTTTTTAAAAAGAAAATTTTAAAAATTCACTTGTAAAGGATAGAGATATTCTTGTTTTACTTATTTAGCTGAATTTACCTTCACAAGCCTTGGTTGTTAACTTATTTTTGACAGTATTGTCTAGATCATCAAAATTATCAACTTCAAACAAGTATTTGTCATCGGGATTTTTAGGAGTACTTGCTATAGCAGCAAGTTCATCTTTATTTGTCCTTGAGCCTATACCAACAGCGAAAACGACAATACCTTCGTCCTGGAAAAGGTAAAACATAGTTATAAAATACAAGAGTGATATTATATTATCCTAAATGTAGCTAGCAATAACCATAAAATAAACGATTATTATATTCCTTTCAATGATTTATTCTATTTACTTTTTTAATTTCAAGAGTCCATATTCTCCATGTATTTTAAGTTTTTTTAACAGTATTAAAAGATACAATGCTTGATTGTCTTCGCTAGTACTTCGCTAGTCTATTTCATAGATGTTATACATTATGAGACTTTACATATTTATGAATTTTAGAATGTAATTATTTCACTCATTACCTTGACTTTTTGTGCCATGTCTTTGGTCTTCTTGGCATTGAAAGATGCTCCATCCGTCAGAACAATTAGAATTCTTGCAATGTCTTTGCGAACTTTATCCTTGCTGAGACCTCTACTCAAGACGCCATTCAAAGCTTTGTCGGTATGAGTCCCGCCAATATATTGTGGTATTCTTTTGACAGCATTTTCTATTTCTTCTATTTTACTGTACCGATCAAGCCCAAAATGTTCATGAAATGTGTATGAGAAAGAAGCAACACCAATTCTTGTTTTGTCTGGACCAATCTCAAAGGTGTTTACAACGGCTTTAACAAACTCTAGCTGTTTTTTGAAGTCTACGGACCATATACTCGTAGAGGAGTCAAGCAGGAAATATATTTCCGCCGGTTTAGCCCCACATACTAAAATAGATTCAGATAAATTTTGATTATTACATATTCATATTAAGCTCTAAACGTATTTAATTCGTTGCAAACGCTCTCTTGATGTAATTTACAAACGGTATATTACATATATTCTTTTAATGATTAGTGTTGTTTAAGTTATGGTATTCCTAATGATGCATGCATTTAAAAGAAACAGATGAAATATGTTTAAAAAATAATTAAATGTCGTACCATCTCCACCTATCAGTTCTGAAGGTGCAGCTTCATAATTTGAAACCTGTAAAATAACAAAGTTTGTTTTATGTGAAGCATGTCAACATTAATATAAAAAACATTTCATAATAATTGAAAATGCTCAAAAAATTCAAAATAAACTAATTTTAGAATGATACTTACATAATAGGTCATCATAATTAAAACAATTCTACAATACATGGTTGCCATTCCCATTTTTTACTTTCTCTACTGAGATAGTTGAACAATATCTATTTTTGACTAAGTTAATGTTTGTAATTGACAGTGTTTTGTCTAATGGCTTCGATCAGATTTGTTACGGCTTATATACCCTTCATTCATAAAGTATGAATGAAGGGCCGTGGGAATGAATTCACCGTCTTGGAATGTCAACTATTTTCGAGTGTTGGCGGAAAATCCCGACTATTCTCTTATAAGGTAATTTTCGATTTCTCAAGTAGAAATGCAAACACGTAAATGAGAGTTTCCGTAATTGTAAAATTTATTATTTATAACTTTTTTAAGTATCACTTGACAATGGCTCGGTTTTTAAGTTGTCATTATCTAGCAAATTAATGGGAAAAAACGATTATTCATTGCACTTTAATGTATCACTCCTTGTTATTCGCATGCCAATTTGCTAAGAATATATATATTGGTCAGTGGGTCGTGACCTACTTATAAATAATGCGCTGGTGGGCAACAAAATAAGCTTATTGAATTAGTATCTATGGTTGATTAGAAGACGCATATTTGAGGCAAACCATGGTCAGTGGGTCGTGACCTACTTATAAATAATGCGTGGTTGACGATTCTGACATCAAAGTTAAAAAAAGCTTTTTGAATATTGCAACATTAATAATATCTATGGCTGATCTAAGAGATGCATATTTGAGGCAAACCATAGTTAGTAGACAGGGCGTTATTACAATCTTTGAAAATTTGGGTTATTTATATAAAAAAAAAGTCGTTGGTTTGCCATGTGTTTTAAAAAGAGCAAAATGCATGTCCGTATTATATATTAGCAAATATGATACTTGTAATACGGAAATAATGAAATTGAAGAAACTCAACATTGTTTTGTAAATCTATCCTCATACAACAAGTAGTAAAAATCTTTCTTGTATGTGTATGTATGTAATCATTCTGTTTTCATATTGCTTAGCTTATCTAGTAAAAGTATAATTACTGTCTCTTTACCTATTTGATTCATGAATATTTTTAAATAGATATACATGTTGTGCACTAACTCTAGAATGAAATGTTGTTACTTTTCTTGAACTGCATTTGCATTTATATATGTTAAGTATTATTAAGTTTGGGTCAATTTCCAAAATCAAGGTGTAAATGAATAATATTTTTTATTCGTGTCTGAATAAGTTAGAAGTTTTGTTTTGGTTTGATGGTTTTAGTATCACCGTTAAAATATTAGTTTGTGCTTATTACTGTTGTGATGGAAACGCGATGGATATTTTACATACAAGATGATATGTAATACGTTTTTGGTTAATCCATTAGTAAACATCTTGTTATTTTTGCTCAATCTAATTTGAATAAATGTCTCATTTTATACGCATTTTATGTCTGATTTGTTTTCAATATACGGAAAATCCGTTTTCTGCTATGCATTTCATTTTATTGTTTTCAACATAAAATATTCAGCGACATTATAATGTAGCATAATGTGATGTGCAATCAGAAAAAAAACATCTGCTGACATCTGTGTTTCATTAAGACCAACAAATAGTAATATATTCATTTAGAAACCGATTGGTCGCTTTTTATTTTCTTTATTATATTAAGTAAAATACAGTCAAATGATGTAATATTACGAGAGGTATGTCGATAATGTTACATGTAGTAGGCCCTATATTATATTCACGACATTTCTGGTAAAAAATGAGGTTTAACTACCAACCGGTTTTGTACTCCCTAACAATTTTTTTAGATCTGCTTCTTCTGTGTATCACATTGTTTGATTCATCTTGGTTTGTTTTTACTTATATTTTATGATCAAAGACCCTTCATTTCGTAATAACGACACTCGTTTAAACGGTTGGAAGCGATTTCAATCGGGCATAATCGCACAAAATATCGAGTTTCAATTTGATTCTGCAATCTGCACATATTTCATTAATATATTTTGCATTTTTCTTTTCAGTTTTAAGTTCTCCACTTGATCTGTTTAAGATTTTCAAATATAATAGTTTAGGCTTTTGGACCTCATATGCAGTGAAGCTCTTTTAAAGTGACATAATGATTGCTACTAATACGTCTTTAACAAAATTAGGTTTCTGTCGATCCCTTTTCTGTTGTTTCGATATATTTCTGTGTACATATTTGATCGCTGGTTTTATGAATCACCCTTCTTTCACGCTGGTATGTTCTGTGGTTATAAATCAATCTTTTACTCATGGCATGTTTATAATGATTAGAAAAACAAACACATTACTCAACTTCTATGTCTAATAAAACGCATGTCTATTACATGATGTCATAGTAAATAACGTTCTTCAAAGATGTACTGTTCATAATAGATTTAATGTGATTATCTTTCCGAATTCTGTGTCATATTTACGGTATTAAGATCAAATGATGGCCAAAAATATTTATAACATCAAATTACAGGTATTTTACTATAACACTATAACATAGCAAAAGCATAAAACCTCACTTAAACTGAAGCAGTGTAATAATAAACCATGCACCCTGCCTGATTTAAAAAAAAACACGCATAATAAATGGTTACGTTTTCTTTCTTTTGAGTGATAAAGAAGAAATATAGCTCTTGTTTCACATGTGAAAAATAGTATATGCATGTTTTATTAAATGTTTCTGTCATAGATTGAAAAAAGAAGAAACATATTATGAAAAATTATGATTTTACACTTAATGTATCAAACTGAAATATTGTCAAATGAATGTAGGAAGTACTCAAAGCATTACAGACGGCACTTTGATGTAAATTAAATAAAATTTAGATTAAATCTGCGTTAGTCACGTTGTAGAAATATGTTGATAAATACTACAAAATCAGAAATACATTGCAAATAACATGTAAATCAATACTTGAACAGTGAATATCTTTACTGTTCTTAAAATCCAACTACATTTTTCTCAAAGTTGAAAAGACAATCAATATAAACTCCCTTTATTAACATATTATATTATATAAATTGTAAGACTAATTCATTTCGGTAAAATCAATATGCTTTTAACTTCTTGAAATAAAAAATGACAGGTATTGTTCATATGGCCGGATAATCTTTCCTTTATTTCACAATCTAAAATATTTCACATTATCATGAATAAAATTAATTTTCATATGAAAAAGGGGAAATGTTATAGTAATTATTACATTTGTGGTTTAGTCTGTACACATTCCACATACTTTGTGGTGAAATTAATTCATGCTTAAAATATAATTTAATTGTTTTTCCAAATGAGCAGCTGCCGTTTAGTAAGCAACGGAAATAAAATTTAATTATTTCTAAATCATTACAGTAAAATTTGCAATATAAATATCGGTGGGTTATTTTATAAAATATTTTGTTAAAAATATATATGAATGAAAACTTGAACTGTATTTTAACAGTACATAACGGAATTTTTCACAACAGGAAATTTAACTTGCGTTCTTCTGTAATATATGTAATGCAATTTTACAAAGATCAATACGTAAACATATTTTTCTTTTTATTATTATTAGTTTATTTAAATCTCATCCAATACATGTACATATAATACAAGTACACATTAAATAAAACATAAAATACCTGTAAATGGTCATTCTTATAAAGTAATATAGGAGACTATATGTATGTTGTTATAAACATGTTACATATAATTATCGTAAATAATACTAGTTTCAAAAGTTATTGATGTAAAACCGTCAATATTACAAAAACTAACAAATTTGAAGAAAAAAATCATTTTGTAATTTTAATTTTTTTTAAAATAATAGCTCTAATATTTACCGGAAAAATATGCGAAACAAAGGTAAGTATTTTTTGTGTAGATAGTAAGGTCTAAATCTTGGGGGCCCCGTATAAACTATATTTCGTTTGCTGGTTTTATTATTTAGAAAATTAGCAAGTACTTGAATATTTTCCCTGTCGACTCGTTATAATAATAAGGATAGATCAACTATTTAATAGATTTTATACTGACCACAATTAGAGAAACTTACTGAAAACTTACAAATGTTTAAAATACATTCGCAATATTCGCTTTGGTTTGAAACTTTTATAATATGATCTATATGTACATTATGAATATATTAATGAATAACCATTAATTACAGAACGTCAAAAGTGTGTTTTTAATTAAGATTCGTTTAATTGCAAATCAGTAGATTTTAGTATGATTATTATGATTTTAACCCTTTCGCTGCCAGAGGGTTATTTATTTATTGATCATCTATTTGCCAGAAGATTTTCTAAGAAATTACTATATTATTAATTAATATAATTATTATTATTTGTTATTAGTATTATAATAATTATATATGTTTCCAAATCTGCTAGTATATAATAATTATTCAAAAGCCGTCCATATGGCAAATACGCCGAAAATAATAGGGACGGCATAGTACCGAGACAGTTAACAAACAAGATCAATGTATGTATAGACTTAAAACGTTTTGCAGGAAGATTGCATAGAAATTATAATTTAAACAGGCGGTAAGTCAGTAATTACAAAAGCCCTCCCTTCTGTATCCTGAAAACGGTAAATTTTGCACGTACACCACTATATTACAAACGATATGTTGTCTGGTCCTACCTTTCTTGTCTATTACTGTCACACGACAACTTTACATAGTTGATACTGATCAAAACAACAAAAACAAGTTACAAGTGGAGTATGAGTGGACAATCAAACTCAAACGACCTGAATGAAAATTACGTCTTTAGTAATTCTCAGTTACATTTTTTCATCATGTTTCAAGATGCTTTTTGAGTATTAACCACTTCAGATGCTTCAAATTTTATACGTGAATGTTTTTTTCTAAGCTACGAATGTTGAAATGCTGTACGGTATAATGTATTTTATGTATCATAGCAATTTGTGGTTACAACAGATGCGCGCATATCAACATCAATGACTTATAATGAATACGTGCTTTGTTCAGCTTCACCTTTCAAAGTTCGAATACGAATAAACTAAAGTATCTTAACTATGAGATGAGAGTGGGTGAGGAATTAGAAATTATTCAAGCCACTTAAGAGAAGAGTATAAATTGATCAGACGTGATTACTAGACATACAGATCGTAATACTTACCGATCTTGACGTGATCTAAAATAGGAATAGTAGATCTAAAGTACGGGAAAGGAAAGAAATCGTGATACTATTGAAATGATTTTGATTTTTGTGGTAAGAGTTAATTTATTCATTTTTTGAAATTTAAATATAGAAATTATTTGAATATATGTATATGGGAATTTTTTATCACGATTTTTGCTTATTTTTAAATCGGATGTACTGTTTAAATTTTAAATGTTTTCTAATGTGATTAAATGAGTTTATAGTGACCACTTATATTAAGCTCAGATCAATTCAAATCACACATATAATCTTTTTTTTCGTACGAAAATATCAGTATAAAAATAGATTAATTCAATAAATAATTCCTTTTTATATAATATATTTTTTGTACTTATATTCACACCAAAATAACAAAATAATATAATTGATATTATCAGAAATATGTCATAATTAAAATTATTAAATTTGTAATAGCTAATTAAACTCGTTTTTCCATGCACGGATATATGTTCAGTCCTAGCTTCAAAGTAGAAAATGTAAATATTTTGCTTAATCGTGAAATTTATTGTTTTGATAATTGAATTTAAAGTAAAATTGATGTTCTTTAGTTTATATCTGATTTAATAAAGCAACGTTTTGCTTAAAATGTGTCGTTTAAAAGCACTGATTAATGTGTGTTCCCTTACATATTTTAGTCGGGGCTAGTGTGTCTGGCAGTCAGTGGAGTAACAGCAGTGCCTTTGACAGGATGTACAAACAAGCCTGCAGATATCGTATTTATCTTGGATTCTTCAAACAGTATATGGCTTAATGATTTTAGAAAACAAACAAGATTTGTCGCCAACGTGGTTAAAAATTTTGACATAGGACAGGGACCGACTCAAACACGTGTTGGCATCTTACTTTTTGGACATGATGTTTGGCCAGAAATCCAGTTGAATAATAACTATGACGTCAATGGACTAGTAAAAGCAGTGGAAAAGATTGACCATAGAAGAGGGAGATGGACCAAAACTGGGAAGGCAATTGATACGGCTGTGAAAACTATGTTTACAGATGATGATAGAAGTAGGGTGGGAGTTTCTCGTATTGCTGTGGTCATCACAGACGGACGATCACAAAACGTCATAGAAACAAGAGAAGCAGCAAAACTAGCTCATGACAGTGGCATCAAAACATTTGCTCTTGGTGTTGGAAGGCGTCTTGATTATCAAGAGTTAGCCGATATAGCAAGTGATCCAGATGACGAGTATCTTTACACGGTTGATAATTTCAATGCATTGAATAAAACACTTGTGCAAAAGCTGGCCAGCAGAGCGTGTGATGGTAAGTCCTTTTGGTGTTTAACAATTACGTAGTGTCCGTTCTTTGCGGTCTTTAAAAAGGTCATAATAAAGGTTTTTGAGTAACGTTTTGCTTTGAAGTTGAATTTAAGGAATTCTTTATTGTCTTACAAATTGAAATTGTAAAGCTTGTTTACACCAGAAACGTAGCTCTTAATTATGTTGATTCATATGTTATAATTACATGTTTTGTATTTCATTTTAGTTACAGAAAGGACTCCTACAATTATACCAGTTCCCGTCACAACTGAGCCGACGAATATACCATCAGACCAGTCCTTGAAAAGTATGTCTCCTTGAATAGTTATTACGATATTCTCGATTATTTTCATTAAATAGTTTAAAGGCTTATGACGTCCACAACTTCTTAACCATAAGTAAGGTAAGAATTCAAAAAAGTCCTACTTATTGTGTATTAATCTATACATCGTCAAACATTCGACGGTCTTAATGTTTTTTTTTCATTAAATGCGTTTCTTTAAGGGGAGAAATTAACTTCATATTTTATAATATCTGTAACACCTGTTGACAAAATCTAACGTCTTTCTTGTAGATTGTGGCGGAAAACCTGCTGATGTTTTCTTTGTAATTGACTCATCGGGCAGTATAACAAGTAAAGACTTCAACAAAGAGCTTCAGTTTGTACAAAGCGTAGTAAAGCTGTTTGATATTTCAAACGATAAAACTCGTGTTGGAATCATAAATTTCAGTCATATGTCTCAAATGATTCTACCGCTTGAAAATTCTCTCGATAAACGACAGCTTCTAAGCAAAATAAGAAATATTGACCACATAGGCGGAGGTACCACTACTTCTGAAGCTCTTAAAATGATTCGCCAGGATGGTTTCCGACGGGACAACAATCGTCCTGGAGTTGTCAAAATCGCAATCGTTTTGACAGATGGACTGTCGGCAAACGAAGACTTAACCAGACGGGAAGCGCTCCTTACTCATGCTGCGGGTATTAAAGTATTTGCAATTGGAATTGGAGACGGAATTGATCTGCTAGAAATACAGAATATTGCTAGCAATCCTGATGACAACTACGTGTTCCAAGTAAATGATTTCAACTCGCTTGAAACAATTAAAGACTTGCTGGCCATAAAGACCTGTTCGGCTAAACCAGATGAAAATAAAGAAATACCAAATGATCAGCCGAGTAAGTTTAATATCTTTATCATTGTTTCTAATTTTAAAACTCCACTTTGTCAAAACGCATTCAATTCCTTTTTAGGGTACAATATAGTTAATGGTTATGTAAAGCATGTGTAAGTGACTTCAATTATTGGTTAACTTAAAAAATAAATATCTTAATGACTCCAACATGTTATAACGCTTTCATATTGAATTACTATACAATAAAGTTACTGATATTTTATGATAATGTATTAATAATGACCTTAATTAGTAAATCTTAAACCAGTTTACAAAAAAACAAACAAATTAAACGATGATTTCGAATTTAACGCTCTTTTCTTGGTTTTGACATTCATTTTGTTTTATGTTACAGGATGCCTGGTTAAGAGAAATACGGACATGATGTTTGTTTACGACTCCAGTGCTCTCGGACCTAAAAAATCAGAGGCGATCTCCATGTTTATAGCAACTATCGTATCAAATCTCGATATCTCATCAAAACATCTACACATCGGAAGAATCACAGACAACTGCCCTTCTGGTGGAAACTTTCAATTGAGCAATAGACTCTCCGCTGCAGATTTCACAAGTATTGGTGTATCCACATTTTCCGACCTTATCAACAAAGTAAAACGTACAGGGTTTTCATCAGAGTATGGCGGTAGGTCCGATTCCTCTAAATCATCTATCCTGTTCATCGACTCTGATATGAACTCCGTTGACGGCAGTGCGTTAAGAGCTGCTAAAGATTTGTCCACGTCTTCTGATGTTTTTGTTGTAGCCATTGGAAACAGTCCAACAATTAGAGACTTTTCCAGGACATTTCATGGCAATAAATTCCTTCACGTTAATTCTTACAACGATTTGCCGTCGACATCAAATAACTTCCTGAATCAGTTGTGCTATTTCATTACTCTCAATTCATTTGACTACAGTTTGGACTATGTTGATTATGTGATACCAGTCTAAACTGTAACTAGACAAAAATTAAACAAAACTTTTACTGATATAATAACATCAAAAAACAATGTACAACCATAACATATAATAACAGTTCAGTGTGTTATGCAATTTTTAGCTGTTATTGTTATTAGAATATATACAGATGTTTTGATGTTTTATGTATATTTCTGAAGATATTTTATATTATTCATCTTAATTTTTAAGTTTCCGTCCATTATCATTTTACCATTTAGGTATGTCTTTTACATGTTAAGGTCTGTTTTACACGAAAAGACAGACATGTTATGGTTTTTTTGTACATGAAATGTCAGACATGTATGCAAAGGTCTGTCTTACATGAAATGTCATACCAGCTTTGGTGTTTTACACAAAATGTCAGGTTGGCACTTTCATCATCAAATCGGTCTTTTTTTCAACAAAAGTAATAGTCTAACTTGTTTACGGAAATTGTTAATATATGTTTGCTAATGATATAGTACAACATAAAATATAAGACACAGATGATGATGATGGTGACCCTTCAATTGGTTTTTGCTGACAAAAAATGTCTTAAAATTTTTGTCATTCAATGCATGTTAAAGTTTTATCATTTAAAACCAATCATGCACCTATTTTCACCTCTAACATTGTATCTTATTGTCTCAAATAAGTAAATTTTATTTCTAAAATATTTTGTATTTAACATACATGTGTATATATATATATATGTGCAATAAACATTATATTAAATTTGACATTTTGCATGTATTCATTTTTAAAAATTCATAATGCCAAAGTTATATCCATAGATGTATATAATTCAAACGTTCTTTTGATTCTATTTTTCTTCAAAACTTGTCTTTGGGAAATTATCCAGAAACTGTTGATTTAGTGTGAAGATAATATCGGCTATTAAGTACAAAAGACATGTGGGGACATTTCAACTTCATGAATTCCAAATTTCATCTTAACGAATTCCCGATTTCAAGTTGAAATCGTGAATTGACGAGGTTGAATTCGTGAATTTGAAATCGTTAATTCATGAAGTTAAAATCATGAGTTCGTGAAGATGAAATCGTGAATTTATGAAGTTGAAATCGTGAATTCGTAAAGTTGAAATCCGGAATTCATGAAGCTGAAATCGTGAATTCGTCAATAAGTATGTTGAAAATGGGAATTCACGAAGTTTAAATTGTGAATTCATGAAGATGAAATGGCCCTGCCGGTCTATCGTAATTAAGGCTTTCAAATTTACATCAATTACAAGTTTCAAGATGATTATTATGAAAGGTCAGTCGTATACTTTAGCATACATGTATTTATGTGGAAGATAATGATTAAGCTAAACTGATACTGTAAATGTCATATTGCAGCACTATTGCAGCACCTTTCTAGCTTTACTAGCGGAGAAAGGTCTGAGACTGTGGCTCACAATATCGAGCCAATTTGGTGTACAAACTTTTTCTGATTGGCGACTATGATGAATTGACTAAAATTGAAGACAGTGTATTACTTCAGTCCCGATGAACAGCCAGCAGAATATCTTCATCAAGTGACAGAAATAAAACTGTCTGGCAAGATTAAAAAACTCAGTACCTAGCAACAAGAGATTTTAAGTCAATGTCATAGCATCGAACAGCGAGAAAATCTGATTTAGACGCATTTGTCAGTCTAATTTCTATTAGTCTAATTTCTCTGGCAATTATACAAAGTACAAAATAGAGAAAAACAGAGAAAAATCCCTAAAGAAGTCCAAACGACAAAATTAAAAATGTTTTAACAGTTAATCATATGGTAATGGTAAAAGTTTGAATTTAAAAACATCCGTAGATGTCTTCATACGGCGGTTATCATGAATATTCAATGCGACACTTCCGTGTCATTTCATGAAAAGCAGCGTATGGTCCAAAACTAAAAGAATGCTTGTAAGGTTCATGACTCTAGGTCAAATCCTTTTTGAGTTACATGCGACACAAGTTGAAAATTGCAAAAAATTTCTAAAGCAAGGGCAATATTTCTAAAAAAACTACATAAATCCAGACGAAAATACCCAGGTGCACAACTACACATGCTGATCAACATTCCTGTAAAGTTTCATGACTGTAGGTCAAATACTTTTTGAGTTACATGCGACACAAGTTGAAAATCGCAAAATTTTACTAAGTCAACGGCAATAACTCTAAAAATACTAAAAATATCCAGACGAAAATACCCAGGTGCACAACTACACATGCTTATCATTATTCCTGTAAAGTTTCATGACTCTTGGTCAAATACTTTTTGAGTTACATGCAACACAAGTTGAAAATCGCAAAATTTTACTAAGTCAACGGCAATAACTCTAAAAATACTAAAAATATCCAGACGAAAATACCCAGGTGCACAACTACACATGCTTATCATTATTCCTGTAAAGTTTCATGACTCTAGGTCAAATACTTTTTGAGTTACATGCGACACAAGTTGAAAATTGCAAAATTTTACTAAGTCAAGGGCAATAACTCTAAAAATACTAAAAATATCCAGACGAAAATACCCAGGTGCACAACTTCACATGCTGTTCAACATTCCTGTTAAGATTCATGACTCTAGGTCAAATATTTTTTGAGTTACATGCGACACAAGTTGAAAATTGCAAAATTTTACTAAGTCAAGGGCAATAACTCTAAAAATACTAAAAATATCCTGACGAAAATACCCAGGTGCACAACTACACATGCTGATCAACATTCCTGTAAAGTTTCATGACTCTCGGGCAAATACTTTTCGAGTTACGTGCGACACAAAAAGAGAACAGACGGACGGAAAAGGGTAAATCTAAATGCCCGCCACTAAAGTGGGGACACAAAAATATATGACCAATGTTTCTTGATAGCTGATGCACAGGAAAAGATACCATGACTGTATCAATAGCTTGGTTTTTTCCAGGAAAAAACAAGCTTATCAAAACCAATTCTGTTTATATTCTTCCTTTGTCTTAAAATTATTTTTCAGTTAATCAATTATTGCTCATTCATTGCAATACAAAACTAGAACTATCACTAAATGTGATTAATACCCCCACAAGACTGCTTCGGAAATGAGGATGTTACTAGTAACAGAATACCTTGTAAAAGAATTGAAATATAGAGTTATGGTTGTGGGCAATTAAAGATAGTTGTGGTTCTTGTATATTGCATTTCCTTTAAATGTGGTTGACCATTGAAGAAGTTTTATTGAATTACTCTGTAATAAATCCAGAAATACAAAGAAAAGGAACAAAGGGCAATAACTCTATAAATACTGAAGATGGAGTTATAGTTCTTGTGCACTGCACTTCCTCCCTCTTTTTGTGCTTGACCATTGTATGAAGTTGTTTTGAATTTCAACCAGTACGTTTTAAGTTATGCTCCAGACAAGGAAAAGTATCAAAGGGCAGTAACTCTGTATTTTGTCAAAATGGAGTTATGGCTCTTATGCACTGCACTTCCTTTTAATGTCCTTGACAACTGTATGAAGTTGTATTGAATTCCAAACAGTAGTTTTCAAGTTATGCTCTGGACAAGGAAAAGTAACAAAGGGCAATAACTCTGTAATTTGTCAAGATGAAGTTATGGTTCTTGTGCACTGCACTTCCTCTCAATGTGCTTGACCATTGTATGAAGTTATATTGAATTCCAACCATTAGTCTTCAAGTTATGCACCGGACAAAAAAAGCAATGGAAAAGTAACAAAGGGCAGTAACTCTGTAATTAGTCAAGATGGAGTTATGGTTCTTGTGCACTGCACTTCCTCTCAATGTGCTTGACCATTGTATGAAGTTATAATGAATTCCAACAATTAGTCTTCAAGTTATACTCCGGACAAAAGAAAGCAATGGAAAAGTAACAAAGGGCAATAACTCTGTAATTACTTTAGATAGAGTTATGGTTCTTATGCACTGCACTTCCCCTTACTGTGTTTGACAATTGTATGAAGTTGTTTTGAATTCCAACCAGTAATTTTTAAGTTATGCCCCGGACAAGGAAAAGTAACAAAGGGCAATAACTCTGTAATTAGTCAAGACAGAGTTATGGTTCTTGTGCACTGCACTTCCTCTCAATGTGCTTGACCATTGTATGTAGTTATATTGAATTCCAACCATTAGTCTTCAAGTTATGGTCCGGACAAAAGAAAGCAATGGAAAAGTAACAAAGGGCAATAACTCTGTAATTACTTTAGATAGAGTTATGGTTCTTGTGCACTGCACTTCCCCTTATTGTGTTTGACAATTGTATGAAGTTGTATTGAATTCCAACCAGTAGTTTTCAAGTTATGCCCCGGACAAGGAAAAGTAACAAAGGGCAATAACTCTGTAATTAGTCAAGATAGAGTTATGGTTCTTGTGCACTGCACTTCCTCTCAATGTGCTTGACCATTGTATGTAGTTATATTGAATTCCAACCATTAGTTTTCAAGTTATGGTCCGGACAAGGAAAATGCAACGGACGTCTGGACCGACCGACCGACCGCCCGACCGACCACCGGGTGACTCCTATATACCCCCCCAAACTTCGTTTTTGGGGGTATAATTACTACCCAAATATGTGACAGACACCATAGCCTATCTGAGTTTTAACATGCTTGGCATTTACGTTTAACATCAATAAAAGAAGCTTTGTAGAACTTAACAAAATTTCAACAGTTTCTTTATGTTTGAATAGTGAAAAGTTGAAATAACATGGTCAAACTGAAAATATTACAGACCTAGTTTAAGGTAGCATTTATGATAGGGGATTAAGGTCATTGACTTCAAAACCACTTGCCCCTCACCGGTGTAGGTTCAAATTCCACAGAAGCTATCCAGATAACTTATGGAAGGTTGGTGGTTCTACTCGGGGGGGCTACTTGTGCCTTAAATAATGCAGAGCGGGGTAATTTAGGTCTTCCTCCACCAGTAAGAAATGAAAAAGTCGCCATATGACCTTTACAGTGTTGGTGCGTTGAAAAACCCAAACAAGAAAAAAAGAGCATATTTATGAACCACTAATTTCCATGTCTTCCTGCTTAAGCACATTTCAAAATTTTAATATCTAAGTGATGTGAAATTTAGACTCTTAAAACAAAGATTAGTGAACCTTTATAAATTTGTGCCATTAATATGGTTTCCAACAAAATGTGAGCACTTAAGACAAGTCAATGGACAGAACTTATTAAACTTGCATTTTGAGACCGGATCACAGGTTTTGCAGCCTTTCTATCAAACAGAGGTGTCACAAAAAAATACAGGAGCTGTCATTTACATATAGCAACTTTTTCGGCTTTATAAGTGTTGTGAAAGTGTCAAACAGCAATTTCAAAGCAGTAGCTAAAAATTGACCTCGCAATGAAAACAAACATGTTAATAATTTTTTTTAATGAACTCCTCTATTTCATTTTCACATTTTTGCGCTTTACTTTTTCTTTCAAGTCTTTCTTTACTTGACTTTTTTCAGATTCTACAGTTTTTAACTTGTGTTTTACTAAGTCTTTGTTCTCTGTACAAGGAAGATGATGTTGATGCCTCTGGCAGATCATCTGTATTTCTCTGTTTCAATTTCTCTTCTTTTTCCCTCAGTTTTGCTCTGTGTTTCCTAAACTTTTGTTTCATCAATTTCTGTCTTTTTCTCTCTTCTTCCTCTGGGTCCTTAAAATACAAAGCATTGAACTAAAGAACAATTATCAATCATAATTCCTCAATAACCAGTGTCTACTCTATGATTTAAAATTTATACATATGAAAAACAAAACCGACTTGTCTGTCTTTCAGTTTGGACACTTTTAAAACCATACATTTTTTTTCTTTTGATGAGTGAAAAGGCAAAATTTTTGAAACTTTAAGGTGACATTAAATATGATTAATGAAGTCTTATATGACAAAAAGTACAACATATAACAAATACAATGCAATGATTGGCACTATCTTCCTCTATGGACTGAAATGGATTGTATAATAAACAAAATAAATTGAGAACTGAGAAAAAATTGACCCACTTTCACTTATCATACCATTTTCATTTACATTTGTTATCAAGATTTTTGACAGGTTATATGGCCCATATACAGTAAATGGTTATTTGCATATATAACCCTCACCTAGCTGCCCGAGTAATAAATAGTTTCTAGTTGCGCTGGTTCCAAACTCTCTCAGGGGCAAGCCGTTGTTTCCTTGAACAAGAAACTCAAAACTCATTGCTCAGTACTGGTTAGTTCCAAGAACAGATTCGAGAATGTGCCTATAAGCCTATACCTTCCTACATAATCTTACTAAAATTCTGTATATTAATATAATATGTATACAACTGAAAAATTAATACTAATGTTATATGTATTACCAACCTTTCCCTCTTGAATCAACTTTTTTCTCTTGTTTATTTCTTTCTGCTGGCCAAAATCTCTTTCATCAAGTCTCTGTTAACAATAAAAATTTCAACAATCAAATCAAGTCATTGAAACAAATTGCAGACTTGAAAATTGTTGACACTTAAATATTAAACTCTGTCATGAAATTCTTCCTCACAAAACGACACAAATATTTCAAACTATGTCAAATGTATCTGTGTATCACAAATAAACAAGACACGTGTCATTTCTGGTGACATTTATACATGCCTCATTCCTCCATTTTTAATTACAAATATGTGTTGTCGCCTAGTAGAAACAATGACCACAACAAATCAAAGAAATACTAATCCCCTGAGAAACTGCTGTGTGACACAAAATCAACCTCCTGCCCATGTAATCCCCTCCTTAACACTTAAACTGCGGGATTTGTGTAATGAATTTGCCTTGCTTTGAAACTGGAACTGTCAATTCAAACTTTAAGGGATTTAATTATCAAAATACAATCAATGAGTTACCAAGAGCATAGACACTGGTCTTACTGCATGAAAGTGCAATCTGGCAAAGCTCCATACTGGTGGCAAATACTTAAAGTCATGTCACTTTTCGTTTCTTTCAGGTTAAGGGGTAATAATTGCCAACAAATCTATATATGATAACAATATGAATACACATACAATTTCTGCCTCCCTACGTGCTACTGCTACTTCTGTTAATATCTTCATAACCTCATTCTCATGGGTTGGGTACTCATCAAGCTTTGTATCTGAAAACATTAAAACATTTTAAGTAAATAACTTTATAAAAACCTGTCCCATTTTTCACCCTCCTGCTTCTAGACAAGATGTTCAAATCTGTTTCACATAATCTCATTGAAAGTAAGTAAACTATTTAAATATGTACCACTTCTTGCCTGATCTTAACTAACTGAACATCCGGGTTATAAGAAGATGGTTTGTTGTGCAATAAATTACACAAAGTTGACCATCAAAGCTAGTTTTTGAACATGATGTTGCGTATTCTTGGCAACTATTACGGGTTTTTCAACGCCATTGGCAGACAAAATATCTTAAATTCTACAGCATCCGACATAAATTATTTTTTCCTCTAAGCTGATATAAAATTTATCGTTTATGCCGAAAAATGTTTGAAAAATGGAAAGAAAATTGTCAATTTTGTGCAACATTTGACATTTCTATTGTTATTTTCTATTGTTTAACATTTGGGCCAATGGCCCCTTACTCTATTGTTAAGGAATGAACTCTATTGTTCTCTTTTGTTCTGTTTACAGTTAGATGGCCCTCTAACCCTATTCGGTAGTGCGGACAGAAGACGCCGGACAGACGCCGGACGAAAAGCGATCACAAAGCTAACCCTGTCACTTTGTGACAGGTGAGCTAAAAATTAGGGGGTCACCGACTCAAATTTTTCGGTACACATGATTTTATTTCCCCCACATCTTGAGTATTTTTTCAACGGAATTCGACGTATGCACCTTGAGTATTTTTGTAACGAAATTCAACGTATGCAGATAGGTTTGGGACTTCAAAGTGCGACAATAATGTTCAGCTTATTAGGAGAATTGTTCTAGAGCTTTACTTATACATATGAAAAAACAACAACAATGTTCCATTGCAAATGCTTAAAATTTAAAATGAGAAGAGCATATTTATATTCAAAATCTTAGCCTGGGATTTAGGCATTGATATTTTTGCTTATTCATAACATACGCGCTATTTTGTACCAGCACGTCACAATTTCTGATTGATATATACTTGATTTTCTGAACAGAAGCAAAGACTGGAACCCAGGCTAGTAAAGTCTAAATACAGGTACATTTCAATATAACATGTTACTTCAGCAAAAAGGAACTGTCAGCAGTGAGATATGTAACAATTGTCTAACTATCATGGGCTCCGTCAAAGTGCAATTTTATTGAATTTATTATCGCCTTTCCATTTTTGACGTTTAGTTTTGCTGAAAAAAAATGTAAGAAAAACAAACAAATTTTCTTCTTGTTTTTAAGCATGATTAATAACTTCATATGGAAGTGTAAACAGACGAATGTACAGAAAATGACGTCAGGCGTTCAATGGCAACGCGTAAGCTGCGCAAACAAATACAGCAGAGAGTTATCATTGCGGTGTAACTTTTTGATATTGTAATACATTAAAATTAATAAACTTGAATCGAGAAATATGCCATAAGGAACAATAAGCAACTATATATTTTTATTTAAATTTAGAAATTTACGGAAATTTGATCATAAATTAATATGTAGTCTACAAAAAATTCTGCAAAGCTATACATTTTGTATTACCCACACTATGAGTGATATACTGAGAGTGATATGTATTTCATAATTTTTATTTCACCTATTAAAAACCAGAATTTAAATTTCATTAGTAAGCAAAAACTATTACAACAATTTGACAGAGTATATGCTAAATAACTGTGCAAAATATAACCAAATTAAAATATATACGGTTCATAAATGAAATTTAATCAATTATATAAGCTTAACAGTCATGTTTGAAACGTTAGCTCAGTGGGTGTTGGATCGTTCGATTCTACAAGTAAATAAACATCTTTAATACATTTTTTTCTCATTTTGCTAATCATTTAAGAATATCATAATGTTAAAAATAACGTTTAAGGATTCACTATAAATGCTGTATTAAAAAAATCACTATCAAATCGGTCTTTGCTCACTGTATGGCCAAATTTATGGTAGAATTCATTTTGAACAGTAAAACTTAAAAACAGTATTTTAAACATGAAATATTATGAAACGCTGTAAATACACTTCTGCAGATGTTTAGCAGAACATATATAGCGAACCAGGCGGTCCTGAGCTAGATACTGCACAAAGGAGTGTTGCGTTGTAAATCTTTATAGAAAATAAAGATATTTCAATAAATATTGTCATTTTTTGTCTGTACATGCTACGAGCACTGTCGAGGATCTGTCGATGTTTTATATGTTCTCTTCACTGACCATTAAATCAATATGCAATTGACATGTTAATAAAACAGGGAAATATTACATTTTACTCAAAGTTTTACTATTTAAACGTAATACTGACAAATGTCAGATCAGACTATTATTTCTTTCCTCTTGTAGAAAGTGGGTCATTCTGAAGTACATCCTTATTCTCAGTTTTATATACAAAATGTATATTTACAAGAATAAAAAAATCATATTTTGGTAATATCTGACCTTCTTATTAAAAAAAATACGTATTTAGTAAAAACGGACATCATACAAAGTTCCCGTATCTTACGCGTGTACGGATCACGGTATATTAGTCATACCTATTGAATAATATACGGTCCCATACATCTAAGTATTCAAATTTCACTTATTTTTGTCTGTCTATCTATAATATTCGGAATTCCATACCCTTTATTGTATCCATATATTTTCCGCAGTGGTAATAATGTCGTAAAGTTCCGTTTTAATGACATAAAAATAACTAAAGTCCCGTGATAGCGTGACTTTTATCCAAAGGGGTGGGGGAAATAAAATCACGTGTACCGAAAAAATTGAGTTGGTAACCCCCTATTTTCTTTAGTCATTTAGACTGAGTATACATTTTAAAGTATGTTTAAAGAAAAAAATCAAAAATTTATTTCAGGAATTTTTTAATAAGCCAATTTAAAGCTGAAAATGCGTCTAAACTGAACGTCAAATTTTACACAAAATTAACAATTTTCTTTTCATTTTTCAAAAAAATTTGGCGTAAAACGATAAATTTTATATCAGCTTAAAGGAAAAAATAATATACGTCGGATGTTGTAGAATTTAAGATATTTTGTCCGCCAATGGCGTTGAAATACCCATAACAGTTGCCAAGGATACGTAACAATGTCATGTTAAAAAAGGGCTTTGATGGTCAACTTTGACGCCGTGTGAACAAAAATTGGCTGAAACTATTGACATAAAATCAACGGAACCTAATCAGAAATATGGTCAACTTTTCCCATGCCAATTTTCAAGACGCTAATCGAAAGTTCGCAAAGTGTCGCGTTCTACCTTAAGATGCCTGATTGGTTATATGGCTCAGAATAAAAGATAGATAGATTATATACCCAAGCTGTTAGGCAAGGTTTATATTGCAAACCACCATTTATACATGGCTATATTACCTTTCAGCATATTGTCTTTATTTACGAAAAATAAATTGACAGCAGCTGTATATATAGGTAATATAAGCGTCACAATTATCCAATTAAAAAAGCTGTTACAAATGTGCACTATTTTTAAAGTATACAACTTCTTTCAGCTAAGAGGCATAAAAATAACACTTGAACAAATTTAACAAATTTAAACATTTTGGGAGTCCGAGACAATACAGATATAGCCAATCTTTATGTCATAAACAATCTTACTAAATGGATGTGTTCAAGTAAATTATGTTCAGTTAATGACTATACTGTGCTTATTAGAATGGCAAGGTTAGGTATCAAACACTGTAGAAACTATATAAGTTTTCATTTGTTCTAATCCCTTTCAATTTATGTAACAATTATATACATATAAAATGTAATATAATGTAAAATATTAAAATAAATATGTTTAAACTCAACACTGTAAGACCGTATCAATAAAATTAAAGAAGAAAATGTGTATATAAATGAATCTATATACATCAATAGTTCTACATATTCCATGATAAAATTCTTCATTAATAGTATTGTTTTTTTGTTTTTTTTTATCTGAACACTCAACAACAAACTTACTTATTTCTGCTTCTATGGCATGCACCAGTTTTATGTCAAACTGTGTTACTAAGGATACAGCAGTTCCCCCACGACCTGTAAAAAAATATACAAATCTCATATGAATAACAAATTATCTCTAATATATTTACTGAAATTCAAATGTTAAAACAGATAACTAAGAAACCTTGCCCATACTGGCTGTTTTCAAAACCTTGAAGTTAGAAAATTATCTTAATTAATTACTAAAAAGTCTCTGTTACTGAACTGCATTTGTATGCCTTAAATAATCCCAAAGGGCACTGTAGTATTGAAGGGTCCAAACAGAAATCTGTCAACTAAATTCAAACTTTTCAAGACCTGTGCAAACCCCATATTGTCTTCTTGAAAGACACCATCTTCACAATCAAACTAAATTAAATAGATTTACACTATTTTGTATTCGTTCAATGCTTTATTTTACCCTAACCAAAATATTTATATAGTTATACCTGCTCTAGCAGTTCTGCCAACTCTGTGTATGTAATTCTTGGGTTTATTAGGAATATTATGGTTTATGATGAGGTCCACCATGGGGATATCTAATCCTCTGTAAAATAGAACATTATTAGTTTATACTAATTTATTTTAGTTCAACTGTATTGGAAGTTATTAGCTTATTGAAACACTCGAATCTATACCTGGAACCAACCAGTACTGAGCAACAAGTGTAAAGTTTCTTACTCACGGAAACAATGGCTTGCCCTGATGAGCTTGAACCCATGCAGCCAGCAATCCATTGATTACTAGTCCAATAAGTTAACCACTTGGCCATGCTACCACACTAAAATTTAATGATTTTTTGTACTTATTGCAGCATTATGTTTTTTATTATGAAAAATGCTAAAATTTGATTTACTTCGATAATCATATTACCCTGGTTCAGATGTATGTATCTTAATAAAGAAGTGCATGTATTCACAGTAACCACATGGTTTTGTAATCTTTACAAAGTCTACAAACAATCATTAAAGTGACAGTAAGTCCATTCAAGGGTAAATGGTGAGTATTCATATAATATACAGTTACCTTACATTTTGTCACTTTTATTTCTAATTTTATACTAAACATAACCTGCATAAGCAATAACCCTCGAATTAATAACCCTCGTGACACACAAAACTTTCTATAAACATCCTTCGGAAATTACCAGTAATGTTCAGTTTATAAAAAGAGTGGGGCAGTAATTTAATATTTTAGGCAGTTTTTGTATATTATCCTAAATGTTGGTAATTAGGAAATAGATATCAATTCTGAGTGCATTGTTGTAGAATAATGCACAGTTTGAGTTCAAATGCGTAGTAATATAATCACGAAGGCCGATAGGCCTATGTGATTAATTACAAAGCATTTGAACGAAAAACGTGCATTATTATACAATAATGCACAAAGAATTAATATCTATTTCCATTTTAACACATCAAGAAAAAATAGATTTTTTATCATAAAGTTATTATAAAGTTGGACTTTATGTTTGGTGGTTAAATTTTTTTTTTCACCTTCTTTAAAGGCTGTTCCAGTGGGTTGAAAAAAACTGTCGCTAAATCTACCATGTGTAGAAACATTTTGAGAATAACTAATTTTGAAAACTTTCATAAAACTTTGTTTGTTTATTTTATTTCACACTATAATTTTTCAAGCGAAAAACAAATTATTAAAAGTTTGTTTGTTTGTCTGTTTGTTTCATTTTACGCCTTTTCCCAACAGTCTTTCAGTCATATAGGCGGGTAGTTTCCTAAACATCGTTCCTGGAGAGTTACACCAGTACTAGACTACCTTTCTCCGCGCTAAACTACCAAAGCATCTCCCGGGGATCGAACCCACGCCAGAGAGGTAACTGGATTAGATGTAATCGACTCTAATCCCTCGACCACGGAGGCGGTTAAAAGTGAAATAAATGTCAAACTTAACTGGTTTGCGACATTAAAATAGCGTACTTGATTTGATTGTTTTGCACGTGCTGTTTGGCGCTACACTGTGACGTCACGTAAACAACACTTTAAACGTCTGTACAGCGTTTATGACTGAATTAAAGATATTGGTGTTCGGATTCATTTTCTTAGACCATTTTCTTTCATTCTAGATAGTTTTAACAACAAAATTCGACAAAAAATTGTTTTTATTTATCAGATTTTTCAAACAAAATGGCGCCCTCAATGTGAGAATACACAGGGAGATAATAATAAAGGCGAGTGCATTGTTGTAGAATAATGCATGCTTCGGGCCTTCTTTGTTTATATAGAAAAATTTACGATAGTGTTAGAATGTTCAATTTTTGTTTAATCGCTTTTATGATATCAAACTTTGAAAAATACAACTAATTTAGCTCAGCGTGACATTGTAAAAATGGGCGTAATGTCACTTTAACAATAACAAGTATAAGAACTTATTAAAAGATAAGTAATATTATACTTGAAATGATGAAAGTAAATATTGCAAATCTTTTTATCAGATTCTACAATATCTGTAGATGAACTTATATTGTTTCAACATTCATAAATCATTTTTAAACTTACTGGAAGTTTACACAACAACAAAAACAGGACATATATAATTCCGACATACAACAATATGTAACATTAAACAATCATTATTCCTATACTTAACTACAGCACACTTTATTTACTTTACAGAAATCTACTAGTGAGAAAGTTCATAGATTTTATTCTAGTATCAACCATTTGTAAACACTTCATTCTATACATATTAAAGCATTTAAAACACCCATTGTAGAAGAAATCAGAGCTGTCATTGATTCAGTGCAGAGCATATCAACAATACATCAATATTGTTTCTACTGATGACAGCTCCAAATGGCATTTAATTTAAATCGCTGATAATAACACAAAGAACATAGTTTTAAAGTTTTAAAAATTTATCAAACAAAAGTGAGAAGACTGAATGTTGTTGTCTCTACTTAACAACAAGAGCAATATTGTTACATCTTCTAAAAATATTAGCAGTAATGATTATTTGGACATTACAGCAGTATTGATACACATTTGTGTAGTCGAATCTGGCTGTTTATTATTTACTGCTCAATAACACCATAAAAGTAACAAGTGACATTTCCAAATTCTAAACAAAACAAATTTGTTACCTAAATTCAGCAACAATCACAGCTTTTATTAAATACAAGAGCAATCAGTGATCACATGTGTCGCCTCATGATGGCCAATTTCATGTTGGGACAAAATTTGTGACAGACGGACAGTGCACAACTAGACTTGGTACTGATCATTCCTGTAAAGTTGGATAAAAGTGCACCAGTAGTTTATGAGGAGTAGTCCGGACAAGCTTTTGCGTATCTGGCAACACACAGAAAAAAACACATTTTTATCAAAGGGCCATAACTCAACCAACAAGAGCCCGGTTTGAGCCGGGTGATGCTCCCCGAATAGGTTTTGGACACAGGAAAGTACACCTCTTGTAGTTTCAGAGTTATGTCCGTGGAAAAAGTTCAAAGTGCAATAATTCCAAAATTAGGCAAGGCAGAGTTACAGTTCTTTGCACTGCACTTCTAATCAATGTGATCTATCAACCTACAAAGTTTCTTGATGATATCTCTTATGATTTCCGAGTTATGTCCTGGACAATTCAAAAAGTAAAAATAAATAAAGGGCAATAACTCCAGAATTAGGCAAGGTAGAGTTATGATTCTTGTGCACTGCACATCTACCCATTGAAATTTATCTACCTACAAAGTTTCATGTTGATATCTCTTATAGTTTTACAGCTATGTCCTGGACAAGATTTTTCTAAAAGGGGAGATTATTCAAAAATAAGGCTTAACAGAGTTATGGTTCTTTTGCACTGCACCTCTACTCAATGAGATCTATCTACCTACAATGTTTCATGTTGATATCTCATACAGTTTTAGAGTTATGCCCCGGACAAGATTTTTCTATAAGGGGAGATAATTCAAAAACCAGGCAAAATAGAGTTATGGTTCTTTGACACTGCACTCCCCCTCGATGCCCTCTACCACTGTATGAAGTTTCAACAAATTATCTCCAAGGGTTTTCAAGTTATGTTCCGGACAAAGTTCAAGTTCAAAGTATTAAAATAAACAAAGGGCAATAACTCCAAAATTAGGACAAAAAGAGTTATTGTTCTTATGCACTGCACATCTACGCATTGAGATCTATTCACCTACAAAGTTTCATGTTGATATCTCTTATAGTTTTAGAGTTATGCCCCGGACAAGATTTTTCTATAAGGGGGAGATAATTCAAAAACCGGGCAAAATAGAGTTATGGTTCTTTGACACTGCACTCCTCCTCGATGCCCTCTACCACTGTATGAAGTTTCAACAAATTATCTCCAAGGGTTTTCAAGTTATGTTCCGGACAAAGTTCAAAGTATTAAAATTAACAAAGGGCAATAACTCCAAAATAAGGATGAAAAGAGTTATTGTTCTTATGCACTGCACATCTACCCATTGAGATCTATTCACCTACAAAGTTTCATGTTGATATCTGTTATAGTTTTAGAGTTATGCCCCGGACAAGATTTTCTATAAGGGGAGATAATTCAAAAACCGGGCAAAATAGAGTTATGGTTCTTTGACACTGCACTCCCCCTCGATGCCCTCTACCACTGTATGAAGTTTCAACAAATTATCTCCAAGGGTTTTCAAGTTATGCTCCGGACAAGACAACGGACGGACAGACGGACGGACGTACCAACTTTTGATGTTTGTGAGGCAAATCAGCTCATAAACACCACCTGGACCAACGTCCATAAGCAAAATAAGCTCATAAAAACAAAAAAATAGCTCTTAATTTGAATTTTATGAGTTTTTGTTCTTTCTTTAACTACGGAATGAAGCTCATTATAATCAAATGTTTGCTCGGATGGACGGACGGACAGACGGACAAGGCGCCGACTATATGCTCCCCCGAAATTTTTCGGGGAGCATAAAAATCATTCAACCGGAAAACCTGTGCAATATGCACAAGGACTTGAGCTACAGATCAATCCTGTAAAGTTTCTTAGAAATTGCATTAGTGGTATAAGAAAAGTAGTCCGGACAAACTTTAAAAATAAAAATTATTAAAGGGCCATAACTCTGACAAAAATCATTGAACCGGAAAATGCTGACAATATGCACAACTAGACTTGGTACTGATCATCCTGTAAAGTGTGGATGAAATTGCACCAGTAGTTTATGAGGAGTAGTCCGGACAAGCTTTTGTGTATCTGGCAACACACAGAAAAAAACACCTTTTTATCAAAGGGCCATAACTCGGCCAAAAATCATTCAACCAGAAAACCCGTGCAATATGCGCAAGGACTTGAGCTACAGATCAATCCTGTAAAGTTTCATTGAAATTGCATTAGTGGTATAAGAGAACTAGTCTGGACAAACTTTAAAATTAAAAATTATTAAAGGGCCATTACTCTGACAAAAATCATTGAACCTGAAAATGCTGACAATATGCACAACTAGACTTGGTACTGATCATTCCTGTAAAGATTGGATGAAATTGCACCAGAAATTTATGAGGAGTAGTCCGGACAAGTTTTGTGACGGACAGATGGACGGACGACGGAGAAGTGATCCCTATATGTCGCCACTACTCTGTAGAGGTGACACAAAAACCATGTGAAGTACAATACCTGGAGGCAACATCAGTTGCAATAAGAATCTTTGCTTGGTTTGATTTAAACTTGGCTAAAGCTGCAAGACGTTCTTTCTGTCTGATTAAAGAATGGAGAACTACACAATCAAACCCTAGCTCCTGACAAATCATGCCCAGTATCTGTGTATATCTGAAACAGGAAAATAAAGTAGACTTACCTTATAATATAAATCTATATGATATCAAGATTGATCATTTTTTGATTTTTGGGTATGGGGGTATTGTCATTTCTCACCAACATAGTTTTGTTTTGGGGGTATGGGGGTATTGTCATTTCTCACCAACATAGTTTTGTTTTGGGGGATAGGGGGTATTGTCATTTCTCACCAACATAGTTTTGTTCTGGGGGTTGGGGGGTATTGTCATTTCTAACCAACATAGTCTTGTTTTGGGGTTGGGGTATTGTCATTTCTCACCAACATAGTTTTGTTTTGGGGGTTGGGGGTATTGTCATTTCTCACCAACATAGTTTTGTTCTGGGGGTTTGGGGTTTTGTCATTTTCTCACCAACATAGTTTTGTTTTGGGGTATGGGAGTTTTGTCATTTCTCACCAACATAGTTTTGTTTTGGGGTATGAGGGGTATTGTCATTTCTCACCATAATAGTTTTGTTTTTGGGGTATGGGGGGTATTGTCATTTCTCACCAACATAGTTTTGTTTTGGGGTATTGGGGTATTGTCATTTCTCACCAACATAATTTTGTTTTGGGGGGGGGGGTATTGTCATTTCTCACCAACATAGTTTTGTTTTTTGGGGTATGGGGGGTATTGTCATTTCTCACCAACATAGTTTTGTTCTGGGGTTGGGGGGTATTGTCATTTCTCGCCAACATAGTTTGTTTTGGGGGTATGGGGGGTATTGTCATTTCTCACCAACATAGTTTTGTTCTGGGGGTTGGGGGTATTGTCACTTTTCACCAACATAGCTAAGGTCATATGGTGATTTTCCAGCTTTACTGGTGGAGGAAGACCTCAGGTGTCCTCCCTCTGTGCATTATTTCAGCACCCATGTAGAATTACGGATGTTCTGTAAGCAAGCTAGATAGCTTCCTCATATAAATGAAAGAGGGATTCAAACCTACAGTGGTGAGGGGTAAGTTCTTTAAAGTCAGCTACATTATCCACTTGACCTTGAGCACTCCAGTCATATTTTACCGCATACTTTAAAGTAGACTGTGATTTTTTTTTATCGTTTTACCATCAAATTATTATTTCACTGAAGCTAATCCATATTTGAATGTGCAAGAATAACATCATGAACATTTTAGCGCAATACACTCTCCATTGCCAATAGAAAAGTAGAAGATAATTGCAAACATGAAAATTTGTGGAATTCATTGTAAAAATATACCTTACATTTTACAAATCTTACTGTATAATTATGTATATTTTATCAGGGTGAAAATAATTTGTGCTTAGTTGAGTCTAGATAACTAATCATAATTGTATATAAAAATATAATCACAAGCATCAATGACCATATGTTAGGCCATCCTTAATAATATATATGTTTGCTATTGCCGACCCAGAGTTATGAGGACTTTTTTTTTCTCTTTTTTTTTATATATATGATTTTTACGAAACGTAAGTTAATACGCTTAGTACATTGTAGCAGATTGTGGAAATTTGGAACACACTATCATCATCGGCGACGACAAAACTGACATGTAAAAGACAGTCAAAAACAATCAAAAACATGTTCACTAGGGATCATAACATGAAATAAAAAAATGACTATGTGGACATAAATTAAAGCATGGTCAAATTACCGAAGTGATAAACTAATCCTGCGTAAATATTCCAGTTGACCTGGAAAAATTATAGTGGATCACCGGGACATTTCACTCTCTTGGTTGATCATTACTCAATTAATCACACGTCTGTAAAAAATTACACACCCAAGATTTGTCTCCTATAATATCTGAATGGCAGATATTTGCACCCCTGTTTTAGAAATGTTAAAATATTTAATTGTTAGTTACCGAAAATTATCGCCGATTGTTGAAATTCCATAACGCTAAAAGACACATAAACACTCGCGCAAAAAGTAGCATCCATAAATAAAAGGAATATAATGTTTCCATTGTTAAATGATAGATACAAAATTTACACACGTAATGACCTCTGACAAATGACTGGTCGGCTCTTCTGAAGAATCTTTGATGTTTACACACCTGTAGTTGTTGCCGAATCATCAAAGAAGTGCCGACACTCAATTGACTTCTACGTCTTTTTTATATATCAGAAAAAAAACTGTCATTTCTTTTTGTCAAGGAATGATTACACATGTTTAATTATTGCTCAAGTAAAAAAAAATGTTGGATATTTATTGTGTCAATTATTGACATATTATTAATCGAATCGTAAAAGCATTTTGATTGTGATATTTTATTTACATTTTTATGATCTTGAAGATATTGTGCAATACTTGTGTCTGCTATCAAAACAATAATGCATATGAAAGGACTACAGCTTCCAAAATTTATTTTTTCGGTCAATTTTATGACAGAATCCCCGCTGCTACCAGAAATGTTTTATTGCTTGGGCGAAGTATTTAATCTGTGTCTGCAGTCATAAACAAACAAACATGTACCCCAAAGCACATTAAAATTACCACATGGTAAACTAGTGACCATATAAATGCTTAACAAATATTCATTAATTGAACAAACATTATTTTTAATCCAGTTTCCACACCTTAATTTGAAACGTTCTACTATTAGTAAATTCAACTTAATTGCCGCGCACATGCAGTACTGCGTGACTTAAGGAAAATATCCTTTCCTGGTTGGTTGCTATTTATGTAAATACTTTAAATAGTAACACCCTAATTTATGCACAGAATGCCCTCGTGAATGATCACTCGTTACTTTACATATTAAATGTGTGATTTTCCTCCGAATTTATTTTTGTTTTCGAGGGCATTTTTTGGGTCGAATGCCTTGGCTGATTTGGCGGAAATAAGAAAAATTCTGATTTTTTTAAGCTGAAAAAAAAACACTTTTGAGTCGGGGCTTTTTCGCAAGGTCGGCCGGCAATAGCAAACAGATAATTTTTTAAGAGTGGCCTTATATGCGATTTCAACACTTTTTAAGCTATACATCCGGGTGAAAGTAAATACGGTTGAGTTGCGATAATAGATCATTATCAAATTTAAAAGTTAATTCATAAAAAGTATATTGGTGAAACAAATTACCTACAACTTTATCAAACTTACTTGCATGTTGATGTGAAGATCATAATTGAAGATTTAGGGTGGGCCTCACAGTACATGTCTAACACGTGCATCATGTAGGCATCCTTTACATCAGCTGACATCAATACATAATACTGCTTTAACTGCTCAACTGTCGCAATTCTGATAATACATGAATTTATTAGGCATATCACCACAATATCATTATGAAATATATTGGTGAAATGTTTGGCAAAAATATACAGTCAAATTGTTCTATTATATAACATTCTGTTACAAAGATGTCTTTTGAAACTGGTCCTACTGTAAGCTTAGTAATTCAAACAGTAGCCAGCATGCCCACTCAATTTCAAACGTAAGAGTACTTGAACCCCCTGTTATTGAAAATTGGGGGTAGTTTTCAAAATCTGGGGGTACACATAGTCATATGTTTAAACATGTTTTTGTTTGTAAGAACGTTTTAGTCAACATGATATTAATGAACAGCTGTTTCTCTAAGTATTACTACCCACTAACACAGACACAAACCCATCACTTAAGGTAGCAATATAACAGCCATTACAATCATTGGTATTTTGTTAAGTCCATACGATTATTACCCATAAACAAAATTTTGTATATCCGAAATTATGTACATTTATTTCAAAATCTCAATATGACACAATTGAAGGTAGTTGTTAAAAAATAAAGTAAATAACTTTTTGCTGATCATTAGAGAACACAAAATACTTTTTGGAAGTTGTAAATATCCAAAACTTTTTTCTTAAGACAGAACAGCGACATCAAAACATGACTAAAATATTTCCGAATCAGACTGAGATGACTTTGAAAGCAGACATGCAATTATGACCGGGTTTAGACTGTTCCTAACCATTGGTAGATGGCAACAACATTTAGTTGATATGCAAATTAGGCTATCCCAAACATTCATTCCGACGATTTCACTTTGCGTGCATGTACCCCCTACTTACAATTTTTATGCGTGCATCTAGAATTTTGTGCGTGAATTATGCACTGTAGTGCGTGAATGGGCATGCTGAGTAGCAGTGAGGGATGTGTGGGTCAGAGTGTAACAGTATACTTAGTAGATTGTAACCATACTGTGAAAAAATATTGGTTTATAACAAGAGCGATCAGTAATCACATGTGTCGCCTCATGATGGCCAATTTCATGTTGGGACAAATTTTGTGACAGACGGACAGACAGACGGACAGTGCACAACTAGACTTGGTACTGATCATTCCTGTAAAGTTTGGATAAAATTGCACCAGTAGTTTATGAGGAGTAGTCCAGACAAGCTTTTGCGTATCTGGCAACACACAGAAAAAACACCTTTTTATCAAAGGGCCATAACTCGGCCAAAAATCATTCAACCGGAAAACCCGTGCAATATGCACAAGGACTTGAGCTACAGATCAATCCTGTAAAGTTTCATTGAAATTGCTTTAGTGGTATAAGAGATGTAGTCCGGACAAACTTTAAAAATAAAAATTATTAAAGGGCCATAACTCTGACAACAAGAGCTGTCCGTAAGACAGCGCGCTCGACTTTTTTATTGCTTGCCAATAAAAAAAGTTTTTGCAGTAATACAAAACATTGACAGTTAAGGGCCATAATTCAAATAAAATCTTTGACAGAATTACCTTCTCCTGGACATGTTTGGGAATCATGATTGTAAACAAGTATTCCAACTTTCAAATTAATATCTCAAACAGTTCAGTCAAAAAGTGGACTGGTACTAAAAACTTAACCAAGATTCTAAGTCGATAAAAGGCCTTAATTTTTAAAACAAATCCTTGACAGAGTTACCTTCTCTTGCGTACAGATGGGGGTAATGATGTGAAATAGCATTAAAAGTTTCAAAGCAATATCTCAAAGGGTTAAGGCAATAAGTGGATTTTACCCATATTCAATGTATTTTCTAAGTCAAAAAGGGGCATAATTCTGTCAAAAACCTTGACAGAGTTATGTCCTCTTGTCTGTTGATGAAGGTCGTGATGGTAAACAAGTATGGTCAGTTTCAAAGCAATACCTCCAATGGTTTTGAAATAAAGTGAGGTGGTACAAAAAACTTAACCAAGCTCAATACACTTTCTAAGTCAAAAAAGGGCCATAATTCTGTCAAAAACCTTGACAGAGTTATGTACTCTTGTCTGTAGATGGAGGTTATGATGGTGAACAAGTATGGTAAGTTTCAAAGCCATACTTGTAATACTTCTGAAATAAAGTGGGGTGGTACGAAAAACTTAACCAAGGTGTGACGCCAACGCCGACGCCGGGGCGAGTAGGATAGCTCCCCTTTTCATAGAAAAGTCGAGCTAAAAATCATTGAACTGGAAAATGCTGATAATATGCACAACTACCCTTGGTACTGGTCATTCCTGTAAAGTTTAGATGAAATTGCACCAGTAGTTTATGAGGAGTAGTCCGGACAAGCTTTTGTGTATCTGGCAACACACAGAAAAATTCACCTTTTTTATCAAAGGGCCATAACTCGGCCAAAAATCATTCAACCGGAAAACCCGTGCAATATGCGCAAGGACTTGAGCTACAGATCAATCCTGTAAAGTTTCATTGAAATTGCTTTAGTGGTATAAGAGAAGTAGTCCGGACAAACTTTAAAATTAAAAATTATTAAAGGGCCATAACTCTGCCAAAAATCATTGAACCGGAAAATGCTGACAATATGCACAACTAGACTTGGTACTGATCATTCCTGTAAAGTTTGGATGAAATTGCACCAGTAGTTTATGAGGAGTAGTCCGGACAAGTTTTGTGACGGACAGACAGACGGACAGACAGACGCATGGAAGTGATCCCTATATGTCGCCACTACTCCGTAGAGGCGACACAATAAACAAACAGTTCACTACATGTACGAACATGTCATTTCTGACAAATACCTTGGTAGTCATACTTTGATTGTCTTCGTAAACCTTTAGCAATGCTCAGAAAGGGGATCAAGAAGAATAAAACATCATTTTACTACTGCTACAGAAAAATTTAGAGATGAACAACCAATTCATAAGGTGTTTGGAAAAGGGCAAAGTATGTTTATCAAGTGCATGGTCCTACATTTATATTCTTTTCACAGCACAGTTTCAATTAACTAAGTTTTACATGTAATTAGCATTTAGATGGTGACATTCAAAATTTCTAGTATAAAGTTTATTCTCTTAGGTACAAGCTCTCAATTCTTTTTTGTGAAGATTTATTTTCTAACTTTTGTTTCCTTATTTTGAGGTCTGCAGCTTCAAAAAGTTTGAAGATACATGTACATTTTGTAAGTTGGCAGTTTTTGATAACAAGCACTTACTCTGAAGGTTGTTGCCAGAAGAAAGGTTTATTAAGAGCAACTTCCTGGAGCTGTTGTAATGTGTCTGTCATTGTGGCACTGAACAACAAAGTTTGACGTTTCCGTGGTAATACTTTAAATATTGTCTCTAATTGTTCACCATAGTCATCTTCTATTAATCTGTCTGCCTCGTCTAAAACCTGCAACCATCACAAAATATACAAGGCTGTATATAGTAAGATAAATTAAGAAATATTGATACCCAAGCTTTTCTAACATGTATCATAGTAAGAAATGCCAATAAGGCAAGAAACTAATATTGATATGCTTAACATATCCTCTATCTAATTGGAAGGCATACACAAAAAAATCACATAGATGTATTTGAAAATGAAATGGTACAGATAATAGTGTCCACTAATCGAGTATAATCAATTAACTTCAGAACAAACAAAGATTTGTTTGTTAGTACAAAAATTTTGGATGGACTTTTAATAAGATTAGGAATTTTTTTAGGACATTTTAAATTTTGCGAGGTATTGAAATCAGACATGTTATCTAAAACCTTACTAGACAGTATGAATTTTAACTATTAATAAATTTTGCCTAATTATACATTATTGATACATACCAAAAATTTAATTTTTTTCAGACTAAATGTATCACAGCTTTCAAGATGGTCAGCAAGCCGACCTGGTGTAGATATAACAATGTGTGGCTTCACAGCCAAATCTAATCCTTGCTGCATCATATCTGAAATTTAAAACTTAATAACTAAATAGCATTTCAGTCATTTCAATTACATGAGTTATACTTTTAGAATGCAGCTTTTACAAATATGATAATTGCTGGACGAACTTACTTCTTCCTAGGTTGTAGCTTTGGACAAGTTAATCAGATTCCACCTGCCATATATCCTACAGGTAAATCTAATTCCACCTGCCATATAGCCTACAGGTAAATCACATTCCACCTGCCGTATATTCTACAGGTAAATCACATTCCACCTGCTGTATATCCTACAGGTAAATCACATTCCACCTGCTGTATATCCTACAGGTAAATCACATTCCACCTGCCGTATATCCTACAGGTAAATCACATTCCACCTGCTGTATATCCTACAGGTAATCACATTCCACCTGCCGTATATTCTACAGGTAAATCACATTCCACCTGCTGTATATTCTACAGGTAAATCACATTCCACCTGCCGTATATCCTACAGGTAAATCACATTCCACGTGCCTGTATATATCCTACAATGCCAAAATTTGTTATCCTCTTGATTGTACTAAGTCTGATAGAGATTTGTGTAAATATTTCATATTCACAGACAATGCCAATGTTGTTTTTTTTTGTTTGTTTGTTTTTTTGTTGTTGTTTTTTTGTGTTTTTTTTTTGGGGGGCGGGGGGGGGGGGTATATTCTTGTCAAATATGCATCAAATTCAATCTCAATTTGACATTAAAAATAAAGAATATAAAAGAAAATTACTGACCTTAGAGTTTGATAGATCATGCTTATAGGATAATGAAAACTTCAACTTCAAAATCTAAGTCTCTTAAGGCTATATTGACAACAGCTGCTTACAGACAATATCCAACTTAAGGCCAATTAAATGGTTAATGTTACCAGGCTCTTCTGAATTAAAGACAGCAGGAGATACTGTTCTGAATCTGCAGCCAGCGAATGATTGTTTTTCTGGCCATGTCACATAATTACATGTATTAATAATAGAGTAAAAATGCAACATCTTTGATCAAGCTGTATTTTCTTTTAGTAGGACATACATGTACAAATATTCATTATCGTGGCAAAATTGTACCATTTCCTTCATTATTGCAAGCACTAGAAAATCAAGTTGTATATGCAAGAAAGGCTTTATTGTATATAATTTTTAAATCCAAGCTATAACAGGACAAACATCTATTTTATTATTATAACTACAGTAAATACTGTTACCTAGACCACCTGTTATCACAGATACCCTCACACCAATTGGTTTTCCTAGAACATTAAACTGCTCCGAAATCTGAAATGCCAGTTCACGAGTTGGTGTAAGCACAAGAGCAAATATTCCAAATGGATCTTCTGACAATTTCTGTAAGATTGGTAGAGCAAATGCTGCAGTTTTACCACTTCCAGTTTTAGCACATCCAATACAGTCTTCACCTGCAATCAGTCATACAAAGACATCATGATCTTATCAAATGAATTGTTCTATAAAGAGTAAATGGAATAAATCTAGAGATACATTTATCAAATGTGTTTCTGTTAAGGGTGCACCACTAATTTTGGGGATAGAAAATGAACAACATACTGTGTTGTACAGTATGACATCATATTTTCCTGGAAAAATGGCAGTATGATGGCATTAAAGCATTTTGTGAAAGAAATCGATGTATGATTTTTGAAACAAAGAAAAATAGCCTAAAATTACTTGATATTATTTTACCTTTTATATATATTTATATAATATTAGTGCCATTATTAGTTTCAGAAATCTGAAATCCCATACAATCTCAGATCTTTATGCAGTACTTGTGCCAATTGAAAGATTGTTGTAACTAAATTTATAAGACAAATTCTTTACTCTTTTTAACTTGCATATGCAAATTTTAGTGTGTTAAAATTTCGTCTTCCGGTGATGCATAAATTGTAATGCTGCTAACATGTATAGTTTCAATATGGTTAATTATGGTAAGGCTCTCACAATCATAGGTGTTCGGCGCGTTGATTGGTCACTACCCCCGGGCCAACCCCACTCCCCCTCACCCACTCTACAACCCTCCTAGCTCTCAAAACCATGTAAACTGTAGTATTTTACATTTTAAACATGTGTTAATAGTTAGTACATGCTTTTAATTCAATTACCTTCATCTCAAACAAAAAATAAAAAAATGATATAGATCTAATATATCCCGAAACAACCAATTTTCAATCACAACCTAAATTCAAACACATTCTTAATTCTGTGGCACTGATGTCATGCCTGACTAAATTGCATAAAGTCACATGTTGTATTAACTTCAAAACTTGCAGAAATGCCACACTTGATTAATTGTCAGATGTTTTCAGAAAAACAATAAGAAACTGTTTGTTTTAAGTGACACAATATAAATTGTCCAACTTTCACTATATCAATATAGTCACTTGTTTAAAATAGTGGTAAAATTTTTTCTAAGCAAGTTAATTTTTTATAAAGTATTGGCTAAAGAGTTTTACCATTTGTACCTCAGTCCTAGGTGTATTTAAAACATTTATTTATATGATGTACCACTAAATATTCATCAGACTTTACACGGGGTCCTTATTAATAAAATCTTATATTGTTATCAAATTTTTTCATGTGATGATTGTAGAATAATTGTTTTGTAAGCGATACCAGCCGGCAGATCTAGACAAGTTTCCATATTTGCTAATATTTTAAAATGGGGAAGGTAAAATAGCTGTAAAGATTGGATGCATTTATCATTTTGCACCCCAAATAGTGTACTAAGAAGTGACACCTTTAACTGCCTTTTTAAACACATTAACACTAGTCATACCAATGCATTGTGCTGTACATATGTTATAACATTTAGTGTAAGTTTTTTTAAAATCTTGAAAAAACTGTTGAAAATTGTTGAATAGACTATCGTGAAGTTTTATACAATTTTTAGTGGCCCTGATTTATCTTTAACAAATTTTCCATGGTGATTAGCCTGCTGTTTGAATTTGGGTTAAAATATTCCAGGGAGTAACCCGAGTGGGTCATATTGTTTTTATTGAATTTCTAAGAAAGATCAAGACTTGTTGAAAATGTACCAACCTGAAAATGAATAAGTGTTAATAGATGCATTAATAGCTAAAATAAATTTAAAGTATAATTTCCCCTTCCAACAGCTTAACTGATTGAATATTGGTTGTCCCGGGATATATTTAGTACGGGCCCGTACGGCTAGCCACTTTCAAATCTTTTATGCCATGCCCAATAACGCAAATTTATTGAATAACAGATTGACATAAATATGTCACAATGTAGTGAAAAACTTGGGCGTCAAACGTCTCAGTGAGAAAGTCGATTAAAAAACAAAAAAAAAAAAAACAAGTCGCGAAATCATATGATTTATACAAATAACTGTTTTAATGCATACCTTTCAATATGTGAGGAATACAATTTTCTTGGATTCCGGAAGGTTTTTTAAGTCCCATTGTTTTACACTGATTGGATAACCAGTCGTGTAGTCCTAAGTCTTCGAAATCCATTTTTTTCTATTTTGTTTACATCCGCGTGTACACCATTCCCTGCAGAGTTATTGTTCTTCAGGTCAGACACTCACATTGATATTTCCATAGACTTACATTATAAGAAATGGTCCCTAATCCTACCTTAAAATTGAGTTTTCATGCTAAAGAGGTGATTTTTCTAGCAGAATGAAATGCCTGACACATAAAAATGGTCCTGTTATAGTGGTAGCCAACCAAATTTTTTGCAAAATGACTTCAAAGAGGATTACCCCCCATATTGCCTAAATTATATGCAGGATATTTTGAAATCAATGACAACGAAATGTTTTAAAATTATTTATTGAATATAGGCTGACAATAAATTATTTGAACACATTTAAAAACCTACGCCATTGAAAGCAATAATGAAACTTTCTTGTCGGTATCATAAGGTCATTCATTAATGATGATATTCTTAATTGAATTAGAATACATTTAACATAATAATTATTATTCATAATACAACATAAACTTAATAAAAATAAATTAGGATTTAACACTGATACACAAATTCTTTATGTAATATCAATAATACGAAGATGACCGAGTTCTTGACGGTGAGAAAATGAGACTGACTTCTTGTCGGTATAGATATTTCATAATTTGCCTATAAACATGGTTCAGAACGAGTTTATTATGTTTTTTATGTTAAAAAATATTAGGAATTGTTATTATTAAATGATGAATAAGTGAAATTAATTCGTATTTTCCCATTTTTACTTCTTGTCGGTTCTTGTCGGTTCCTGGCGGTTCTTGTCGGTAATTAGGGAGACCGAAAACAAATGTAAACATACACATAGACATGTGGAAAATTGGCCGGAATGTTTTAATTTTAGGGACAAAGGGATGTATGCAAACGGTTTCTGGACATTACACCTCCTTGACGTTAGGTAATGTCATTCATTTATAAATAGCCGATTGTGACCTGTAAAATTTTAATATGTATCAGAATGATTTGAAATATGTTTTCGCGAGGGTATGGCATCCTGGTCAGACTAACCTATTGTTTTTCCATAGACTTGCACCGAATTGGCTATATCTTAACACGTCAGGAACAAATTCTCCCAACACTTGAGTGTATACAATGGCACAGTCTAAATACTCACAATAATTATAGAGAAAGAGCGAACACGGACGATATAAATAGCAGATGGTTAATTTGGCGATGGTAGCTTGTGTTTTATTTTACAATTAAAATCCGTGATAATCGAAATCTGATAAATTTAGTTAATAGTGCTTTGAAAGAATTAAAAAAAAAAAGATTTAATTTTATGTCACTTTTATTGTCCCCCGCCTTTTCGAAGAAAAAAGGGGGATATAGAAATAGGCTCCGTCCGTCTGTCCGTCCGTCCGTCTGTCCGAGCAGACGAGAGCTACATTATGAGGTTTAGGTTTATGTACAGGCACTCTGTATGGGGTTCATTCCGTAGAGACATGTATTATGTGGTTAAAAATGCTCTTATGGGGTTAAAAAATTTGCTCTTGTGGGGTTAAGAGATCAAAGGAATAACCCCACAAACACGTCCTGTGAGAACGTCCGTCTGTCCGTCCGTCACACTTTCGTGTCCGGTCCATAACTTTGTCATTTATGAAAGGAATTTGAAATAACTTGGCACAAATGTTTACTATAATAAGACGATGTGTCATGCGCAACAACCAGACCCCTACCTCCAGGGTCAAGGTCACACTTGCTCATTCAAGGTCAAAATTGCCTATTTGAGGGTATATGTGGTGTCCGGTCCATAACTTTCTTATCTATGAAGGGATTTTGTAAATACTTGCCATAATTGTTTACAATAATCAGACGATGTGTCATGCGCAAAAACCAGTCACCTACCTTCAAGGTCAAGGTCACACTTGGAGGTCAAATATTAACATAGTCTGTTACAGGGTATATTTCGTGTCCGGTCCATAACTTTCTTATCTATGAAGGGATTTTGTAAATACTTGCCATAATTGTTCACAATTATCAGACGATGTGTCATGCGGAAAAAGCAGTCACCTACCTTCAAGGTCAAGGTCACACTTGGAGGTCAAATATTAACATAGTCTGTTACAGGGTATATTTCGTGTCCGGTCCATAACTTTCTTATCTATGAAGGGTTTTTGTAAATACTTGCCATAATTGTTCATAATAATCAGACGATGTGTCATGCGGAAAAAGCAGTCACCTACCTTCAAGGTCAAGGTCACACTTGGAGGTCAAATATTAACATAGTCTGTTACAGGGTATATTTCGTGTCCGGTCCATAACTTTGCCATTTATCAAAGGAATTTGAGATAACTTGGCACAAATGTTTGTTATAATAAGACGATGTGTCATGCGCAACAACCAGACCCGTACCTTCAGGGTCAAGGTCGTACTTGTTCATTCAAGGTCAACATTGTCTATTTGAGGGTATATGTCATGTCCAGTCCATAACTTTCTTATCTATGAAGGACTTTTGTAAATACTTGCCATAATTGTTAACAATAATCAGATGATGTGTCATGAGCAAAAACCGGTCACCTACCTCCAAGGTCAAGGTCACACTTGGAGGTCAAATACTTACATAGTGTGTTACAGGGTATATTTTGTGTCAGGTCTATAATTTTTTCATAGATCAAAGGATTGTGAAAATACTTCACACAAATAGTCACTATAATAAGAGGATGTGTCATGCGCAACACCTGCATCTCTACCTCCAAGGTCAAGGTCACACTTAGAGGTCAAAAATTAACATAGTCTGTTATAGGGTATATTTTGTGTTGAATCTAGAACTTCTTCATAGTTCAAGGGATTTTGAAATAACTTGGCACAAATAGTCACAATAATAAGACGTTATGTCATGCACAACACCTGCTCCCCTACCTCCAAGGTCAAGTTCACACTTAGAGGTCAAAGCTTAACATGATAGATTTTTAAATTCCGTGTTTCATTTTATTTTTTTAACAAATTTATTGTTAGATATTGTTAGATTTGCAGATCTAGCATTGATCATAATTTTGAACTGAATGTCCTGACATCCATACCTCAATCTTTTGAAATAGCACAATTTTATGCTTCATATAAAACTCCCGGGGCGGGGGACGTTGGTAACTCTGTTACAAATTCTTGTTACGTTTTATTATAGATACATTTATATTTTATATGATAATTCATGTTTGTTTCTCCATTATCCTTCAAAAATAACTTTCTTCATATAAATATTGCAATAAATGGTAGGGGTAGTTCGACTTTTTACGTCTTCATCTTAAACTATTCTTACATGCATATATAGGACACCCACGGACGATAAAGAAAGAAAACGGACAAAAAAGCATAAAGTAAAATAACACTGGCGATATAGTTGTAAATAATCTATTAGAAACGAAGTATAATTAAATACTTACATTTATATTTACATTTTATTTTGCTGAACAAACATATATGTCTTGTAAAAACGTCTATAATGACTCATTAAGTGTTCTCAAGTGTTGGGATTTCAACATATAGGCATGATATATGTATTATGACTCTCAAATGCTGGGATTTAAACATATAGACACAATGTATTATGTCTCAAGTGTTGGAATTTTAACATCTAGATAAGATATTTCTATAATGACCCTCAAATGTTGGGATTTCAACATGTAGACAAGATATATGTATTATGTCTCTCAAGTGTTAAGATTTAAACATATTGACACGATATATGTATGAGGTCTCTCAAGTGTTGGGATTTCAACACATAAACAATATATATGTATAATGACTCTCAAGTGTTGGGATTTCAACATATAGACAAGATATATGTTTTATGTCTCTCAAGTGTTGGGATTTAAATGTCAACACAAGATATTTTTATATACTGACCCTCAAGTGTTGGGATTTCAACATATAGATATTAAGATATAAATGTATTATGTATTATGTCTCTCAAGTGTTGGGATTTCAACATATAGACAAGATATAAGTATTATGTCTCTCAAATGTTGTTACATACATTCTGTCGATATGGCGAAATTCTAACACTTGAGAGTGATAAAAATATCTACTTTGTTTTTATGTTGAAATAAAAAATTTGAGAGTCATAATACATGTACTAGCTAGTATGTCAAGGTTCAGAACTGATCACTATTAAGGGGAATTGGTGTGATAAGCGGCCGGATAGCTCAGTCGGTAGAGCCGCAGTGTCCTTGCCTAGTATTTTTATTTTATCAGAAAATGACGTCACTACAGATTCCGCAGACGACCTTCACTTGTCCGAAGATGTAATTATCAGTTTAAATTGGTAAATATTGGGTAAAATAAAGAAGTATTTTCAACACATGCGGGCAGCTTTGGATTTTCCTATCAATGACAGAAATTTATTTGAAATGAAAATATTTCTAGCTATTTCTATCCTAATTCAAAAGGCAGCACTTCCACTTTCAACAGATAATTGGTGGTGTTCAGTGCGTAAAGAAACACATTTTCTGATTACACCGGAATGGGCAAGGACACTGCGGGTACCAGCTGGGAGTACTATAAAGCCTGGATAGTTTAAAGAATTAAGGCAATATGATTTACATCAAATTCAATTTGCATTGAAGTCCATACTGGCATGCTAGCAGTTTCCGTACAGAAGCAGTACCCATATTTTGGTTTAAACACTAATGATTTTTACTTGCATTGTTCAAATTGATATCAAATCAAGCAGATGCATAAACGAGACAAAATCTAAATGTCAGTCGGCAGTACATATAAAAAGTTTCATTTTAAATCATTTCACCTGTGCATTGTCAAAATGTGACCTTGTTTAGTTCGGAAGATTCCATCCTTGTGCACATGTGCAAAAATACTAACATGTGAGGCCTGTTAAAGGGTTTTCCACTAATTCCACCTTACGGTGTACAGATAAGAAGGCAATGCGATGAAAAATTATTTAATTATCAGAATTTTGACCTATATTACTAGATTAAGTAATTTTATGGCTTTAATGCATAGAATTTAAAAAAATACTTAGGCTGATTTTTATACAAGCATATTCTGTGGAATTTAAGATAATATTTTTAAGTTACATCCATAATATAAAAAGATATCTATTAAGATGTGACTTACAATGTGTAACTTTAGATGGTAGATGATCTGAATATGTGCTGCCATATGACATTCCTCTCCTGTGTTCCTGTGAATTTGAGATGTACATGTGTAAGAGTTACTGCTGGGGATATTGTGGATTCAACAAAAAAATTTGCTGCATGTTTAAAGAAAAATATTTACATTTCAGTTTTGAGAAGATATCTATTTAATGCACAGACATTAGATCTTGACAGTTTTAACCTTGAGCGAATGAAAGAGAAAAAGAATAGTTACCACAAGAAAGGTAATTACACTGAATAGTTGTTTTTTTTTATCAGTTATTGTATTTTAGTTCAAAATAAACAATATTATATAATTCCATCAAAAGAGCATGTAAATGGCTTTAATTTTTTTGTTTTTTATTGACGTTTTTTTGTAAAGTTCATAGTATGCAAAGCATACATTTAATTTGAAGAGTGACATATAGGCCGGGTCATCATGGTCTACTTTTTTCACTTTGATATAACTTTAACCTTTGATTATTTTTTTTGTTGTGGAAAACCTTTGATTAAATTTTTGTTGTTGACAACGTTTGTTTTTACAAAACCAGGTCAGCTTTTGAATCGTTTGGGAGCACAAGTTAATCATGGGCAGTATATACTCACTGAAGACTTAGCAGCACTCTTGTATCTAACAGAACCAGATGATGACTTTGATTTAGTGCTTAAAGTTGTACAAAGGTATATTTAAATTTCCTATTCTATTTCACAAGTGCATAGCCTGGTCTTGGCCATTAGATGACCCCAATTGATTTTTGGAGCAAGGGGTAAAAGGTCAAGATCGCAAATACTTTGTATGCCAAAATAGGTTCCCCACCAAAACTTTTATTTAAAGCCTCCTTTACAAAGAAGAGGTGGTATATTGCTTTACACATGTCTGTCTGTCTAGTTGATCCATAGCCCATCAATAATTTAAGTTCCCCTGGGTCTAGGAATTTCAAACTTGGTATGGAGATTGGTCATGACCAGTAGATGAACCCTATTGTTTTTGGAATTACAATGACCTTGACTGTCTTTAATTCACTGGGCTTGAAATTTGAATATGGTGGGCAGTTGATGTTAAATTGTGATTCATGTATTTCTGTTCTATATCTTTTGAACCTTTTGAAATTCTTAAAGTATTTTATTAGTGTTTTTGTCACAGGTTTCGGTGCCCAACTTCTAGGTGATTGTCGCAGCTCTTGGTAAGAAGTTGAAAATAGCAATTAATGTCTTTTGAACAACTTGAGGGATTATTGATGATACCTGTGTCAAATGTTTATCTCATTTAGGACAGAGCCTACATGTTGTCAGATTCAAGATTGAGAGAGGTCAAATTTCAGTTTACTCTCTAGATTGAGAGAGATCAAATTTTAGTTTACTCTCTAACTTTTGAACTGCTTAAGGGGTGAAAATGATAATTGGTTCAAATATTTATCTCTTTGATATAATATGCGCAGAACACATATTTCAGAAAGTCAAGGTCAGAGTTTAGGGTCAAAGGTTTAAGCAAGCAAATTTAATCTGCTCTCAAATATTTGAACCTTTTCAAAAATGGTCATGGTGCTTAGGTCAAGTGAATGTATATTACAGGCTCTCTGCTTTAACTAAGGTCAAGGTCACAGTTAAAGGTAGGTCAGTGGTTTGAGCCATCATTCATCTGCTTTGATTTTTGAACTTTCTGAGGGATATTTCTATAAGCCATGATCTTATTGAAAGTGAATTTTAGATGTTCATGTAACTTGGCATATAGGGTTTAACATAGGAGTTGTGGGACTAAATTTGTTTTATAATCATATAAATTTGTAAATTAAAATTGTATTTTGCAGGTATCAGGAGTTCCAGGAAAAGGCCAAATTAAAGATACGCTTCCCACTTGGAATTAAGATGCTACAAATGTTATATATTGTTGAGAAGGAGGATTTAGCACTTAAATGGTTTTTAAATGATGTAAGAAAATTTATCTTCTTTCTTATTTTTACCTTACTTGAGTTCAAAGTGTTGATAAGCTTCTTGATCTCATGATGTCCGTTTCTGATTGGAACCCACTTTTTTTTTAACCACATGTATGTGTAATATCAAAAATGGATATATAGATGACTTTGAGTATATCCCAGTGACCTTCTTCTGCATTTAAGCATTTAAATCTTATCCAGGAACTCAGGTGAACAATTTAGGGCAAACATGGCTCTCTGGTTGACATTGAAATAGGACTGACTGTATATAACAATATAAATTATTAATCATTATATGAATAACAGATTCCAGTGTTGCCGTTGCATGACAATAATGGTATGAAGAATTAAATAAATCATGGATGATGTGATTGATAGTGTCCTGTAGAGATTCACATCAGATGTTTGTACATTAAGATGCCTTGACTGTAAAATAATAATTAATGGATATATGAATATGCAATGTTTATAGACTCTATGAGAGTTCAGGATCATTCTTGGCAAAATGTAGTCACTTAATAAATATGCTTGTATGCTGGAATATATGTACAAAAAATGCAATTGAATGAAAAAGAACGGAGGTATACTTTGGGAAATACAATCTAGACTTCCATTGAAAAATGACTGTTAAAATACCTTCCTGTTAAAATATTTTCCTCAGAACCTTAAATATTTCTGTAAATCAATTTTGACTATGGACATCCCTAAATATTTCCATGTGCTACTGAATGGTACATATAATTTTCATCCATACTAAGAAAAGGTCTCAGGTGAGCCATTTTAATTAACATCATCATGGCCAAATTGTTTTGTAATCTGAAAAATCTCAATGTAATTCATTGTTAGTTATAAAGTTTTTGACAAGTTCTTCAGCCCTATATAAATGGTATTTTGAAAATATTACCCGAGTCAAAGGTGAGAGTTACATTGCAAACAACTGTCTATATACCGCCATATTATTACCTGTTTGGAATATATATAACAAATTAAGCAAACTTTTTTAGGGAAAAAGTAAGATCTCTTAATGAATTGATAGCAGCTGTACATAATGTATGTATAAAACTATATAAACACCACAATTATCCAATGAAAATCAACGTTACAGACATGCAGTATTCTCAGATACATTTAAGTGTTAGCTACTTGGATATTTTATTTTCATTTCAGAAAAATACTGTAAACCCTATGTGTAGATCTCGTAAATGTTTTTTGATCATGATGGACATGCTATTTGAATGTGGTTTATATGAAGAAGTTGTTAACCTGATTTTGACTTGTGAAAATTTCCTGGACAAAAAATACCCGGAGCTAATGTTACTAGCACTGGCAGCACTCTACAAAATGGTAAGATATTGTTGATTCTCTCCCTTTCCTTGGTCACAGTCTTATGTAGACATCCCAGGAGTGGGACCATATGTTAGTAGGAATCAGCAAGGAAATAGTTCTGTAGCTATTTTGTTTCTTTCTTAAATTTCATTAACCATCAGTTTGTCTCAAAACAGTAATAATATTGGATCTGTTTTAAAGTTGTCAATAAAGACAGAGACATACAGTAGATAACAGAGATAGGCGACTTCCTAGCCAGTTAAGATATCATGCGTGCCTGCTAAACTTAAAACTTGTAGCAAGTAAAACTTATTAACCACATATCAAAATCAGTAAATTAATATATTTAAAATGGCTCAGTGGGTATGTTGTACTATGTTTTTCTAAGTTAAGGGCCTGGAAAGTTACCAATATTTTAACATGCAGCCATAGATAAAAGATTTAACTTAAACATGGTGTATAATATAAAAGGATCAAATGTACATCCATTAAGTTTTACTTGCTACAAAATGCCTAATTTTTCACCTTTTGATAGACATGAGTGATATTTCAATGGTGTATATAGGAGCTGCTTATCTCTGTTATCTACATCTTTGATAAAGACTGCTTTTCAGGAAAGTTTGACAAATCTTGATAAAAAAAAACGTGAAGGTAGTTATGTCTGAATTTATGTCTGAATTGGTTATCATGTCCATGAAGGGAGACATATATGTCACCTTTGTGTAATAACTAATTAACTCCTATTGAGTTTAGAAGGACTTTTTCCATTACTGCACAAGTAATATAATGACTGGATCATGACCGATCATCTGTCACTATGTTGCTCCCTGCAACTAGATTAGGATTAGTGGTTATTACTGTAAACAAAACAAATAATTCATTCCATAAGAAAATTGAGGGCCATGATCTTCTATTCATCAAAAATTGCAATTAGGAACAATGCACAAATTTTACTCGTACTTAAGACTTCAAATTTTACATATTTACATTGTGTTAATTATGATAAAGACTATCAAACAGTTGCTGGATGGCAATGATTTTATGCTTTTGTGGAACAAATATGTTTAAGAAACATATTTTCTTGTTTAATATTAAAATTAGAGCAGCAAATGCATGCAATAAGTTTACACAAGTTCTGATTCTGCTGCATTGAATCTTTGATTTATTTTTTTCCTTTTTTTTTCAGAATACAAAAGAATCTTTCCAGCAGATGTTGACATTAGTGAGTGAACTCTCAAAAGACAGTGTGCAGTTAACAGACAGATGTGCTTTAATGTGCTGTATGTTAGCTTACCAACAGGTAAATTATTACATTATACAATTAATCACAAACAATATTTTGTATATATTTTGGGGGTGAATGGAATTAAAAAGTTCACAAGTTTTAGATTTTCTGTGTACATCATCAAATTAGCGGTCCTTATCTCTAGTTGCTTTTGAAAAATGGCCTTTATAGAGGTGGTCCTATTAATAGTGATGTAGAATTTAACTATATATACATGTATGTTCATTCATGGTCTAATTGGATTCAATGAATGTAATAATTAGAGCATAAATTGTATGTATTACAACATTAAACATCAATACATGTAATTATAATTCTTAGCAGCATACATTTATGATGAATGACCAACAGTTACTGATAAATTTAACGTCCTATTTTATAAATATCGTTTACTGTAAAAGCTGTTTTATGTCCAATACCTCAGCTTTGTGGGTATGTTTTATTACAAATAAAGAAACAACATTGTATATGCTGTATATGTATTGATTTATATGTACTACTACAATTTTAAGGTTAGAGGTCAACAATACTATATAGCATCAGCCTAGCTTATAGCTCAACTACTCAAAGAATAGGTAGAGGCCATTGTGCTCTCCCAAGCTTTGGTTAAGATTTTGCATGCTAATTTGTATCTCCAAAACTGCTGAAGGGAATGGGTTGAAATTTCACACACTCATTTGAGAGCAAAATATGAGTTCAGTAACAAAGGGCTATAACTCTAACAAGAATTTTGTTAGAATTATGGCCACCTTAGAGTTTTGGAAATTTTACATTATTCAAGCTCTTGTTTAACTATCAAGCATTGAGAACAGTTGAACACTCATTCCTACTGACAGCTGTTTGTGTTATACAGAGGTGGATACCAAGTCAACGAATAATTTTGTTATGTTTATATTACAGGGAGAAATAGAAGTAATGCTGGAAATGATAAAGCTGCCAATCTTTACTGTCAAACAGGAATCATTTTACACATCTCATATAATAAATGTGAAGGTAAATTGTTATGTTTTATTTATCTCCCCTTCCTTAATATTTTTAGCTCACCTCAGCACAAAAGGTGCATGATTCAGCTGTTGTTTTGCTTGCATCTATAATTTCTTACATCATGACCTAATTTATAATTACATGTTACAAGATGCAACACATTTTTGTGTCGCCTCTACGGAGTAGTGGCGCCATATAGGGATCACTTCTCCGTCGTACCTCTACGGAGTAGTGGCGACATATAGGGATCACTTCTCCGTCGTCTGTCTGTCCGTCCGTCACAAAACTTGTCCGGACTACTCCTCATAAACTACTGGTGCAGTTTCATCCAAACTTTACAGGAATGATCAGTATCAAGTCTAGTTGTGCATATTGTCAGCATTTTCCGGTTCAATGAGAGTTATGGCCCTTTAATAATTTTTATTTTTAAAGTTTGTCCGGACTACTTCTCTTATACCACTAATGCAATTTCAATGAAACTTTACAGGATTGATCTGTAGCTCAAGTCCTTGCGCATATTGCACGGGTTTTCCGGTTGAATGATTTTTGGCAGAGTTATGGCCCTTTGATAAAAAGGTGTTTCTTTTCTGTGTGTTGCCAGATACTCGAAAGCTTGTCCGGACTACTCCTCATAAACTACTGGTGCAATTTTATCCAAACTTTACAGGAATAATCAGTACCAAGTCTAGTTGTGCACTGTCTGTCTGTCACAAAAATTGTCCCAACATGAAATTGGCCATCATAAGGCGACACATGTGATCACTGATCGCTCTTGTTTTATGGTTTTATATCATGAATATGATGCTCAAATTAAGATTTATCATTTGTGTAAGTTCCAAAAAGAATTATTTATAAAGATATAACCAAATTTAACAGTTCATGTAAATAAAGGGATGTAATAAAAAATTTATTGTCAATGAAGTCTTAGTCAAATTTTTCAATAAGAAATGAATGCATATATTTTAATGATTACATATTATGCGTACAAATATTTGCAGTGCATATTTAACATATTCTTCGATGTTTGAAAATTGTTTTATAAGCATAATTATATACATATATATAATTTCATATGTTATACAACAATATTCCTGGCTGGCCAACTAAAAATTACTAATCAGTCTTTCTGATGAGAATTTAAATCGAGGTCCTGTGTATGAGTACTGAAACACTTAGCAGTTAAAGAACCAGGGGAAGCTTCTGGAATTAGGCTTCTTTCTGTATCTGTATCTTGCTTTATCCTCCAAAAGTATAAAATGACTAATGCTCTCCTGGAGGACTCGCCCATATGGGCAACCGGTGGCAAGTATAAATAAACTCAAATACACACAAGGTATACAACCTCAATTACAACATACAGGATCTTCAAACTTTGACCTAATTTCGCAGGAAAAACCCTAGGTCTTCTGCAAAATGTGTTTACATGTACAAAAATGGTTTAAGTCAGTAATAGTACTTAAAAATTGACTTTAAAATCAAAATCTATAGAATGTCTTCTTCTCACAGACTTCAATGCCTATACTGAGATATTTGGTATGTAGCATAACCTTCTGTTTCTTTACAAATTTATATAGAACAAAACAGTGTTGCCAAGAGTTACTTTATTTTATTGAAATGGAAACTTTTAAAATCTCATCAGAAGCTGCAAAGGTTAGACATGGCACATTTGGCGTGTTGTAATATCTTATGGTCCTCTACAAAAGTAATAGAAAAGTAATAGAAATTACAAACCTTGGGCCAAAATTGCACAGACCTAGGTGAGCAGCAAAGGGCTGTCATGAGTCTCATGTTTTAGCTATGACAAGGTTGACTGCTTACTTTGTTTTAGTAGTTACATCTTATAATTTGTAAAACAAGGCAATTAAATTTTTGTCTGAAGCTTCATGTTTTTATGTAAAGTATGTTCATTGGGTAAAATATGGCTCTTTTGGATTTGCATACTATAAAATGATCTGAAGTTTCTTGAGAGACTATCAGAATTAAACCTTGGATATTAATACCCTTGTGGATGTACTAACACTTTTTCTTCTTTATTTTAGATACTTGCCTACATTAGATTAGGGAGGATTGAAGAGGCTGTTGGCATGGTTGAGAGTATATTTGGCATGTACAAGAATGCTTTCCCAGTTATCTTTGATGATGTTGTAAGTATAACAGTTTCTGAAGTATATTTAAAGTATACATTGGATAGCGTGAGTAACAGATATTTATTGGAAGTAAAATTGCTATAGGTTGTTCATCCATCCTATGTAAAAAATACCTGTATAACTGCAAGTAAATCCAGATTAACATTGAACCTGGTTTGTGATGGAAACGGAAGTCTTGAGAATACATTCTTAACTTTGTAAATTAGCAAAAAGAGAACTGATTTTCAATACTAATTTTTAAAGAATTAGAACAGCTCATTAATTAATTATACTGTTAGATTTTTTTGTAAATCTGTTTTCCTTTCATTATATCATGTTGTATGATCAAATGTATTTATAGAAGATAAAGTCATTGAAAATGTCTTTTAAAGCATGAATGACTTTTCTTTTTTCAGATAAACGAATTGACAACACAAACCAAATTGGCAGGAAATAAACTATTGGACAGGAAATGCGCAGAAATTACAAGATCATTGAAAGCATCTGGATATGCTATGAAAATTACCACTGAACAATATTTATTTAACAATATAAGTGTTAAAGAATATGATTTCTTATGTAATAATGATATTAGGGAAAGTAATATTTTAAAAGTAAATGATTTTAAGAATTAAATATAATGTACTTATAGTATTAGTTTGTTTTAACATGACAATTTTACAGGACAATGTATTTTTTTGTCATTCATGAATTGATGATAAAATAACTCAACATACTTGTGGGCAACATTAAGAGGTTGTGCCAGTTCCATGAGCCAGTTCAGTATCTCAAAGGTCAAAGCCACACTTGTATATCAAGTGATGATATAATTGTGATATAATTGTGAAAAGATAGTTATGTTCAGTCTATTACTTTCTCATTAATTGATGGATTTTGAAAGAATTTTGTATACATGTGTGACACATTGAAAAAATGTGTTGCATGCAAGACACAGGTTTGCAGCCCAAATGTCAAAGCCAAAGTAAGATTTTAACCAAAATATATTATCTTAATTCATGAATGGCTGTGTTCTGCCATTCACGGATGTATTTTGAAATATTAACAATGTTGTTTATAAGAAAGCAACTATTTATTCACAAACGTATCTTGTCCCTTTTGAGTTTTGACTTTTTGCAGCGTTATTTTTTTTACTCATCTTGAAATCTTATTTTTGTGGGCTACATGTTACCTTAATTAATGTTGAACACTTGTACAAAGTTTTTTTTCTTCTAAAATCTATCAATGAATGAAAGGAATTTTGAATTTCCTTGCATGAAAATTTATAAGTGGCATACATGTCATTCAATGCAGCACTGTGGTTTCTATATCGACTGAAAACCAATTGGTAATTTGACAAGAAAGAGTCATTAGTGAAATTTCACAGCAAAGAATATCAAGGGTCCCTGGTTCAAGAAAAGGTCCGGCTGACCATCTTTCACACTTGGTGATTATTGCGATGATTATGAATGTCATCCTGCTGTTGCATCATATAATGATGATAATGGTTATCTTTATTATTTAAAAAAGTAGACTGATTGCAAGGATGATAATGATGGTCATTTTTAGCTCGACTATTCGAAGAATATGAGAGCTATTGTAGTCGCCCCGGCGTCGGCGTCCGTGTCTGCGTTGGTTAAAGTTTTTTGTAAAGTCAAATATCTCAATTATTGCTTGAGATATTCAATTGAAACTTACAATACTTATTTATAGTAACAAGGTACATCAGATTGACAAGTTGGATAACTCTACCTACAATATTGACAGAATTATGCCCCTTTTTAACTTAGAAATTTTGGTTAAAGTTTTTTGTAAAGCCAAATATCTCAATTATTGTTTGAGATATTCAATTGAAACTTACAATACTTATTTATAGTAATAAGGTACATCAGATTGACAAGTTGGATAACTCTGCCTACAATATTGACAGAATTATGCCCCTTTTTAACTTAGAAATTTTGGTTAAAGTTTTTTGTAAAGTCAAATATCTCAATTATTGCTTGAGATATTCAATTGAAACTTACAATACTTATTTATAGTAACAAGGTACATCAGATTGATAAGTTGGATAACTGTCTACAATATTGACAGAATTATGCCCCTTTGAAACTTAGAAATTTTGGTTAAATATTTTTTGTAAAGTCAAATATCTCAATTATTCCTTGAGATATTCAATTGAAATTTACAACACTTTTTTATAGTAACAATGTACATGATTTTGCAAAATTGCATAACTCTGTCTGCAATATTTGCAGAATTATTTGCCCCTTTGAAACTTAGAAATTTTGGTTAAAGGTCTTCAAAGATATTTACTTGAAACTTTACATATGTACTTAGGGTCATAATTTGAGGGTCATAATTGTATGTCACTGACCAAGTTCCATAACTCTATCTTGCATTAAGGCTGATTCATATCCCCTTTTCTACTTAGTCTCTTGGTTAATGTTTACATGCAAGTTTTACATATCTCAATAACTATTAAAGATATTTATTTAAAACTTCACATATGCATTTAGGGTCAGAATTGTAGGTCACTGACAAAGATCCATAATTCTATCTTGCATTTAGGTTGATTTTTCTTCCCCTTTTCAACTTAGAAATTTATGATAAAGTTTTACTTGTAAGCTGTTATCTCCATAACTACTGAAGGGTTTGTGCCTTTTTTGGGACAATTTTATGCATTCATAATAATAAAGCAGTGATTTACTTGATAAAACATCTTAATAATAAGCCTTTGTACCTTTTCTGTCAAATTTATGTATTCATAGGTAATTAGTATTATTATACTCAATAAAACACCCTAATGACATTACCTTCCAAATAGTCAAGCCAATACTGTATAATTAGACTCTCTCTAAGGCCTATAACATGAATTTATAAAAAAAGATTAGCCCTTTGGTGAACTTAGAAAATTTAACATTATCAAGGCTCTTTTACTATCAAGCACTTAGAATAGTCGACCGTGCTGTCCTACTGACAGCTCTTGTTAATATTGAAAAGAAAAAGGGTTCTTTGGTCATCTTTATTATTGACAACATAGCTGTAATTGATGATAATGATAAACAGAAATACATTGATTGTGATGATTTTGGTATGGTTTTCATACTGCTGCTTCTCATAGTGATGATTGTCTTTTAATAATTTAAATTTTCATATTGTTGATGATTCTAATGATAAATATAACTTATAAATGTAGATGACTACAAATTGATGCAACATCCCAAAATATCTTTGGTAAGGGGCTTTTTAAGTTTACAAGTAAAAAATTTAAAGATATATTTTTTATAATATGAGTCTACATTAACTTAGTGACGACGAGTGTGGCGCTAATTTTTATCCCAGCATCATATTTCAAAGAACTTTTAGTATAAGTCAACTATGCAATGGTACATGATAAATGTCTAAGCTCTGTGCATTGTAATTTCACACAATAAGAGTTAAATGAGTTTTCCTACAGAAGTCTATATTATTCAGGTGACCCCAGGTGTGGGGCCATTATTGACCCAATGGGCATGATTAATCCATATCAGTTTTGTGGAGGTCCACAGGGCAATGCATCATGCCAAATAGTTCCACAGCATTAGACTTAAATGTATTTTCCTTTATATAACTGTTATTAAAGTGGCCCCAGTGAAGAGGCCAATTTTAACTAAAAGGAACAGTTTATAACAGTTGTGTAGAGGTCCATAAGACAACGCTTCATGACAAATATCTTAGCTAGGGCATTGAAGTTTCACACAATAAGACTTGAATGTCTTTGTCCTTACAAGTCTCTATAAATCAAGTGGCCTTTGAGTGGGGCAAATATTGACCCTAGGGTCATGATTAATCAGTTTTATGAAGGTTCACAAGACATTGGCTACATATCAAATATCTTATCTCTTGGCGTTATAGTTTCACACAATATGTCTTTTATGGATTTTCCTATACAAGTCAATACAAATCAGATGACCCTTGAGGGGGCATTTATTAATGTCAATTTTGTAGCTAAATATCTAAGCCTCTAGACATTGTAGTTTCACATAATAGACTGTGTTTTTCTGTAAAGTATACATATTAAATGGACTGGAGGACAGAGAAAAAAACAACACTGAGATAAAGTTTGTGGCACCTCTAAACAGCTGCCACACAGTTTTTAATTTACATATACTTTGATGAGAACATAACAACAAACCACAAAGCATCTCCCCTAATATATAGCTCACCCCGAATCTTTGTTTTTTATGAGCTAACAAGAGCTAGATGCACAAAATTACAAAATGTGCATGGCTTGTGGACACTTTTTCCATGATGTTCAATACTTTCAGCTGTCAATAAAGCTTAAAATATAACATTTTATCAAGTTATTAAAGCATGCAAAGATAACAACATCAGGTTAAGTCTGTGTAACTCCGCTCTTTAGATTGCCTATAGTGTTTCATATAAATATTGTTAGCACCACATAATCTACTAAATTCTTTAAAACTGATTGGCCGAAGTATGTAATGTTCTAGGAGTGATGGAAAAACAAATCCAGATCCTCTTAAAGAAGATGAAATTTCTTGGTATGTTGCTTCGAACTCTTTATCACCCAGTTCATGAACTGCTGTCTCCAAAACTGTTAACTGAAAATAAAAGTGGAAATTATCACTAACCAATCTTTCAATAATTTTACATTCAAATTTAATCTGGACTTTCTTTTATTATCAGTATTTTGTACAGGAAATAAACTTAGTTATACAAACTATTAACAATTCAAATAACTTCCTTCCAATGTCTCTTAGTTTATGCAGAAATTATTTTAGTTCTATTGTATAAGTAGTTATTAGCTTATAAACACACACTCTTTAATCCATTTCAAGAATCAACCAGCGATAAGCAATGAGTATAAACTTTCTTGCTTAAGGAAACAACAACTTAACCTTAATGAGGTGGGAACCCATGCAGCCCAAAATCATTAGATTACTAGTCTGACATGTTAACGACTCAGTTACATTGCCACTTACTCACATGAGCCAATGTATACTATATTTACATGAACATTTCCAGATGATAAGTACTTACAACATCATCAAAGAAAAGATTGGCAGGTTGTGGGTAATTGATCATTGCATCCTTCAGAATTTCTACAGCATCTTCAACCCTCCCTAATTCAATGTAGGCAAGTATCTGAAATACAGATAGAAATCACTATATAGCTATAACATTGTCTGGTCAATTGTACAACTTCACTACTGTCTGAGGATATTATTTGCATTATTATCAATTTGTGACTGACAGAAAGTGGCCTTTTGCAATCATATATGTTTGCAAAAGTGTGTTTTTTCTGGGGAAATGTTAAAAAATATTTGCTGTAACAACAGCTTTTGTTTGAAAAGTGCATATTTGTCTTGTTTGTAAAAAATTCAGATAATTCTCTCATCCCATTTTTCAAAAATTATTATTCTGCAAAAAAATGACACAAAATTGAAAAGCAGTGCAACACTTTTCACTCAATAATTATTATTTTCAATTCATTTTTGAGTATATTTTTTCATTTATTCATAATTTATCTATCTATTTTAAAGTGTTCCAGCTGATCTATTAGAAAAATAAATTTCATGTTTTTAGGCTTTTGCCAGGTTTGAACATCAGTGGAATTCATTTACTAGTAAATAATATCTCTTACAAAACAAGAGGGCCATGATGGCCCTGAAGTCGCTCACCTGTACAGTCTATAGGCCCCCGTAGCGGGGCCAGTTTAAACCCCAGGGCTTTTATTTGAACAAACCTTGTAGACACCCATTAGAAGATGTTTCATGCTAAACATCTAAGGTCTAGCTGGTCAAGTTTTTTCTTTACACATATAAGGAAAATCAATGACTTACTAGAAGATGTTTCATGCTTGATATCTAAACTCTAGCTATTTGGGTTTTTTCAAAGCAGATTTTTAAGTTTTTGCTGTACACATATAAGGAAAATCAATGTCCCCTGGGGCGGGGCCAATTTTGACCCCAGGGCTTTTATTTGAACAAACTTTGTAGACACTCACTAGAAGATGCTTCGTGCTTAATATCTAAACTCTAGCTATTTGAGTTAAATTTTCAAAGAAGATTTTTTAACTTTTTGTTATACAGATTTAAGGAAAATGAGTGACCCCCGGGGCGGGGCCAATTTTGACCCCAGGGCTTTTATTTGAACAAACTTGTTAGTCACTCACTAGAAGATGTTTCATGCTTAGTATCTAAACCCTAGCTATTTGGTTTTTTTCAAAGAAGATTTTTTTAGTTTTTGCTATACACATATAAGGAAAATCAATGACCCCCCGGGCGTGGCCAATTTTAACCCCAGGGCTCTTATTTAACAAACTTGGTAGACATCCATTAGAACATGTTTCATGCTAAATATCTTAGCTCTAGCTCTTTGGGTTCTTTAAAAGAAGATTTTTTTAAGTTTTTACTATATGCCTATAGGGAAAATCAATGACCCCCTGGGGCTTTTACTTAAACAAACTTGGTAGACACCCATTAGAAGATGTTTCATGCTACATTTCTTAGCTTTAGCTCTTTGGGTTCTTTAAAAGAAGAATTTTTAAGTTTTTACTATATGCATATAGGGAAAATCAATGACCCCCTGGGGCGGGGCCAATTTTGACCCCAGGGCTTTTATTTGAACAAACTTGGTAGACACTCACTAGAAGATGTTTCATGCCAAATATGTAAGCTCTAGCTCTTTGGGTTTTTTAGTTTTTTAGAAGAAGATATTTTAAATTTTTTCTTTAGGTTGCCATGGCAACCAGAGTTCTGCATTGAATTAAATTCTTTGAACAATTTTTAAAGGTGACCACCAAAGGAACATTCCTGTGAAGTTTGGATGAAATTGGCTTAGTGGTTTATGAGGAGATGTCATTTAAAGTAAAAGTTTACGGATGACGGACGGACGACGGACGAAAAGCGATCACAGAAGCTCACCCTGTCACTTTGTGACAGGTGAGCTAAAAATGATACTGGTCAGGGGCCATCAATTGGACACTTAATTTGAACATTTTTCCATACAAATTTCACACTTTTAAAGCTAGATACCCTGAACTTTAGTAATGCTAGGTTTTACTAAAAACTGAAGAACTAGTTTACATGTGTATATTCAATTCTTGTATTCAATTCTTGTACTCAATTCTTTTATTCAATTGTAGCCACTTGTATTTGAGGTCAATACAGGGATATGCCTAAATTGTCCTCGCTATAGTACCATGTGTCTGACAGATATGTATTATTTGAATTCAATCCAGATAATTGCTTGGTTGTTCTAAATTTGTTTCGTTTCAACATAATATGCAATATTCCAGCAGCATGTGCTGAAATTTTGAGAGTTGTATCGTTTACTCTGCAAATGATTATAGCTAATGAAAGAGGTCAGGTATTGCACTCATTTACATCAGAATTTCAACATAAATGTTTTTGTAGTAGACATAATTAAAAACATTAAGTTTAAAACATAAAAAGTAATTCAACTGATTATATAATAAAACTAGAACTCCGCGAGTCAGATGTGTCGCCTTGTGAACAATATAGTTTAAAGGCCGGGGAGTGTGAACTCAGATATCCGTATGGATGGCCATTAAGCATATTAGGTACAAGAGGCAGGGTTTTATTATCATGACCTGAGGTCAGCATGCTTGTAAATATAAACATGTGGTCTGCAATAGTATAGGAGAGTTCAGCATTCAGAAGAGATAAAGAAGTTGTGTATTTATTGGGGGGTAATGATTTTTCAATTTGATGAAAAGGTAATAGCAGTGCTGTCAGGATGTATATTGCAGTTACATATTTTTACAATGAAGAGTATAATTTATGAAATTGGTGATAGTCAGTAAATAAAAACAGTAAATACTAATTGTTTAGAAATGCCTTGAATATATAAAAAAAAATATAACTTATATTTAGCTGTTTGTCCACTTGACTCTTTTATTTTTTTGGGAAGCAAAACTTATTTTTGAACTAAATTTTGGTTATGAAAAGTAAGTTAAAAATATTAAATGTTTGTTTCATTTTCACTTTCAATGAATTCTATTAGGAAACAGTGTACACAAAACCTATCGTTATTTTCACATAATATGTACAAATCACTTATGATCCATTAGTTTGAATACAATGTATATTGTTTTATTTATTGCCTATGTTGTTGTCTTACTCTGCGCAGCCGGTAGATAGTATCCATATATTTATATTTACAAGGGGACAGGCGATTTAGAAAATATGTGTGGCACAGGCGTGATATTATACCGAAATGTGTTTTAAACATTGTGAGGGAGTGGTTCCCGAATCCAGTTGGTGAACCATACATGGGCCACTTGTGGGAATAGACACAGGTAAACGTTGCGTGGCCATGACTTACACTAAACCCCCGTTCCCCCTCTACAACCCAAAACCCTAAAAAAAAATTATAAAATTATATTTTTCATAATTTTTTTTTATAGTGTAAGTCATGGCCACGCAACGTTTACCTGTGGGAATAGACAGTAATGCACATTTGGGTGATACAAAAATTTGAATGTTTCTTTTACAAAACTATCAATATATCAACAATTAACTTATAGTGATGTCATTTCAAGTTAATAAATTCATGATTGTAGGGATGGAATATAACACAACCAATAAATAAAAATTCAAATTCATTGCTTGCATAGTATTTCTCTGGTAGTATTTATTGCCCTAGTATTTATTTCCCGGCCATCTGTCAAACTCTACTGTGAGAATGTTTATACCAAGAGAGATGTAGTTGGCTGAGAGAAAGGTCATAACCTCTGTGCAACTGTCAATCAAATACACTGGGAAATTTGAATTTTTAACTGTTTTCAAAAAAAGATTTTTTAAAAGTAGTACTTCTAAGTATCACAGAGATTTGTAACTTTCAAGGAATTTTGCTTACATGATAAAGAAGTGATGTGCCAATTTATAGCAAATAATATGAGGTATGTCTCTCTAAATTTTGAAATTTCATTTTTCTATCTCTCTCTGATTATGCTAGCAGACAGCATACAGAGTTCAACAGCAGTGGCCATTTTTCTGCTTGTCTGCCTTTTATACTTGTTCCCAGGCCTTTAAGAGAAATGGCCAGGACAAAAATGAAATTTGAAAATCAACAAAGGGCAATAACTCAAAAAATAAGAAATGCAGATCAGCAGTTTCTGTGCACTGCACTTCTTATCAATAAGATCTATCATACTATTAAGTTTCAAGTCTAAAGCTTTTATAATTTATGAGAAATGGCCTGGACAAAAATAAAGAATGAAAATTAACAAAGGGCAATAACTCAAAAATAAGAAATGCAGAGTACCAGTTCTTGGGCACTGCACTTCTTATCAATAAGATCTATCATCCTATTAAGTTTCAAGTCTTAAGGTTTTATAATTTATGAGAAATGGCCTGGACAAAAATAAAGTATGAAAATTAACAAAGGGCAATAACTCAAAAAAAAGAAATACAGAGTACCAGTTCTTGGACACTGCACTTCTTCTTAATGAGATCTATCATCCTATGAAGTTTCAGGTCCATAGCTTTTATACTTTAGGAGAAATGGCATGGACAAAAATAAAGTATGAAAATTAACAAAGGGCAATAACTCAAAAAATAAGAAATGCAGAGTTCCAGTTCTTGTGCACTGCACTTCTTCTTAATGAGATCTATCATCCTATGAAGTTTCAAGTCCATAGCTTTTATACTTTAGGAGAAATGGCCTGGACAAAAATAAAGTATGAAAATTAACAAAGGGCAATAACTCAAAAAATAAGAAGTGCAGAGTACCGGTTCTTGTGCACTGCACTTCGGGTCATTATAAGAAGCATGCATACCAAGTTTGAAGTCAATCCGACTTATAATGACTGACTTATGCTCCGGACAAGCTTTAGGGGACGCCGACAACGACGCCGACACCGCCGACAAAAGTAACCCCTATATGTCGCCTTTTTCAAGGCGACACAAAATAAGGCCTGACAGTTTGATTATCAACCACTTTATAAAGAAAAACACTAAATCAAGTGTTTTAGATGCTTTCAAGATTTGATGGTCGTTCGGATTTTGTGGTACCATACCAGCACCAACTCAACCCTTAAGAAGTGGGAGACTGAAATATGGTTTTTATAAATACTGTGACAATGAAAAACTTTAAAGTTTCCTTAAAAAAAATTGAGAGATACAGATCAAAGGGACACAAAACCACTTGTTCAAACTATTAACCTTGAGCTTAAACAGATACAAAACAGACAGACTGACAGATAAACAATCAGTTACAGAGTATAACATTTGCCTTCTGGCATATAATAATTATTTAATTCACAGTTCATGGAGAGATAAAACAAATAGTAAGAATAAAATTTACCTTTATATTATCAATAGGAGAGACTAATTTTTTCCGATTGACTTCAAAGATCGGCAACTGTATCATTTCTAAACTTAATTCTATTTCTCCCTTCAAAATAAAAATATAGGTAAACAAAAAAGCATATTCACAGTCCAGCCTCTAGTTACTAGTGGGATTAACTATAGTTATCATAAACTGAACATTTCATCATAAACAGGGGGATAATGTACAAGTGAATTCTGATAGTTCTTCATGAATAGTTCTTAATAATGAGTCCTTAAATTCTTCATAATAGGTTATTTATAATAAGTTCTTCATGATGAGTTGTTCATAATGAGTTCTTAAATTCTTCATAATAGGTTCTTTATAATAGGTTCTTTATAATAACCTCTTCATGATAAGTTTTTCATAATGAGTTCTTAAATTCTTCATAATAGGTTCTTTATAATAGGTTCTTTATAATAACTTCTTCATGATAAGTTTTTCATAATGAGTTCTTAAATTCTTCATAATAGGTTCTCTATAATAGGTTTTTTATGATAAGTTTTTCATAATGAGTTCTTAAATTCTTCATAATAGGTTCGCTATAATAGGTTTTTTATAATAACTTCTTCATGATAAGTTTTTCATAATGAGTTCTTAAATTCTTCATAATAGGTTCTTTATAATAGGTTCTTTATGATAAGTTCTTCATAACGAGTTCTTAAATTCTTCATAATAGGTTCTTTATAATAAGTTCTTCATGATAAGTTCTTCATAATGAGTTCTTAAATTCTTTATAATAGGTTCTTTATAATAGGTTCTTTATGATAAGTGCTTCATAATGAGTTCTTAAATTCTTCATAATAGGTTCTTTATAATAGGTTCTTTATGATAAGTGCTTCATAATGAGTTCTTAAATTCTTCATAATAGGTTCTTTATTATAAGTTCTTCATGAGAATTTTTTCCTATGACTATCATATACATTCATAATGACTCGGTACAATAAAATCAATCAATTGTTAAATGCAGCTGTCAATGGTGCCGCCTTCTGTAGGCGACCTTCTACTTGTTACAGAAGACCATGGCTGAATTCAAACACAAAATTGCCAGAAGAAAGAATTTCAGCAACTTTAGTTTAATGGACAAGGTTGTGATTTGGCCCATAAAATACACCTTAAATTAATTTTTTTTAAATAAATTATTGTAATTATTTACCTGCTTGTAAGCTAACATACAACATAACATGGCACATCTGTTTGACAACTGCCAAGGGTCGTTTGTCAACTCATTTAGATAATTCAACATCTGCTGCAAAGATTCCTTTGAATTCTGAAAGAAAGTATCTGGTTTGGTGAATACACTATGCACAACATAATGGAATAAACATAATGTGCACTTCAAGTATCAATAGTGTGTACGAGAAGCCATCTAATCATGTACTATTATTTTATCAGTTATCAAAAAGGTGTTCTGCTATGGAAAGTAATGCATTTAAAACCAAATTCATTATCAATCCCCCATTCATTTGGGCAGAGTGTAACAACTTTGAACTATTTTAAGGTAAGTCACCTTATTAAAAAGTAATTTAAAGTAACTGTGATTTTTATATGGGAACTACAAATGTAGTTTCAATGGAAATTAGTTAAATCAATATCATACCATCCTGTAGAAGGAAGCCAGCACTATATTAACTATCTCAGGCATTTTTCCAATGTAGTTTTCACATGTGTAAATCAATGAGATGATATCTTCAAATTGTTCTTTTTCATACAGCATGTCCATCATTATCATGAAACATTCACGGTGTCTATACAATGAATTAATACTTTTCTCCTGAAAAGTATATATAAAATATTTTTATATAAATTTATTTCACATTTTTCTCATTTCAATATTTGTAGAGGCAAAGCAATTAATTGTGGTGGCAGTGTAATTTACAAGAGGGACTAGTAATCTAAGGATTGCTGAATGTGTGGGTTCATACGCAGTCAAGGGCAAGCTGTTGTTTTTTCAATGAGCAAGAAACTTTACACATTTTGCTTTGTGCAAGTTGGTTCCAGGAATGGATTTGAGAGTGTTTCAATAAACTTATAGCTTTTAACACAACCAAACTAAAATAAATTGGTATAAACTATAAACTAAAGCAATTAATTGTTGGAAAAATGATTCTGAAGAAAAATCATACTTGATGATTTGGCCACACAATTAAAAGTTTGTAGTAAAATATTAACATGTTAGGGATTGCTGGTCATATTGGTTCTAACATGTCAGGGACAAGCTGTTGTTTCTTTGTGCTGGAAACTTTACATATACTGCTTAGCACAAATTAATTTCAGGAACAGAACCTAAAGTACATCAATAAGTTAAAAGCTTCCTACAAAATCAAACTAAAATAAATTCTGTATAAACTAATCTAATGAAATTTTAAATAATACAAGAGCTATCAGTAGGACAACATGCTAGACTTTTCTCAGTGCTTCATAGTAAAACAAGAACCTGGATAATGTAGAATTTTTCATGTTCAAAAAGGGCAATTATTCTGTCAAAATCCATACTAGAGTCTTGGACACTGACTTCCTTTTGGAGACATCAACTTCCGTGCAAAAGTTTAACCAAAGTAAGACAGCAGCAATATGCACATTCCTTACAGGAAGCTAAGCTTCAACTGAAGCTTCAATCAAAATCAGTTGAGAATGCTGAGAAATAATGCTGATAAAATTTACAGTTGAAAATGAATAAAAGTGGCCTCGATCACTTTGTGAAAAATGTTACTAATATACACAGCTACTCTTGGTAGTATTATAAATTTTACATGAATTCAAGCCAAAGAATGCTAATTCAGTGAGAGTTTAGTGACAGACATACTTAAAGATATAAGTTCTTCTAAAATGGACCTAGAGACAATTACTTTGGCTATTTACTTTTGTTAAACTTAAAAAAAACATGCCCTTTTATTCTCCTGTTATGAAATGAATCTTTTTTCTATTACCATTATATGGATATTAAATCTAATCTAGGTTCTTGAATGGGCTGTTGCCTTAAGGGCCATTCTTTTGTTGTACAGAGGACCATGACCTTGTTATTTTGTTCTGTTCCCTGTTAGATGGTCCCCTTGTTAGTTTGGTCCCATTGCTTAGATGATCAAAGCAGTGACAATATCCCTATGAAGATGTGCATAAGAAAAGCAGAGTGAAAATTGTAAGTCATAATGATAAAAGATACTTAAATTATCAATAATATTTAACAATTCATTTTTTTTATATTCAGTCCTGTTTCAATTTATCATTCAAATTGAAATTGATAGGTAAACAAAATTCAAGTTTCAACATGTTAATTTCCTATCCCTTGGCTAACTAGCTTCAATAAATGATATTCGACTTTAAACTGAAATTAGAAAAGCTAAAGTTTCTTACTTCATGTAAAAACATTTTAAATGCAAGATCCTCCCTTTCATTAATATATAACATTTGCAGCACCACAGCTCCAACCGGATACTCCTTAATGAATGTTTTCTTCTTCACAAGCTTTTGATACCTGCATTATAAAATTATGTTACAAAATTTTTTTAATAATTTCCTTCATCTTCATGTCATTATAGCACTTCAAAAATAGGAAAATAACATGGACAAAACAACTTTTGTGGCTTTTATATTGTATGTTTTGTTTAATTTTTGTTCATGTCTGATGATGACTTTTCAGCTTGATACTGGAGGAAGACCTAAAGTTCTCTTCTGTGCAAGCATCTGATTATAACCACCAACCTTCTCTATGCTAGATTTGTTTGTTTGTTTGTTTCATTTTAGGCCTTTTCCCAACAGTATTTCAGTCATATAGGCTGGTAGTTTCCTCACCATCGTTCCTGGAGTTACACCAGTACTAGACTACCTAATCCTCCGCGCTAAACTACCAAAGCATCACCCGGGGATCGAACCCACGCCAGAGAGGTAACTGGATTAGAAGTCATCGACTCTGACCCCTCGACCATGGAGGCGGTTCTCTATGCTAGAAGCAAATGGTTTGTAGTCTTATATCAAAACTTATCCTGCAAAATCATACTTATTTTTGGCCTATAATTTTCATAGTTTTGTGTGGTTAGGTTAACCCACGATAGTTTAGATAAAAAAAAAATCATTTCATTTGCTGTAATATTATCTTGCATTACATAATTTGCATTTTACTTTTATTGCAAAAATAAACAATGCACAAATTTAAGAAACCAGGAAAAAGCCATTTCAAAATTTCATGCCCATGAAATTAAGTGAGTTCAAAGTATTAAATACATAATATTATTATACAAATGTAAATGTAAAACTGATTCATACGACAATTGTCCAAAGAAGAAATTATAGATACTCATGAGACATGAATGTCCATCCATAATGACATGGACATGGACAAAGAAACAAGATTTATGTGACAGACATGTCAATGTCATCATAAAGATCTGGGTCTAAATTGTAACACATTATCTATGACATTTCTACTAAATAATTTCAAAATGTATCCGCAAATAATTCATTTATGGAACCATCATGAAAAATAGACTCCAAGCTTTAAATTTTTGTCTCTGAAGTGACCTTGATCTTGGAGCTATATAGAGTAGGATCTGGAAACTTTCAAAGTCAAATATTAACTTACCGATCTGGCAAGCATTTCACTAATATTCCGTAAGTTAAGCATATCTTTTTACGTAAATTTGGACTTACGCAAAACGTAAATTTACCTTAGTTGTGTTTCACTTAACAGAACGTGCAATTTATGCCAGCAATAAGTGAGCGTAACTTTACGTTTAATCCTACGCAAAAACATAGCTACAAAAGTTAAGTGAAACTCAAATAAATATGTAACTTCTGCTTACGCAAAAAGTTATGTTCAAACTAGAGTTACGATAACGTAAGTACGTTAGTGAAACGCACCCCTGGTATATAATATTGTGACTACTGATACCCCACGGTACTGTATATAGGGAGAACCAACAATCTTCAGGATGCTTTTTATTCTAACAAGTTATTTCAGTATCTGAAATCATTTTGCAGGTTTGTGCCTCCTAAGATAGTAAATAACAAAGCAAGTATAAAGGACCAAAGGAAAGAATCTTATTGAAATTTACTGGGCCTTATTTCAGCTGAACCATCTCAGGTGAACTGAAAAATTGGTTGATCTAGCAATACACAATAATATGCATTCTTACAGCAGATTCATTATTGCTTATACACTTAACAGTTTAAAGGATGTAGCAAATATACTTTCATGTATAAAATTCAAGAAAGAGAAATTAAAATGTACCTTCGTATAACTTCTGAAACGAAATCAAAATCATCATTTTTATCTGTCAAATACAAAAGTGCTGCTACGTCTTCTTTGAATATATACTCCCCATCACCAAGTTTTTCACCCAAATTTCTCAAAAACTGATCTAAAAGAGTAAAAGAAAAGGCTGTTATTTAAGATATTGTCAAATATTAAAAGTATAACAACCAGACAAAACAATAAAAAGATGATGATTCAAAGTCGCTTGTCCAATGAAGAGATGTATTATTGTTTAACATTTTCAGTGTACTAACAATAGAGAGGAAGAAAAGAGCTTCTGTTATACAGAACCAATAAGAACCATTTATATAAAGTATCAACAGAATCTGCCTTGCAGATGAAAAATCATTTAAAGAATATTTAGCTCAGACTGCCATCTTGTTAAGCAGACTGGAATAACTTTAGCAATCCTTATTTCTATACAGCCCCACACATGGAACATTTTTCAAACATTAAAATCTACAGTGTTAAGGACATGACACTCAAAGCATATTTTTATTTTGTACTGAAAGCATATCTTCTTTTACATCCTTGTAAGTATGCAAGGCAACAATTTTAATGACTTATGTTAGTCTATTATCATATCACAAGACGTTAATTAAACAAATTTAATAAGTAGCATTTATAGTGCATGAGCAGAGAACTTTAACAATTTTATTTTAACAAGTACATGTATTACTAATCTAAAATGAAGATTGTCAGAAATACAGTCAGGTAATGTAAATTCAAGTATGAGATCTTAAGCCCCGGCATCCTATTGACTTAGTAAAAAGTGAAGTCTCTATAAGGCTTACAGATCCTTCTTAACTTCTGAAATACAAACATTTATGACCAGTTTCTTACAGTAATTACAGTAATTTAATATCTCATATTTCATAATTGATAAAATGTATCTATCCATTCATTTATTGTAAAGAAAGAAAGAAAGTTTATAGAAATATTGTTAGACATTTTTTTTAGCTGTTTACTGCCTATTAATAAATAAAATGGAAGAGTAAAATACAAACTAAAATATAGTTTGACTTAAAGTTACATTAAATAAATTTCATAAAAACAGAAATAGCGACATTTCATTAATAAATTGGGTTTCATATCGACTCCAGATCTTATTTTGGTGTCCAGACAACCAAAATGAGTTTTATAAGCATAACTAGAAATGTGTCCATAGGACACGGGTGCCCCCACCGCGCCACTGTTCTCTCAATCTTTTTACTAAGTCAAGGGAAATAACTCTACAAATATTTGATAAATCCACAAGCAAAACCCCAGGTGCAAATCTAAAATATGCTGAGCAACCTGCCTTTAAGGTTTAATGACTATGTCAAATCCAAGTTGAAAATTGCAAAAATTTTCTAAGTGAAGGGCAATATCTCTAAAAATACTAAATAAATCCAGACGAAAATACCTGGTGCACAACTGCACATGCTGATCAATATTTCTGTAACGTTACATGACTCTAGGTCAAATACTTTTTGAGTTACGTGCGACACATGTTGAACATTGCGAAATTTTACTAAGTCAAGGGCAATAACTCTGAAAATACTAAAAATATCCACACGAAAATACCCAGGTGCACAACTACATATGCTGATCAACATTCCTGTAAAGTTTCATGACTTTAGGTCAAATTCTTTTTGAGTTACGTGCGACACAAGTTGAAAATTGCAAAATTTTACTAAGTCAAGGGCAATAACTCTGAAAATACTAAAAATATCCACATGAAAATACCCAGGTGCACAACTACACATGCTGATCAACATTCCTGTAAAGTTTCATGACTCTAGGTCAAATACTTTTTGAGTTACATGCGACACAAGTTGAAAATTGCAAAATTTTACTAAGTCAAGGGCAATAACTCTGAAAATACTAAAAATGTCCAGACGAAAATACCCAGGTGCACAACTACACATGCTGATCAACATTCCTGTAAAGTTTCATGACTCTAGGTCAAATACTTTTTGAGTTACGTGCGACACAAAAGTGAACGGACGGACGGAAGGACGGACGGAAGGACGGACGGACAGACGGACGGACAAGGGTAAATCTAAATGCCCGCCACTAACGTGGGGGCACAAAAAAATGGACAACCTCATTGTGGCAAAATCGGAAGTACAATATCTGTTTGCATGATAAACTCCGCCTTCAAATCATCCGTACATCAATATTAAATCAACAAACATGACTATATGTAGCAGTCCTAACTTAACGGTATATTTCCGCATTGTAACGGATGTTTTTATTCAAATTCAATCTTTTTTTATGAGATGATTACTTTTTACTGAACCTCAGGCCTAGTGCACCGTGAAGTTAAACGGTTAAAATGTGTTTTCACAAGAAAATCTCATATTTGTTGTGTTCCGGACAGCAGTTATAACACTGTGACGTAGCGCATACACAAGCTGATTATAATCTTCATTTGCATGTTAAAATTCATATACAAACTTTAGTGTTACCATGAGGTTTTCCGTTTAAAATCCTTATTTATGAACAACATTTGATGAGATTTACAACAATACTGTTAAAAAGGTTAATGAATCTGTAGAATGCTTGGTTTTTAGGCCGACGGCAAAATAATTTTACATATTTATTTAGTGTAGCTTTAAAAAGATATAAATAACAAGCATAAATACCTTTCATGTGATAAATTTTCTTTCTACAAAGCCTTCGATCTTCATCAAATTGAACAAGGCCTAATGGACCTGGGCTAATAAGGTATCTTTTTATAACTGAAATGTAAAAATATTAAATACACTCTCAACATGCAGAATTTGGCTTCAGATTGACTATAAAAAAGCATCAACAAAAGTTTATGTTGCTAAATATGATATATGAACATGAGATAAGTCTTGTTTTAATATAACTTAAAATATCATACAGAGCAAGTCTCTGGTGCTGCAGGGAACACATGCAGGTGTAAAATCTAACTATTTGTGTTATTAGCAAGGGCAGAAAACTACCAACAACTTGTAACTAATATTTTATTTTGACAGTAGGACTATGTATAATCAGGAAAACATTTTTTTTCTAGATCATTGTCTTTTACATGTTTAAGGCAAATTTCATTTGTAGAAAAAAAAATCCCCTCATCTAGGTATAAAATATTTTTTTGAGATGATGGATTTGGCAAAACATAACTTCACAATAAAAGACTTAATGTTTGGGGCATTGTTTATATAAAGCATGTCTCTGGGGTAGCAAGTCATATTGACCCTAGAGGCAGACAGGTCTAAAGTAAAATCTTTTCCAAAATAAGACAAATAGGCACCACTGTATCTCTGTGAAGTCAAATTAACCAAATATAAGTTGATTGGGCCTCAGAGTAAACAGATATTGCATTGTGTAATTGAGATTGAGGTTAAACTAGAAATGTGTCCATAGCACATGGGTGCCCCCACTGTGCCACTGTTCTGCCAATCTCATGACTCTAGGTCAAATATTTTTTGAAAACTAAAAATATTTTACTAAGTAAAGGGCAAGAACTTTACAAATACTGAATAAATCCACAAGCAAACCCCAAAGTGCATAAGTACACATGCTGACCAACATTCTTGTAAACTTTCAGGCCTACAAGTGAAATACTTTTTGAGCTATGCATGAACAAGTTGAAAATTGCAAATTTATACTACTGTAAGTCAAGGGCAATAACTCTAACAAAACTGAAAAAAATCCACATGCAAAGTCCCAGGTGCATAGGTTTCACAGTGATGTGAATCATTATTCCTGTAATTTAGTGATATTGATCATTATTCCTGTAAAGTTGGTTGATTCTAACTCAAGCACTCAAGGAACAAATAACAACATAATGAAACAGTTTTCACTAAGTCAAGGGAAATAACTCTACAAATACTGGATAAATCCACAAGTGAAACCCCAGGTGCAAAACTAAATATGCTGAGCAACCTTCCCGTAAGGTTAAATGACTCTATGTCAAATCCTTTTTGAGTTACATGTACATGCGACACAAGTTGAAAATTGCAAAATTTTACTAAGTCAAGGGCAACAACTCTAAAAATACTAAATAAATCCAGACGAAAATACCCAGGTGCACAACTACACATGCTGATCAACATTCCTGTAAAGTTTCATGACTCTAGGTCAAATACATTCTGAGTTACATGCGACACAAGTTGAAAATTGCAAAATTTTACTAAGTCAAGGGCAACAACTCTAAAAATACTAAAAATATCCAGACGAAAATACCCAGGTGCACAACTACACATGCTGATCAACATTCCTGTAAAGTTTCATGACTCTAGGTCAAATACTTTTTGAGTTACGTGCGACACAAAAGAGAACAGACGGACGGACGGACAAGGGTAAATCTAAATGCCCGCCACTAAAGTGGGGGCACAAAAATGATGTATATTTGATAACAATAATACTTTAGTAATAATAACTTGTGAAAACACGTTTAGAAAAAAAGTTGCAGTCTGAAGGGGACTTAATTCCTAGCACAGATTTTGCTTAACATTACTATACTAGGACATTCTCCCCCACTATATAGAAGTCCTACTGCCTGGGTATATAATTTTTTCTTAGTCCAATATATCAGACGTTACGGGCTAATTGTTATAGTTTATAAAAGTCAAGGCCAACTTCTGCTTTTCCCAGAAGCAAAAATATCTCAAAGCATTATCATATTTATAGGATTACTTTCTTCTGGGATAATGTTTGATGTGTGAGAGGCAGTTTCAGGAGCAAACTGTATGCATCCTAATCATACGGGGAAGTCAAAGACCGGGCCCGCGAAGCGGGTCCGGGCTTTGGCTTGCCCGGCTATAGACTACACGTGAATATTTAAAAGAAAATCAAATAAAAAACATTTAAAAAATATATAGAATTCTATACCTATCAATAAAATTTTCAGTGTCAGTTCTAGTCGGGCGCCGCCATTTACAATGTATGTCAATGATAATAGGCGGGGTATTCCCATAACGGAACAAATCTCAACTTTTCGGATTAGTAATAATCGTCGAGTGTTTCGAGTGAAAACAGAAGCGGTGTATGTAATATCGAATGACACCTTTAAAACGGAAAGAATGAAAGGATTTTTTAACGACTTCCCCGTTCATAGGCTTTGCCTAATTTCATATTAATGTTTTATGACAATTTAACATACAGTTTGATTTTATGCAAATTTATTTTTACCATTTTACTTAGGCCAAAATGACTTTCAGTACCAATCAATTGGATAGTTTTATTTGACACATATATTTACAAATAATGAAATTGCTACTGACTTCTTACAAAAAGTGCAGGGAAAAATAAACTTCAAATGGGACATCAGGTGGTATGATGTGTAGTCAAACTAATTACAAGTATCTGTACAATGCGATGACAAATTGGATGTGATGTTTAAATGTAATCTAGAGCATAAATACTCAATTCTAACATATATTAAAGGAATATTTGGCATTTATGATAATGTAACTGTACGGAAATATAGCAATCTGATTCATGACACTGGTACTTGAAACAAACTATTTTTAATGTTCTATATAGGCTATATACTATAATAAGACTAATTATAGTATATAGCCTATATAGAACATAAAAAATAGTTTGTTTCAAGTACCTGTGATTCAGGACTACGGGAAAATCGATGCAGTGATCTGACCTTAGAATTTTTACATATTCAGTGTCGCGAAAATGTATAACAAATAGTTTCTGTCACGAAATAAAAAGAAATAAGGAATCAAATATGCTAGGAAAGAATAAATAATTTGGGTCATGATAATACCATTGTTATGTGATGGTGTTATAAACGTCCATGAATACAGGATACGCCGACAAAATTTTAACATCTTTCAGCTCTTAAAATATTGGTCAGACTAATCTAAATTTTTGGACGTTTTTGAGTCGCGTTGTCATTTTGTGTAGAAAAAAAACAAAACAAAAATTTGCTTATCACGCTAATAAGTCAGTCATATCATCACAATAGAAATATCACACATTTCAAATGAAAATATTCATTGGGTATATTTTATGCGATTTTTTATTAAGCGTGTCTCAGAGAATATCAATAGATTAGTCTGACCTCAACTAGAGACGGACAGTTGTAATTTGTATGTTTTGTGAAGATCGCAAGAAATGTAGATGAGAATTATAAGGTTATTATTTATTATCATATTTTGTTTGTAAAATTATATATCTGAAGTGATTTTGTTCTGATGACTATTTTATGCAATTATATTGCAAAAGATATGTAAAAAATAGAATGTTTGTCAGAACAAATTTGACTTTAAATTTAAGAGGTTTTGCAGTACTAAATACGCAGTTATTTCTAAGTTCATTAAGATTTTGATATATTTTTTTTAATTTTATTATTTCAAAAAGTAAGATGACTGTTACGAGAACATTGATTTGTCTAACAATATCACAATGTTTCTTCCAAAGATCAAAATGACAATTTTTGGCATGGCGATAATAATTCAGGGCCTTTTCACTAGTTTTGGGGAAGGCGCCCTAGCCCTTTTTGTGGGGAAAAAATGCGTGATTTTCACACTTTTGGGGAAAATATCATATTTTCACACATTTCAGAGGAATATCATAATTTATTTGCATATCTTCCTCCAATCACATGTAAGGTTTACTATAGTACTAAGCTTTCTGTCCAACAGGAGTAAAAGACATTTTTTACAGATCAATTTATTGCCCCTTTATATTAACTCATATTTCCTATTTATAGTATTTTACATTGGTCATGTGAGGGTTCTTGGTTTGATTCAGAGGGTACATTATTATCAGTTTACACTGTATTGCGTTATTGAATTATTAGCTTTCATTGGACAAAACAATTATCTATTTTTAAACAAGAAAGTTTGTTTACAAGTTTTATTCTTCAGTTAAAGGGGAAATATTTGCCAGAAGGGGAATTTTAGACTGTTTTTTGGGGAAAAAAGGTAGTAATTTGGCTTGGGGAAGTAGCCTGATACAGGCTACAGCAAAGAAGGGTAAAAAGGCCCTGTAATTCCTCAGGCGGCACCAAGTGGTACCAGAATATGCCTCATATGACCATTTCTGTCTGTTATGGTGGGATTCAATCTCAACAAAACAAACTAACAAAAACAACAACAATAACATAACAATAACATAAATTGATAATATGAAAAAGGCAAAGCCTCAAAGCGAGCTCGATTTACTTTTACCATGAAATAGTATATAATAATCGTTCATTTTTATTTTACATTTTCCGTTTTAAAATTGTCATTCGGTATTTTATACACTGCTTCTGTTTATTCTGGCTCCCTGTCCTATTATGGTTCCCAAATAAGTGTGCAGGACACCAGTCTATGCTTCCGTTTTCAATCAGAATACCTCGGCTTTTATCATTATCTTGTAATTCGAAAAGTTGCAATGTGTCAATTCGGTACTTCGGACAAAAGTTTTCAAAACCATCAATATCTAGCAGGTACTCACGTTACGTAAAGCTCGCTATAAATAGTCACATTTATGTTTCAGAAATGGCAGAAGAAAGCTACAGATTAAAGGTAATTGGTTACATGAGATCACCATTTTTGTACAAAAATGGAACTCCAAGACAACCAATTATCTGTCCTCATGTCACTGGAGAGATTACAATAGACAAAAATGTCTTTAACAACCCTGATCATTCCCTTGAAGGACTTGAGCAATTTAGTCATGTGTGGTATGAATATGTTACTATATAAAATTACTATTTTGTAGAAAACCACTTTAAAATAGAAAAATCACAAACAAGTATATATTGGATTAATTATAATTGTTCCTTTAGTGATAATTTTGATGATTATTTACTGGTGATTCAGAAACATACCTTCAGCTAATGCTTGTATCTATAGAGTTTTCTATATGGTTACCTGCATGTGCCTAAAATAAATGTACAGTAGCACATCTATAGATTTGTCTTTGTCTGCATGTGCCTAAGACAAATTTACTGTGGTGTATCTATAGATTTTTCTATGCAATGTACATGTATAGTAGAACATCCATATTATTTTGTCTATACCTACATGTACATGTACATAAGACAAACTTACCGTGGTACATCTATAGATTTTTTCTTAGCCTACATGTGCCTAAGACAAATGTGCAGTGGTGATATTTAGAAATGATCTTATATAAATAGAATGTCTGTTAATAATTATTTGATAGCCAGAAATGTCACAAGTTATAAAATGTAACCATATCATTTTAGTTGTTAAAGGTGTAAGGTAATTATAACTGGAGGCTAAGAATTGCTTTCTGAGTTTCTGTTAACTTTAAATGGCATTTATTTGCAGAAAAAACTTCCTACAAAACAACTTCTTTTAAGAATAAAATGTTTTCATAATTTGTTGGAAAAATATATTTTTATTGCATTTTGCATCTTTTGAACTTTATTTCAGGATAATGTTCATATTTCACAAAAACAGCAATGTTCATTCAAAAGCAAAGGTAAAGCCACCTCGAATGAATGGCAAGAAAACAGGTGTCTTCTCAACAAGGTCGCCTTACAGACCTAATAATATTGGACTCACCCTTGCAAAGATTGAAGGTGTAAAAGGTTTGTTTCTGATATTGCTTTTTAGCTCACCTGTCACAAAGTGAAAGGGTGAGCTTTTGTGATCGCTTTTCGTCCGGCGTCCGTCCATCCGCCGTCCGTCGTCCGTAAACTTTTACTTTAAATGACATCTCCTCATAAACCTCTAGGCCAATTTCATCCAAACTTCACAGGAATGTTCCTTTGGTGGTCACCTTAAAAAATTGTTCAAAGAATTTAATTCCATGCAGAACCATGGCAACCGAAAGAAAAATCTTTAAATATCTTCTTTTAAAAAACCCTAATAGCTAGAGCTTAGATATTTTGCATGAAACATCTTCTAGTGAGTGTATACAAAGTTTGTTGAAATAAAAGCCCTGGGGTCAAAATTGGCCCCGCCCCAGGGGGTCATTGATTTTCCCTATATGCATATAGTAAAAACTTAAAAAATCTTCTTTTAAAGAACCCAAAGAGCTAGAGCTAAGATATTTAGCATGAAACATGTTCTAATGAGTGTCTACCAAATTTGTTCAAATAAAAGCCCCTGGGTCAAAATTGGCCCCGCCCCAGGGGGTCATTGATTTTCCCTATATGCATATAGTAAAAACTTAAAAAATCTTCTTTTAAAGAACTCAAAGAGCTAGAGCTAAGATATTTAGCATCAAACATGTTCTAATAGGTGTCTACCAAGTTTGTTCAAATAAAAGCCCTGGGGTCAAAATTGGCCCCGCCCCGGGGGTCATTGATTTTCCTTATATGTGTATAGCAAAAACTTAAAAAAACTCTTCTTTGAAAAAACCCAAATAGCTAGAGTTTAGATATTAAGCATGAAACATCTTCTAGTGAGTGTCTACAAAGTTTGTTCAAATAAAAGACCTGGGGTCAAAATTGGCCCTGCCCCGGGGGTCATTGATTTTCCTTATATATGTAAAGCAAAAACTTAAAATCTTCTTTGAAAAAACCAAAAAAGCTAGAGTTTAGATATTAAGCATGAAACATCTTTTAGTAAGTGTGTACAAAGTTTGTTCAAATAAAAGCCCTGGGGTCAAAACTGGCTCCGCCCCAGGGGTGTCATTGTTTTTAACTATATGTGTATAGTAAAAACTTAAAAAAATCTTCTTTTAAAAAGCCCAATGAGCTAGAGCTTAGATGTTTAGCATGAAACATCTTCTTATGGGTGTCTACCAAGTTTGTTCAAATAAAAGCCCTGGCGTCAAAATTGGCCCCGCCCCAGGGGGTCATTGATTTTCCCTATATGCATATATTAAAAACTTAAAAAATCTTCTTTTAAAGAACTCAAAGAGCTAGAGCTAAGATATTAGCATCAAACATGTTCTAATAGGTGTCTACCAAGTTTGTTCAAATAAAAGCCCTGGGGTCAAAATTGGCCCCGCCCCGGGGGTCATTGATTTTCCTTATAATTATGTGTATAGCAAAAACTTAAAAAAACTCTTCTTTGAAAAAACCCAAATAGCTAGAGTTTAGATATTAAGCATGAAACATCTTCTAGTAAGTGTGTACAAAGTTTGTTCAAATAAAAGCCCTGGGGTCAAAACTGGCCCCGCGCCAGGGGTGTCATTGATTTTAACTATATGTGTATAGTAAAAACTTAAAAAAATCTTCTTTTAAAAAGCCCAATGAGCTAGAGCTTAGATGTTTAGCATGAAACATCTTCTTATGGGTGTCTACCAAGTTTGTTCAAATAAAAGCCCTGGGGTCAAAATTGGCCCCGCCCCAGGGGGTCATTGATTTTCCCTATATATGCATAAAAAAATATATTAAGAACTTAAAAAATCTTCTTTTAAAGAACTCAAAGAGCTAGAGCTAAGATATTTAGCATCAAACAGTCATGTTCTAATAGGTGTCTACCAAGTTTGTTCAAATAAAAGCCCTGGGGTCAAAATTGGCCCCCCCCCCCGGGGGTCATTGATTTTCCTTATATGTGTATAGCAAAAACTTAAAAAATCTTCTTTGAAAAAACCCAAATAGCTTGAGTTAAGATATTTAGCATGAAACATCTTCTAGTGAGTGTCTACAAAGTTTGTTCAAATAAAAGCCCTGGGGTCAAAATTGGCCCCACCCCGGGGGTCATTGATTTTCCTTATATGTGTATATCAAAAACTTAAAATCTTCTTTGAAAAAACCCAAATAGCTAGAGTTTATATATTAAGCATGAAACATCTTCCAGTAAGTGTCTACCAAGTTTGTTCAAATAAAAGCCCTGGGGTCAAAACTGGCCCCGCCCCGGGGGTCATTGATTTTCCTTATATGTGTATAGCAAAAACTTAAAAAATCTTCTTTGAAAAAACCCAAATAGCTAGAGTTTAGATATTAAGCATGAAACATCTTCTAGTGAGTGTCTACCAAGTTTGTTAAAATAAGAGACCTGGGGTCAAAATTGGCCCCACCCCGGGGGTCATTGATTTTCCTTATATGTGTATAGCAAAAACTTAAAATCTTCTTTGAAAAAACCAAAATAGCTAGAGTTTAGATATTAAGCATGAAACATCTTCTAGTAAGTGTGTACAAAGTTTGTTCAAATAAAAGCCCTGGGGTCAAAACTGGCCCCGCCCCAGGGGTGTCATTGTTTTTAACTATATGTGTATAGTAAAAACTTAAAAAAATCTTCTTTTAAAAAGCCCAATGAGCTAGAGCTTAGATGTTTAGCATGAAACATCTTCTTATGGGTGTCTACCAAGTTTGTTCAAATAAAAGCCCTCGGGTCAAAATTGGCCCCGCCCCAGGGGGTCATTGATTTTCCCTATATGCATATATTAAAAACTTAAAAAATCTTCTTTTAAAGAACTCAGAGAGCTAGAGCTAAGATATTTAGCATCAAACATGTTCTAATAGGTGTCTATAAAGTTTGTTCAAATAAAAGCCCTGGGGTCAAAATTGGCCCCGCCCCGGGGGTCATTGATTTTCCTTATAATTATGTGTATAGCAAAAACTTAAAAAATCTTCTTTGAAAAAACCCAAATAGCTTGAGTTTAGATATTAAGCATGAAACATCTTCTAGTGAGTGTCTACAAAGTTTGTTCAAATAAAAGCCCTGGGGTCAAAATTGGCCCCACCCCGGGGGTCATTGATTTTCCTTATATGTGTATAGCAAAAACTTAAAATCTTCTTTGAAAAAACCCAAATAGCTAGAGTTTATTTATTAAGCATGAAACATCTTCCAGTAAGTGTCTACCAAGTTTGTTCAAATAAAAGCCCTGGGGTCAAAACTGGCCCGCCCCAGGGGTGTCATTGTTTTTAACTATATGTGTATAGTAAAAACTTAAAAAAATCTTCTTTTAAAAAGCCCAATGAGCTAGAGCTTAGATGTTTAGCATCGAACATCTTCTTATGGGTGTGTGGGGGCTATATACAGGTGAGCGACCTTAGGGCCATCATGGCCCTCTTGTTTAACATTTTCAACTCAACTGTGCTGAAGGTGCTGTTTCCTTAGCGAAAAAGAGTTGTAAATATTTTTTTGTGGTGGCCTGTTGTCTGTCTTTGTTCACACAGTCCAAAGATTTCACTGGTAGGTGCCCTCTATTGAGATTGAGGTCAAGAGTCAAGGTCAAAAATGGCAGTAAAAATGATATACTCTGATATTACAATGTTTTGAACTTGCATGTTGCATTTTCAAATGGACCAAGCCCTAATCTGACCCAATTACTTTGGAGAATTATGACCATTTCTAGAAATAAAGCTGAGTGATCTAAGCCAATCATTACACTTATTAACCAGGTTTTCCGAAGGAAAAAACTGGTTATTAGATTGAGGTATGTCGGCGGGCGGACGGCGGGCGGGCGGGCGGGCGTAAACAATTTTTTCCTGTGCGCAACTCCTCCTACATTTTTCAACGGATTTTGACCAAACTTTCACAAAAGCTTTGTCATCAAGTGACCTGGGGCATATTGTCGGGGTTTTGTGATTGGATAATATTTGACCTAATTATGGCCCTTTGTTTTTTTTCCTTATATAGAATATATAGTGAATAACTTCTTCTGTGCCAAACTGTTCCTACATTTCTCAATGGATTTTGACCAAACTATCGCAGAGGCTTTGTCATCAAGTGCCCTGGCGCATATTGTCGGGGTTTTGTGATTGGATAATATTTGACCTAATTATGGCCCTTTGTTTTTTTCCCCAATATAGGATATATAGTGAACGATTTTCTGTGCGCAACTCCTCCTACATTTCTCAACGGAATTTGACCCAAACTTTCACAGAGGCTTTGTCATCAAGTGCCTTAGGGCATATTGTCAGGGTTTTGTGATTGTATAATATTTGACCTAATTATGGCCCTTTGTTTTTTTTCCTTATACAGATTATATAGTGAACAATTTTTACCATGCGCAACTTCTCCTACATTTCTCAACAGATTTTGACCAAACTTTCACAGAAGCTTTGTTATCAAATGCCCTGGCGCACATTATCGGGGTTTTGTGATTGGATAATATTTGACCTAATTATGGCCCTTTGTTTTTTTCCTTATACAGATTATATAGTGAACAATTTTTACCATGCGCAACTTCTCCTACATTTCTCAACAGATTTTGACCAAACTTTCACAGAGGCTTTGTCATCAAGTGCCCTGGCGCACATTATCGGGGTTTTGTGATTGGATAATATTTGACCTAATTATGGCCCTTTGTTATTTTTCCTTATACAGAATTTATAGTGAAAAAATTCTTCTGTGCTGAACTCCTACATTTCTCAACGGATTTTGTTCAAACTTTCACAGTAGCTTTTTTATCCAGTGCCCTGGAGCATATTGTCGGGTTTTGGGATTGAATAATTTTTTATTTTATTATGGCCCTTTGTTTTTTTTCCTTATACAGAATATAATTATAGTGAACACTTCCTCTGTGGCAATTCCTCCTACATTATTCATGTTTTACATTGCACATAGTTACATTGTTTGTTGCTTGTATTTGTATTTCAAATACAACATATTTATCTACAATGGTGATAATTGAAAACCTGGTTTCATGGCATTGCCATGTTTCTTGTTTTAGTTTTAACAGTGTTTTTATTTATAAATTTTTGTTTCTTTTAGATAATAAATTACACATTTAAAATTATGTGGATTGATTGGATGGTGTTTATTAAATTGCATGCATTCAGGGGCATGTATGTATACACAAATCTCATTTTCACGATCTTAAAATTTGGACCACCAATAACTCATGTGTATGAAATCCAAATTTGATGTTTGTGACCCAATAACCTTCTTATGTTTTGTACAAATTATGATATTGTCTCTGGTAGAAATTGTTTTTAGTTGGGAGATTTCTGAAAATCATGACATGTTCTGTTTCAATTTTTAAGTAACTTATGATTTTGAAATACCTAGATTAAGGGCTTCTTTGCAATTATAGAGGTCATAATGACTTGAAAATGAATACAAATAACATCGTGTAGCAGGTATTAATTAAATAGAACACCTTTAGTTAATATTATTATAATGAAACACCTGTTAATAATATATTAATATGTTTATTATAGAATTATTGTGTTTTGTTTGTTTCAGGATCAACTGTAACTGTATCAGGAATAGATATTTTAGATGGAACACCAATTATAGATTTGAAACCCTTCATACCAATGTATGATAATCCAGTTTTACTGTCACATGAGATAGATGAAACTGTGTCTGAACAAGGTAGAGTAAACGATTGTATGACAAGTCAGCAGTCAGAAACCAAAATAAAAGATGAAACTGAGAACAGAAAAGACTTTGATAATATGGAACCTGAAGATAAACCAGCTGAGACAGAACTTTCTCATGATGAATTAAACTGTCATGTTGGAGATTCAGAAAACCTAATTAGAGCTAGTGAAGAACTTGAGAATTTACATAAGTTTGAAAATAATTGCTTAAACATAGATAAAGAACAAGAACTCTGTCCTACAGCTGTGGATGAAAGTGATGGTAATAAAGTGATAAAGAATCGAAATACAAATGTTGCTAGTAAACTTGAGGAACCTAGACAGGAAAAACAAAATAGTGGGACTGAAAGGTCTGATATTAAATGTTGCACTGCAGATTGGATTACAAATTCACCAGTTACATCTTTGGAAGTTAGATTTACACCATCAGCAGAAGAACAACTGAAGCTCTTCAGCTGTGAAGATGTTGATACAGACTTTAAATTTCAATGTTTGAAGAGTTTCTCTCAAGCAAAACAGTCGATAATTGACATCCTACATCAAGATCCAAGATCAACATATAGACGGAAACAGTGCTCGGACAGTTTATATTACTTTACATTGGATGTTTTGCATATAACATGTTGGTTTGATGTAAATCTTGTTGAAATTGTTAGAATTAAACCTGTTGGACAGGTAGATAAATTGAAAAGTTGAAAACCAGGCATTTTGTTCTTTAATATATTATTCTGCTCTTTAATATCGTTGTTTTTATTTTTGATGAACTGCTACAAACTTTATATTAATTGTTACAGTATGATACACATTAAAAAATGAAATCTTTAAAATTCTTTTTTTCTCAAAAACTACAGTTGTAACAATGCACAGAGTTAAACTATTTTGCTTTTATCAGGGTCTTTCAAATAGAATGTATGAAATACCCAGGTTGTATGAATTACATGTATTGTCCTTTGCAAAAATAATTACTTAAATGTTAAATGCTACTGTGTTCAGAATAGATTGTGCACTGAAGGTCACTTAGTTAACATAGACCTGTACAAGAGAATGCATTTAAAACTGTTCATATGAAATTTGTGTCATAGAGCTTAGATAACTGACATATCACATTGTCTATTACATGTATGAGGTGTAGACAAAAGTAACAAAAATCAATGTCCTAGTTAAAAAGTTGCCCAACTCTAGGGATCTCTTAAATAAAACTTGTATAGGAAACTAACTTTAACAAAATTTCCTCATAACTTTCTATGCCCAGAGCTTAGACAGTTGGCAAGTATTGTCACCTTGCAGCTTTCAACAAAATTTAAATGTAGGGCTGGTATCGGACCTTCCATGAAGGCCACTAAGTTTATACTTTAGAAAACACATTTTATTTAATTATTTTGTGTGAATCTAGATGAACTTGAGTTTAATTTATTTGCACATATCATAGTCTGGGAACCACTAATATAGTAGTATGACTTATAGCTCAGTCAAAAATGCCTTAACCCCAATATGACCCAATTATGTACATGTACTTCTGTACAGAGAACTTCTTAACCTTTTGGGTTGAATAATGTACATTGTGGGGCCTTTACATACTTCTACAAAGTGCCAAAGTGAGCTTTAAGGAGTGCTACCATTCGATTTCTGTGGTATGTCATACCTCCATTAAAAAAGTCTATTAAACAATTTCTCTGTTATAACTGGTCCAATGTTGATGAAATTTGGCAGGAACGTTCCTTCCATAAAACCCTATCTAAGTCGTTCCATTCCATGCAGAAGTCTGGTTGCCATTACAACCAAAAGCAAAATCTATAAGAATGTTCTCTCTAACTTTGAGGCCTGCTGGAGCTTAGATATTTGATTGTCTAGTGGATATCTTCCTCGTATAATTAAATTGTGACAAGGTCACAATTTAAATATAAGAGGGTAAAACTTGGATCACTTTTATTATGCTTCCCGAAGGGAGAGCATTAAGTCGCCACCTTGTCCGTCCGTCCGTTGTCTCGTTAGGAGCAGAACTTGAAAACCCTTGGAGATAATTTGTTTAAACTTCATACAGTGGTAGAGGTCAATGAGGGGGAGTGCAGTGTCAAAGAACCATAACTCTATATTTCCCTAGTTTTTGAATTATCTCCCCTTAAAGAAAAATCTTGTCCGGGACATAACAATAAAACTATAAGAGATATTAACATGAAACTTTGTAGGTGAATAGATCTCAATGGGTAGATGTGCAGTGCACAAGAACCATAACTCAATTTTGCCCAGTTTTTAAATTATCTCCCCTTTTAGAAAAATCTTGTCCAGGACATAGCTCTAAAACTATAAGAGATATCAACATGAAAATTTGTAGGTAGATAGATCTCAATTGCTAGATGTGCAGTGCATAAGAACCCTAACTCTTTTCTGCCTAATTTTGGAGTTATTGCCCTTTGTTAATATTAACACTTTGAACTTTGTCCAGAATGTAACTCTAAAACTATAAGAGATATCAAGATGAAACATTGTAGCTAGATAGATCTAATTGCGTAGAAGTGCAGTGCAAAAGAACCATAACTCTATTAAGCCTCATTTTTTAATCATCTCCCCTTTTAGAAAAATCTTGTCCAGGACATAGCTGTAAAACTATAAAAGATATCAACATGAAACTTTGTAGGTAGATATATCTCAATGGGTAAATGTTTAGTGCACAATAATCATAACTCTGCCTTGCTAAATCTTGGAGTTATTGCATTTTGTTTATTTTTACTTTTTGAACTTTGTCTGGGACATTACTCTAAAATTATAAGAGATATCAACATGAAACTTTGTTGGTAGATAGATCTCATTAAGTAGAAGTGCAGTGCAAAAGAATTATAACTCTATTAAGCCCAATTTTTTAATTATCTCCCCTTTTAAAAAATTCTTGTCCGGGAAATAACTAAAACTACAAAAGATATCAACATGAAACTTTGTAGGTAGATGGATCTCAATGGGTAGATGTGCAGTGCACTTGAACTCCGCCTTGCCAAATTTTGTAGTTATTGCCCTTTTTTCATTTTTACATTTTGAACTTTGTCCGGGACATAACTCGGAAACTATAAGAGGTATCAACAAGAAACTTTGTAGGCTTATTGATTGTATTGATTAGAAGTGCAGTGCAAAGAACATGCAGTAACTCTGCCTTGCCTAATTTTGGAATTATTGCATTTTGAATTTTTTCCAGCGACATAACTTTAAAACTACAAAAGGTGTACTTTCCTACGTTGTTTGTTTAGATCGTGACCCTAGGGGCAAAACTTGACTGGTCACATATGTCAATTGATTTTACAGAGATTTAAATAGGATAAACATTAAAATTTTAATCTTCTTCTCCATAACTGTAAATCCTACCGCTAAGATATTTTGTAGACCACTTATGGTCAAAATAGGATGTCTAATGGACATCAAGAAAGCTTGTTTAAAACATTATGACCTCTTCCCACAATTGATTTTAGATGTGGGATGTAAGGCCATTATGGCCCTCTTGTTATTATCTGTTAAACAAAGTATGTAGACACTTCCATTTCAAAATGTGCACATAAATGCACCAGAAGCCACCATTTAACATGCAGTTTTTAATTTTTTTCCTGGGTGAGGACCCCCAGACCACACGTAAAAAGGGAGTTTGGCCATTTTAAACATAGGCGCCACAGCCAAAAATTTCTGGATACCGCCCTGTGTTTCATGTGTATACTATTATAAACTACATATGTAGTTACTATTACTATATCGAGGGAAAGCTTATCGATCTGTTGATATAACGAGTTGCTTAGTTGTGACAAAGAGATAAAAATGTGCAAGGTGAAAAAGTATTGCAGATAAAAAAGAATTAAGTAATGAATAATAAAGATAAAGTACACATTGGCTTTGTTGAAACAGAGACATCAAAGATCATGGCTTTGATTACCCTTATCGGATAAATTTCTCTTATTGTATTTGACTATGTTGATCAAAGGTGAAGGCCACACCGTCTAACGTGAATATGAAACCACTTTCTGTTCATTTTAAACTCTCAAACTTCATCAGTTTCTAAATGAAAGGGAAGTTAATTCCCACACTGTTTAGAGTTATTATAACTAAGGTTATTCCCTTCTACAGTATTACAGTGAAGCGATATATACAGAGTTGCAGCATATTTTAATAGTACGGTATGTTTCAATTGAATACGAAGTATTAAAACAATATGCCAGTGATTTATTTTGCTCTAAAGTAAAAATCAGAAACATGTACCCATTTTAGGTCGTCGTCTCTAAAACGATTCTTTAATCATCTTTATTTAGCACAGTTTACATGTAGAAAAGTCTATTCTTGGACGAGCCTACAATGTCACTTAATTATAGGTTGCATATTGTCTGTATCTAAAATGAAACAAAGGAAGGAAATTTTCTGAGCTTGAAGACAGGAACCACTTGTTAGCCATTGGTGATTTTTTTCTTCAATATTTTAGGACCAATAAAATGTTATTTTACTGAAATTTTCGTAATAAATCAACTGATGAATGACTATAAAGTCTTATAAGTAAACGTTAATTCTCAAACAATCATTGCTTGCTTATTATGGACTCTTGAAATATCTTTATATTCAATTTCGTATTGTTGTACGCAGATTAGATTTTCTCAAAATACATGTAGTTTAAACCAAGAAGGAAAGCAGATATTTAGCATATATCAGAACGAAATAATTCGTAATAACACGCAGAATATATAAATGGAGAGGAGTTTTTTGTTTATTATACCGTTAAATTAGAAAAAAAATGAAGTTGGTGTTAAATTTTGCGAATAAAATGAAACAGGTAATAGAAATTTGATAATAACTACATGCTATGTGTAAGTTTTCTTGCCTTTACTAAATTAAACTACGAATTCTCTAACACTATTAAAGAGCATTTTTCACAAGCTTCTACTAAAAACAATAATTTTGTTACTATGATGCTATGGTTGTCCTCAAAGTAAGCGGAATTGTGCTAAAATGTTCTGATGTCAACATAAACAATTTATTTGTTAGAAAATTACTCGCCGACAACATTGTAATACTAACATGATGAATAAACAACCATGTTTTTCTTGTTGAAATTTTTGAATAATATATTAAGATAAATGTAAAAGTAGACATATATGGAACGAAATATTTGATAAATATCCATGAACAAACTACCAATAATGTTAAATTCAAACAGTGCCGTGAAAAATGTCATTGAAATACATGTACCCAGGACTGCAACTATTTAATGTTTAAAACATTGGAATTGTCAAACGCCTTCCATATCTGAAAATTGTTAAACGCCTTCAATATCTGATCGAATGGTAAATCCTCCAATAATTGCATTCATTTTAAGAGGCTGCAACACTGATGAAATGACAGACATGGACACATTCAAAGTATATCTTTTACAATTAGACCACTACCATTTTTTTTTTAATTAACGACTTAGACTGATGTTAAGCGAAAGAATGTTGACTATAATTTTAAGACGAATATTTAATCAGTTTCAGGTTTATTGGCATTAGCCATTTACAAGTATAAAAAGGATGGTCAAGATATTACAAATACATAAAAGAATCGAATATTTGCTTAAATAAAGAATGACCGTATGGAATATTGTCTATATTGATTAGAAGTTAAAATATAAATAAGTTAATCAGTCTACAAAAGCACAAACGAGTTTTGAACTGTTTGACAATACTTTTTGAATAACGGCGTGCAACAAAAATATGCCATATGTAGCACATTGTACTTCGTTTTTGTCTCTTAACATTATCATCTAAAACATTGCCACCTTTGCAAAATAAATAAATGCGATAATATAAAGAGAAAAAAATCTAAGCCA